ATAACGCACTAGCACAATCACAATCACCAGACTCGCGCTCAGAAGAAGCACAGGTAATCGGCACACACGGCTTTGATCACATTGCGGCAAAGCTGATGGAGGAACTAGACAATAACCTCTTTGACCAGCTGCTAGGCCTCCTGACACCGGAAGATGCTGGCAAGCTTGCCGTTCTGTCAACCACCCTGAGGGACTTGGTAGACGGGAGTCTCTTGTGGAAGATGTGGTGCGAGCAGGATAGCCCCTCACTAACAACATCAGCTGCAAAGGATCTGGTGATAGCACACTATGGTGCACGGCAGTCTCGCAACTGTAAGCAGCTGTATCAACGGCTTTCAGACAAGCGGTGTGCAGAGCTGAGGCCGAAATTTGAGTCCCAGACCAACAGGGAAGGCCTTTCTGACTTTGTCATGCTGCTGGACGTGTATCTGAATGGCGAGGGGGTTCTGTTTTGTTCAGTCGAGAGCAGCGAGCTTGGACGAGAGCTGCGCGGCTGCAGAGACTCCAACTGCCGGGATGGCGAGCAGGATTGCGGGTCAATTCTGGGAGAAGCGCACAAAGTTGTACGTCAAGGGACATTATCTTCATTGATGAGGCAGAAAATGAGTGAATACGAACGGCTTTCTCCGAGTCGAGACAAGAAAGCACCTGCCACAGAGCTAACGGAGAGGTTTGCGCAGCCGATGCGCCAGCCAGACGTCATCACATTTTCGTGGAAGCTGATGCGCAAGAGGGACGGGGAAGTGGAGATTTTGCTCGATCGGGCAGGTCCTGAAATTGGGCACCAGAAACTGGAGATTCGCCGGGGCAAGCTCTACTTGACAGCTGCCAGAATCATCAAAGTTGCGGACGATGAAGATTCTGCGCCCCTTGAAGCATCGCTGCAGCTGGGGTGCAACGTGTCGGATAATTATCTCGTGCTATTTCTGTTACCTGATTCGGGGTGGGGGGCAGGCTTTCTGCTATACGACTTCTCTGTGGTCATAAGGCTGTCTAACCCATGCAGTCCTGGGCATGAGTCCTCTATCGCATAATGCACCGTCAGGGTACTGCTGAAGAAACCGTGCGGTGGAAGGCGGTTGGAAGATCGCAGCACACTAATTTTCCAGCAAGGTTCACAAGACCCGTAGGAGGAGAGATGTACTGAGCGTTTCGTAAACGATGGTTGAAGGATGTGTGGGTATGATTTTCAGGCAAATGCTCCTTTAGCTCTCAAATAATCAGGTACGTTAAATTGAACGCAGAACGTTTCGACATTCACCTATACCAGTATCACTGGTTGAGCAGGCACGTCTAGATGTGAATTGGCACATACTAGGTTTTTTTGGATCCTTAGACGGAAGGTAACACTTGAAGCTAGACTATCGACTGGAATCCAGCCTGCATCAGATTTCCTGTGTAGTGCTCCGTCAATCTGCAAATTTGAAATGGCCGATCACCGCGTCCCAAAAGAAGCTTTCGTAAAGGATCCGAAGAGCTAAAAATAGAACGCCTCGCAGCTCGTGCAATTAGTTTCATACAGCGTCATAATTTTGTATATGAAGTCTGGCATGTTTGCAGAATCGAGTCGTCCGAAGGCCATGCGAATATATGTGCATTGCATCTTTCTGCACACAAGTCCGGCCAGCGCTGAAGCCTTGAAGCTGGTACGATCGAGCACATATAATTGTTGCATGTATATGACTCAGCTGGCGCCCGCAAACCCATGCGGCCAATGAACCTTTTCATCAGTGCGACCGCCTCCATCTAGTCGAGTTTTTAACTAGGGATATCCTGAGTGACATAACCCTAGGGTTAAGGCACTGACCAACACTCGAACCGGTAGCCATGCTCAATCAGCTGCAAGCTGAGTGCATCGTTCATTGTCCGGCCTGTGGTGCATGACACATCTCACAATGAACCACCATGCTTGCATTTTATAGCTGAACCGCAACAATTCTCTGAAACCAATCTGCTCGAGGAACAGCACTTCAGTTCCTAGCTGGCTCCAGTGGGACTCCGGTGTTCGTCCACTTTCTTCTGTAGGGTTCGTCTCACAATCCACTCAAAACTCAATCAAACACAAATCCTTTTATTGCCGCTCTACACTCTACGCTCTCCAGACTGTTGACTTGAGAGTATCTCAGCCTACAACAATCTTCAACCTGCTATCTTCTTGAGTATTCATAGCCTACTCACTGCTTAACGCCTTTGACAATATTGCAGATCGCACACAGTTCCAAACCGTACCTCACAAACACAAGCTCACTTATATGCAGATGCCTACTGTTGTTGCTAACTATTTCACCTTGCGCGTGCCGGCTATACTACTCACACAAATCCTTGATGCAGGAAACATGCTCTTGACGGGCAAACTGGAGGAGACTGCCTATGCTGATCATTCACACGCGTATGCCATACTCTACACAGGAAGTCCAGGTTCTAGCCTCCGAAAGCACAGCTTCTCTCTAGACTAGACCTTTCTTAGTTCTCGCACTCGTTAGTGTTTATCTCACAGATGTACACACCTTGCTATCGGGTCGACTTCGGGACCCGCGCGCCCCCGCCGCTGCGCCACCTTGTATGTCCTTCTACTGTCGTCTTATACACACGTCCGTCTACCCATTAATCGCTCGCGTTCCCCCGCGCGACGTTTTCCCCGGCTCCCGAAGCCGTTTGTCCGCTCAGTGGCGTCCCAAACCGCCACAAATAGCCCAGCACTTCGGACCCCACGCTGTCGATGCGCGTCCCCATGCAGCAGCTCTCGAGGGGGCGACCCTCCCCGCCCTCCGGCCAGTTCACGGTCGCCGTACATTTCAGCGACGCGGGGAGCGTTTTCAATGCCTCCAAGCCCGCAATACTGATGCCCCCCGTCAGCCGCAGCTGCTCGAGGTTGCTCCCGTCGACCGACCACGCGCAGGGGGGCTGCCCGACAAGCTTCTTATACGCGGCGTTCACCCACCGCGCCCGGTTCTTGAGGTCGGTGAGGATCACCGGGCTGGACCACCGGTCGAACTGGCGCTTGATCAGCTCGAAGCTGCCCTTGACCGCGAGGGAGGCATTGCTCGCGAGCGGCTCAATGTCCTCGAAGCGAATCGTCGAGCCGGCCGGGCGAAGTGGCCGGGGCGTTACCACCCTGAGCGGGGGCTCGTTCACACCCGGGGCACTCCCACCCGGGGACTTGCCTCGAGCACTTTTGCGGCGCTCCTGAGAGGTGGCGGTCGCAAAACTGTTGGTCGACGACGAGCTCCCCGACGACGAGTCGTCCCCTTTGGAGACGACGTCTGAGGCGCCGCCGAGCAGTGACGACGCGTCCGCGACGGGAGTCGAAGGGTTGGGCTTTGACGAGGGGGGCGCTGACGCCGCGAGAAACCCCGGCTGCTTGAGGAACACCCAGAGGATCGCGGCGCATGGAGGGGTTTCTGAGGGGCCCTGGTACTGGATGGAGGAGATGGGGACCGGGATAGCGCTCTTGTTTGCAGGCGTCTGGGGGATCTCCGACTCGGCTTCCCGAGCGCCGTTTCCTGCACTGTCTGCTGTCACCCCGCTCTTTGACATGGGTTCGTTCTTGAGCCTCTGATCGCTCCCGGGCACAGAAGCAGTGTCAAGAGCGGATCCATTCCTCAGAAAGGATCCGCTCTGCCCACTGGTATCATCCTCTGAAGCAGACTTGCAACCTGCGCCAGACTCATTGCTCAAGGCCGCTTCATGGTTCTTGGCGGCTGTGTCGCTGTCTGGTCCCGTTCTGGGCACTCCCTCGGACGGCAGCGCATCCTTGCTCGTTTTCCCTAGACACCCGCCCTGGTTTTCGTCCGCCGCTCTCTGGAATGCCCGGTTCGACCACAGAAGCTTATGCTCCGGGTCGGTGACCATCACCGGTTCCACAAACGCCCCGTACAGCTGCTCTAAGTACAGACTGTCCAGAATTGCGGGGCTGTGGCTCGAGCCCCCATGGGCCGGAAACTCCACCGTCTTTTCCCCGGAGGAAGGCTCCCCCCGTTTCGTTTCTGGCCGGGTAAACTGCCGGAACCCGGAGCCTCCGGAACCGAGCGACTTGGACTCTGCAAAACCCCTGCCTCTGGCGAACGGCGACGCCACAGAGACTGGTTCTTGTTTCACTGGCCACGCCCGGATGACTTTCCCCTGAATTGGTGGGACAAGTGGCGCCCGGGGGTAGCTTATCGGCGTACGCTTCAGCGGGAATCCCTTCGCCCCAAACACCCGGAACCCCCCCGAGCTTCGGAAAGAGGCCTGGACCCCCCCAGAAGATGGCAGGGCCGGGCGCAAAGGCTCCGACTTGGGGGCGATGGGCACCAAGCCCCGGGGCTTCCCTGAGCCTTTCTCCTTCTCTTTCTCCCCCTTCGCCTTTGCAGACCCGTTTTGTGGGGCGACCACCAGCAGGGGCGGCGTGCTGAATCCCCCCGTTGTGACTGCGCCCTCGCTGGGGCAGGGGCTCGAGTGCTGCTGACGTGGCGGGAAGTGATTGGTCGGGACGACTTGCTCGGAAAGAGAGCGGGAGACAGGAACCCCCAGGACTGTGCCCCCGTTGACCTGGCTGTAGGGGGGAAAGTGCTGGAGGGGTAACGGGGGCCCTGTGGTGCTGCTCTGATAGCGGCTGAGGCTGGAAGTTGGGTACGTCGGAGGGGGAAACGGGGCCTGAGCGGGGCCGGGGGCGGTGGGGCAGAAGGGCAAGGGGGGCTGGAAGTTGAGCATGTACCTGGGGGAGGGAGAGACACGCATGGGGGGTTTGAGTCGTTTTATCCACGCGCATAAAAGAGCTCGTGACCAGAAGGCTGCAGAAAAGCTGTGGGGAAATCAAGACAGAGGACAAAAAGATGAGCCACATCAAGCAACAAAGGGGTGCAACTAATCGACAACGGAGTGAACATCCCTTAGTTGCGACTTTCTTTCAGTCCCAGAACTTGACATCGCCAGTTGCAAGAAGCACTCTGTTTGACTAACCTGGAGTTCTTGGTTTCCACTGGCCCAGCTGCGAATCTCCCTGGCTGCGTCCTGGGAAGGGCGATCGGCGTGGGCAGCTCAAAAGTCCTCATTGACGCCACTGCAACAGGTGAAGAAGGCGTCAACAGATGATGTCAAGCTATGGAAGCAGTGCAATCCTTGTGACCATCTCCGGCTCAACGCGCGACAAGACTTGCGGCAGACTTAGATGCATCTTTACTTCGTCCTTCTAGTTTCACCTGACCTTTTCACTATTCTAACCAGGGGCTCATCGAATCGCACAAACGCCTGGCTACAACTTCAAGTTGCCGAAGGGAGTCCTTAGGCCATGACCCAGATGTTTGCGGCATTACTTTTGAAGAGCTCCGTTTGAAGGCTTAGAGGAGCTGTCGACCTGCCAACTGAACACGTCAGCAATCAGGTAATTACTCAACGGTGGCCAACTCTGTTTTTTTGGTCCTTTTCTGACTCTCTACTCGAACCTTTCTCTGCTGCTGCGTTCAAGGAGTTGCGGCCACCTCTTTTCATCAGGCAAACATATCAAACGTGAAGGATTACAACGACTTCCCACCTCAAACGTGCGCCCTTCTGACACATGGTGGACCAGAATGAACCTCCGGCTAGACTGTCCCCCTGCTCTCACCTTGTGCGTCCCCTCGCTTCATCCTCTTGGCCGCAGGCTGCTCAAAGTTACACCCCCTTTTCACTCCCTGCTTCCCTGTGGTATCCTGCCCCTCAAAGTGGGGGGTCGTTCTGCCACTGCAAGTAGACCCGGAACCCTGCGGTGTCTTTGAGCTGTCCTCCGTCTTGACGGGCTCCCCATGGAGGGGCCGAGGAGCTATCGCACGGTACCTGGAAACACGCGTCCCTTGGTGCATCAGATGTTGAAAAGAGCCAGCTCTATTAAAACTGGTGGAACGAGCTGAATTGACAATCTACTATTAGCGAGCTACTGGGACAAGGTCAAAGGAACAAAATTAACATGCTTAAGGAAAGAACTTGTCAGTCGACAGCAGGTTTGGCCTTGAAGCCTTAGGGGAAGCAAGCACTCTGATCAAGATTCAATCATGTATCTTCACAGAACTTGGATGTAATTGGGCTTGGTGGTTGGGCTTGGTGGCTTGTCTCAAACCTTCAAAAACCCTTCACAAACTGGTGATGCAGTCCAGCATATTTCTAGTTTACCAGAAGAGGAGGGTACAAAACTTGTTGTTTATAAGCTTGAAAGACGTCATAGTGCCCTCCAGGCAAAACCCTGCAAAAGAGGCAACTTTCATGGATTGTTGGGGAGTATCCTGAGTGGTTCCAAGTAAGATACTATTTCAAAGCAGACACTTAGAAATGGAGAGCAACATCAGCCTTTGTGAAGCCTAATATACACACAATGCAATCCCAATCATGATATCATCTTTCAAGTCACCGCACAGCGCAGACTAAAGGAGCTGGAAGACAAAAACCCTCTTCGTCAAACATAGTTTGAGCCCAAAGAAGTCAATAAACCGGGAGGACAAAAACTCCTAAAGAACCAAATACCTGAGTAACACTCATCTCTTCATGAAGTCATACATGTAGTTCGCAGGCTACTGCGGAACTGTACACTGAGGATGTTCTCAGCAAAGACACCTGTTTACAACTCAGCAACCCAAGTCCGTCCTAGAAAGTAATCCTTCATAAGTAGACATGTACTTTGAAAGTGAGGGCTAGAGACTAAGCGCTATACAAATCTCGACAGCCAGACACATATTGGGCATATAGATAGGTAGAGCTCTGACCAAATTGAACTGACAAACCGTCCAAGATTGATACTTCAAGGATAAAATGTATTTACTCGCTCCACAAAACTCTTGCAATTTCAGTGTCGTTCTTGACAAAAGTCAGAAGGACCCTGCCAAGATTGGTAAAACCTGCCCTTTTACCTCAAAACACACAACTGCTTATGAGCAACTTCACAAGCTATCCTATTCGGTTTGCTTCACAGGTCCGGTATCCATGCATGACTTGCTCTGATTGCAGAATGTCTCATGTGAGTCAGAAAATAAACAGACAAGAAGGAAGTCGAGTATGAGTTCAGCTAACCTGTGCATAAGCTGCACAAATGGTACGCCAACCCGAAGCTGACCGGCCATGTTGCTTACTAATGTGCACAAGTCCTTCCCAGGGCAGGCGAGTGAAAACCATAAGCTTAGAGATGGAACACCTTTCCGCCCAAGGAGCCGCAGAATGCTTCCACAGCTCCAAACTCTCGCAGTTGCTCAAAGACCAACTGCTTGAGTTGGCCACGAACTGGGGCAGCTACTTGCTTTCTAAGCTAATCCTAAATGAAGTGACGCATTCCTAGAAACTATTCCTCAGAATACATAAGGCTAAGCTTTTCTGAGAACCTCTACAGGGAAAATGCAATTGCTTGACCTTAATCCTTCTACCTACTGTACCTAGTAGCTGAAGGTCCCTGAGGCTAGGCTGGCGCCCCTTTCATCGTCACCCTCATGCGCCCATGCGCACTCAGCAAAGCATCATGGCCCCTTTCTGACTCGGCCAGGACATCGGGAAGATGAATTCGGAGGCTGCACAGAGCGTATCGGAGGATTGTGCACAAACCAGGCGGGCCGCGCATCTTGATTGGCTGACGCAAAGTGTCAGTGCTGACATGGCAAATCCAAATCCCGCCTTCTAACCGGTCGACAGCCCAAATAGGCGGCGGGCTCACGTGGTCGGCCATCCAATCATATGCCAACAGCTGAGGGGATTTATGATATATCTGTGCAGTCGCCAGCGTGCTGTGTTTAACCCGGAGTGTCTTGCGAGTCGCCCTCCTTTTGGCCGGGGCCGGGTATACCGACCTCAATAGTAGGCCACTAAGACCAGCCGGGAGACTTTACCGGGCTCGAGCAGGGTTTGGTTTGAGATTTTGAAGATCATGAGTAGGTACCAACCTTGAACCAACCTACAGGATACCGTACCTACCTAAACCATTTCCCGACCAGTTCCAGACCGGTTTGCGCGACCGTTTGGAAGGCCGTATCGCATGTCTCGGGGGTAGAGATCCTCAGATACCCGAGCACCAGGCACCTGACCAGTGAATGTGGTCATTTGGAATTGATGCACTACCGACGGCACGCGGCTCGCAGCAATGCCGCACTTCTTGCCAAGTGGCAACTGCCGCTTACCTTGCATCAACTGAAACGGATAAATGCCCTCGTCAAATTGCACATAAGAGGGGAGGTCGCCAGGTCGATCACTCATTAAGGCTGGTTACCGGTAGTCTTAAAACTTGGTTTTAAAATATAGTATATAAGTACGCACCGCAAATTACGGTAAATGAAGCTAGGTATAGGTGGCCAGTGTCCGCTGGATGCCGGGTTCCGAAATGCGCACCGGTGTCTCGTCACTCGTGCCTCCGATTACCTGTATGGTATGTACCGGAGGTACGGTACTTATTTGGGCCGGGGGCCGGGGCCCAGGCTGGCCCTGTGGACCGTGGTACTAGTTTTGGCGCCCGCCAAATTCGGACCTGCTGCTCTGGGGGTGTCTTTCAATGCCCATTCAACATTGCCGACCGTCCTACTCCTAGGCTGAATCCTGGTACAGTGATGAACAGACGGTTCCAAGAGACGACTTTACATTTGTCATTTGAAATTGGAAGGCAGGTCGCCGAGCCCTGCTGATCCGGGATCATAATGGCGGACAAGCTTCTGCCTTGACAGTTGGTGGTTACGTGTGAATTCATTCTGCACAGCAAGCTACCTAAGTCTTAGTTGTAGGTCCGCCTACCAATGGCAAATGTGCGCCGTCTCATGCAGTGAAGTCCCTATGTGGGTTGGATGTAATGCAGTGCAACGACCGCAGGTTCTTGTCCGCTGTTGCTAATGTAACAAGGGGCTCTAAAAGCCTGGTGGAATCAGGAGCAGGAGTCCAAGCGAAGCCGTAAAGGAGGAATACTTCTTGTACTAGCATACACAGATACAGTCATTGAGGGTGGGTGGGGCTGGGGAGGGCAGCAGAGCGTTGATGACCGCCCCCGAGCAGGCCAAGGTCCGTAGGCCTGCCGTGGGGTGGCAGCGGGTACCATACTGGCTCCGGTGGTCACAGCGGAAATTGAGGATGGTTCTTACATCAATCACATGGGGGGGCCTTCTCAAAGTTGCTTCGGGCGCGCTCCTTTTGGTCGGCATCTTTGCAGCGGTGACGATGCTGCCAGTCAACAGGCTCCTGCAAGAGTTCCTTCTCTGGCTGAAAATGGACGTTGGCCCATGGGGTCCGCTCATTTTGATCCTGGCGTATATTCCAGCCACGATTCTGGCTTTCCCTGGCATGATCCTCACGGTGAGCTGGTATGAAGCTCCAAACGCTGCAACCGCTAGATTCTTTTGCTGGCATTACACTTTCTGAAACCCTAATTTTGGCCTCCTGGACAAGGGGCAGGCAGGGGGAATGTCCAGTCAGGGATTTTAAAGGATTCTGGTCAACCGCGCTGCAAGTTCGAAGTGCTGAGCATAGCACCGGGTACCGGCTGTTGTGCTGGATGGAGCTGCAGAAACAGCGCTGCATTGTCTGATCAGCAAGCTGACGTGTCTCATTTTCTGAGCAGGACACTTTACCCAATACCTCAGCTGGATCAAGCTGGCTGTGCAGTCCTTCTGTTCCCAGCACTTTCGTGGCACAACCTTTGTAAACCAACCATACGTTTTTGTCTGTTTCCTGGTGCAAAATTTTGTCTGTTTCCTGACTGCTTTTGCACCACTTGAATAGTTTACGGTGTTGACTGGAAAATGAATGTAGCCTCAAGAGATCTTGTCGGGCAGCCAGCTGGTTCCCTCTGCTTGTCAAGCTCCAAAGAGCATAGCCGCGAGATCTGGCTGTTCAGCATCCCAGAGTGCAATTATCCTGCTCACCTATGGACACTGTCTTTGGCAGATGGGAGGAGGATACATATATGGCCTGGCCCTTGGTTTTGTTCTTGACTGCATCGGATCTACGGCTGGCGCTACTGCAGCTTTCATACTGGGAAGATCGGTGAGCTTTGGCATGATTAACGCTTTCCATGCCTGGTTTGGGCGCCATTCTCGCATATCTAGCCGTTGAATCCCTTAGCTCCATAACCTGATTGTTCTTTGCCCATTAGCTTGCTTACTATCCTGGCTGCTGGGGTGCGATGAGTCCTCCCAGGGCTTGTGATATGCTTGATGTCAAGGACAAGAGGAATCAGTTGTTGACAGATGGCCAGTGATGTTTGCACAGCTGCTAATACTGGCTAACTGGTTCGAAGAACCATGTCCGCAGGTTGGAAGGGGTTATGTTGTTTCAAGATTGAAGACATACCCACAATTCCAAGCAATCCAGGCAGCGATCGAGAAATCGGGATTTCGAGTAAGTTGCAAAGCCTTGGGGCTCCTTTGGGACTTGCACAGAATTTGACTGACCATCTTGGTGGTTGCCAGCATGCCCTTGGCTCTTTGAATGTGTGCTGCAAAAGTTGCGTGACCTAAGGTTCTTTGTCAGCCGTTGGTTTGGCAAGATTCGCCTTCTATCAGGAATGGAGACAGCTCTGTTTGTGGACTCTCTTTGGTGTTTTGGTGCAGTGACAGTTGCAGGACGCTAACTCTGATTCTGTTGCTCTTGTTACAGATTGTAATTCTGCTAAGACTGGTGCCTCTTGTCCCTTTCACTGCCCTCAACTATCTTCTGTCAGTCACCCCCATCAGCATTCAGACTTATGTGGCAGCGTCCTCATTAGGAATGCTGGTGAGATTTTGAACATTTTCAACTTCTTACCGTGTTCCTGCATATTCCTGTTGGCCAGACTGTCAGATTGCTCCTCAACAGAAGCTTACAGATCGGATGCGTGCTGCAAGGTTGAAGGCAGTATAGCGTATCAGCATCTTTATCCATCTCGTCACCAACAGACCAGCAGAGTTGAGCAGCTCATTTTGGAGCAATTCAGTTAGAGTCTTTTGGGTGAATATATCAGCTTCAGATAGTCAAGCAGTGGAGTCTGAGGAGGTCCTGGTCTGGTGCCTCATCTTACAGTTGATGTGTCTGCCCTGCAGCCAATGACATTCATGTTTGTATATATCGGGACGACCATAAAGAACATCTCAGATATTGGGAAGGGCGACCACGAATACAAACACTGGGTGAGCAGTTGTACTGATACGTTCCTCATCTGTCAGCTGAAGCCGCAACAGCTCTTGCAGCGCTTTCTGTCGTCATTTTCTGTGGATCATGCTTGTCATGTATAGCCTGTGTGTGTGTAAGAGCTGGGGAAGCAAACTTTGAGGTTGTTTCTGAAAGCCTGTCCCTTTGTGGAAAACAAGTATCTAGAACATTCCGGTTGTAATGGCTGCCCTGAAGCGGCAAAGTAGTTGCACGTAAGCTGACTTCGACTTCTGGGAGTGCAGATATACTTAGCCGCTGGGCTTCCAGCTGTCGGGATGGTCATTGCCCTAGTAGCCGCTTATGCAAAGGGAGCCTTGCAAAAGGCCATGGATGAAAGCGTTGTAGAAGGGGAAAGTGTTCCTGCTCCTGACATGGAGAACCAACAAGCACCACTTCTAGAGACAGTCGAGCCCTGATTCACTGGGCGCCACACATAACAGAGGATGTTAGAGATCAATTTGCACGTGTCCCAAGTCAGAGGCGCTCTGACTTGGATGCTTAGGCCTATTCTTTCAATTTCTAGGTGCAGCCAAAATGAGAATGTTCTCTCGATTGTAGATGTAGGGCATTCGAGTCGAGCTTTCTGATGAACATCATTCAACATGCATGCTCGGGCTCGGAGTCACAAAACTAGATAAGCGGACTGCTGATGAGAATGTTCATACAGGCTCGCTTCCCTCCATTGTTGCCCTTTTTGGATGCGTTTAAACAGCGACATTCTAGACAACCTTTTCCTCGCGTTGCTCAGACTTTCAGGTCCTCAATCATACTATGCATCCGTCTTGAAAAGAAGTAACCATCCATCACAGTGTGCAGAAAGTATGCAGCGACCGGACGGGGTTGACCGGGTATCCAATTCGATTGTCCGTATATCATGCGAAAGAGACAGTGCAGTTGAACTTGAAGGGGCAACAATGTTTCATATGGATAATTTGATCGCTTTACATTCATGTGGGGTACGTCATAGTGGATATTCGAGTAAGTTTCATGCAATGCAGTCCCGCATCCCATGTGCGCAGTCTACAAGTCGAGCCTAGCTAGCGCATATCAATCCGTAGCTAGCTATATCGATACATGTCCATGCTGCCATGGACAATCAGACCATGCGTCAATTAGTCAAGTGTGCACCTTTTGGCCCGCGCTTATCATGTTGCGACCCATGATCGGGCAGGATCAGTATCGACAATTGAGCCGGCCTGACTCACTGCATGCAATATTGTGTTTACGCGATCCATATACATGCAGTACATACTTGGAACCCTTGATTACTTTGGCGAGGATAGCAGAAGTGCAACCAAATGCAAAATATTGCACCAGCGTCGGCACGCCATTGGCACCCATGTGGCTCGCTTGGTTCCGCTCTGGGGCAAAAAAAGTACAGCTAATATGCAAAGAACGTTGACACAGTGAATGTCGTGAGATTTGCCTACAGCGCCAACTCCATGAACCACAAGGAATACAATAGAACCATCTCTGAGAAAGGATACGAAGCATGCTCAACCAGCTTCGAAACACTTCCTCGAAGCACTAACTACAGAAAGCCCGTGTCCTCGAAAAGGTCAAACGGTCAAAAGAAGCAAGCAATTGACAGAGCGTTGGAACACGTCTTCGAATCTGAAGTCCTCACAGGATCCAGACTCGCGGTTCGTGGTAGACAATGCTATCTGTTTGCCCGAGACTTGAGCTCGTCTATGTCTATCTCTGTTTGATCTGTGGCCTGGATCTCCAATTGTACTCCATCCAGCTCCCGTCGAAACCTGTCCTTCGAGGTTGCGTAAATCATCTTACGCCTGACGGGCGAAGTATCCGGTGACCTGTAAAAGAGACAAGTTGCATGTTTGATCTGAATGGAATCTGGAGAGATGCTGAAGCAAGACGTGTTGCTAGCATCATCAGGATGTTGAGAAAAAACACAGAAACCAAAGCAACTTGCATCTCAGGTGGTGAGAAGCACGATCTGAAAACGGTTAGAGCAGCCCGAAGTATACTGAGGCGATGACAACAATTCTGGGAGCACCCGTCCCTGTACTCCAGAGTACTACGAAGTTTCAGCGTGGCAACTTTGCTATTAAGTTATAGTGACAGCAACATGGTGTGCCCGCTTGACTTGCCCGCCGCATGAAGCGCAATGGTTTAGAACTTCTGAATCCTTCCTCAGTATATGAAACCCTAAATTTTGCTCTTCGATACTAACAGCCAAGTAAAATTGCCTCTGGAAATTTGCCCCTGGAACCCTAGCGATTGAAGGGTTTCTCGGTTTCACCTCACACCAATCCAACAGCACAACTTCCTTAGCCTGCCCCACCACCCCTTGAACGGACAATTCTTCACACCCGAGGGTTGGCAAAGCAAACAGCAAGGCCCTTACCAAGCGATGAAGAAGATCTTGCTTTTCTGGCAGTTATCCTCCGTGACGAAGTTGTAGTCGTAAACAAGATATCGGCAATCGTTCTCGGGCAATGCAGCGCGGAGGACCTCGTAGTCTTCGTCAGCCTTCCCAAGCCTCTCCACTACCACAATCCCCTTTGCATCGTCCACCTTGAAGATGATCCAAGGGTAGGCCCTCTTGTTCTTCAGGTCCAGGAACTTTAGCTTACAGTCATCTTCCACCCCCACTCCGGAGGATGCATTCGCCTGGGAGAGACAACATTGTGCACTTCTTGGAAACAGAAGGGGATGTATGCGGGTAGCCTAGAAAAGAAAGGAGGCAGATCTAATGTGCCACAAGTTGCAGCATCAGCATCTTCGGAGTGATGGGACAGAGGAGCAGGGACAATGTACAAACAAACCGCACGTAATAAAAGCAGTCCCATCAATGAAAAACAGTGTTGGGCCAAACTGTCAAAGCTGAAGCAGAGCAATTTTTTGTGTACCGGAAGAAATTTCTTCCCATCGCACGAGTGGAAAGAGCATCAACCTAGCTGCTCAAGCAGCTAAGAATCTGTCAGGAAGAAACAAAATGGACAAGACGCAAAGCGGCTTCTGTTACCAATACGCGTTTGAATGAGTAAAGCAAACACCATCATTGAAGGCAGGCGGCTGGTTTAGCTACTTTTCCAACACTGATAAAAGATGCCAACAAAGCGCGCACTTACCATCCGAACAGCAAGCAGATATAGCCCAACTCCGACGCAAAAAATTTGACTCTTTAACGAGGGACACAATACCCCCCACGCCTTTTTGAAGCCTTGTACGTACACCCCAAACAGGGATGCTGACCACGCTAGCTTGTTCCAAAGCTCAGAAGAGGCGCAGCATGAGCAACACGAAAAATGCTGGCCCGCGAAAAATGTGCTGATCTCGATGGAAGACTCGCAACGTGATACGAAAATGCAATTACGTATTGTGGAAGCTAGCACCGGGGATGGCCGCCGGAAGTCCAGAAGGGGCAAGAACAGGACCCGGGTGACTGCGGGTGAGCTAATTCGTAGCGCTAGAATGTGCTCGGTACTGCTGCACCAGGTGCTGCTGCCCGGTGCCATGGTAAGGGTCCCCGGGCGGTGAACTGCAGTCAACGGGGGACACTCGAAAATTGCGGAGAAAGATGATCTACGGTAGCTGCAAAATCGAGCAATTGATTATTGGAATGCTTCATTCAACGATCCTTCAACTGGCGTTGCACTTCTCGTGATCCACTTTCCAACGTTCTTCGGGCGCCTTCTCCCTCAACTCTCTCCCCTTTGGCCCTCCTTGTTCCGGTTTAACCAGCAACCATGAGGGAAATCCTGCACATTCAGGGCGGCCAGTGCGGCAACCAGATTGGTGCCAAGTTCTGGGAGGTCGTGTGCGATGAGCACGGCATTGACCCTACTGGGACCTACCATGGGGACTCAGATCTACAATTGGAGCGCATCAATGTGTACTACAACGAGGCCAGCGGTGGACGCTATGTCCCCCGCGCTGTTCTCATGGATCTGGAGCCTGGCACCATGGACAGCGTCAGGTCTGGGCCTTATGGCCAGATTTTCAGGCCCGACAATTTTGTGTTCGGACAGACTGGAGCAGGGAACAACTGGGCTAAGGGTCACTACACAGAGGGTGCTGAGTTGATTGATTCCGTGTTGGATGTTGTACGCAAGGAAGCGGAGAGCACAGATTGCCTGCAAGGTGAGACACTCGCTCACATTTGTGCTTGTCCTTTCTTTGTCATTGCGGCAGGACAATGAAACAGACGCATATGCTTGGCAGTTCAGTGGTTGCTATCTTTACTTGACGGACTTTAGTATATTGATGGCAATGATTGGCGTGGAGTCAATTTCCAGGTGCTGGAAGTAGAGCAGGCCATGTACTCATTTGGAGGCTGGCAATGTACATTATCTGCCTTATTGATCCCCTGGAATGTGATTGCATTCTGGTTTATTCTGATAGACTGTTGCCTGCCTGGTCACTAATTTCGTGTATGAGCACATTCCAAAAGCACAAGGCTCGTCCCTTCTCTTTTGAGTTGCCATCACAGTGCTCTTTGATTCGAGTGTCCACCACGATCTTGTGCTTGCCACCATTCTGGCCAACTTTGAAGGCAATTGTAAAGTGACAGAAGTTGGTTGCAGTTGATGCTTAGATTTGCTGTCTTCAAATACTCAAGCGTCAAGCAACAAGCAAATCTCCTGTTTTCTGCCCTGCAGGTTTCCAAGTGTGCCACTCCCTGGGTGGAGGCACAGGGTCAGGCATGGGAACACTTCTCATCTCCAAGATTCGCGAGGAGTACCCCGACAGGATGATGCTCACCTTCTCAGTCTTCCCCTCTCCTAAAGTGTCTGACACCGTGGTGGAGCCCTACAACGCCACCCTCTCCGTCCACCAACTTGTGGAGAACGCTGACGAGTGCATGGTCCTGGATAACGAGGCCCTGTACGATATCTGCTTCCGGACCCTGAAGCTCACCACCCCCACATGTAAGGACACGCTTTTGCCACTTGTAGTTATGGTACCTGTTGTGATTTGCCTTCCTTTGCTTCTGGGGTTGCATTGGAAGTTGCAGTTGAAGTGCCGTCTGAATGCCTGCTCAGAAGCTTTTACTTTAATCTCCCTTAAGGCCCTTTGATGCACTTGGCCATCGCTGTTGTTGCTCTAAGACTGCCCTGCAAAACCCTGGCTAAGTCAAAGCATCAGCTTCCAGGGTCTGGAGGTATACCTATCCTTTTCGAGGGCAGGCATCAATCAAGGAGACCTCTTAGTCCACAACTGGTTGTGCAGCCAGTGCAGGTCCTCATCACAGTATTTGCTGAGACCTCATAGAAGTTTTTGCAAGTCTAGATTCTTGGTTTATGTAAAGGAGGACATCCATCACCATCCTTGCCATTGACCCTGCCCTGCTCTTTGTCTGCTTTGCAGTCGGCGACCTGAACCACCTGATCTCTGCCACCATGAGCGGCATCACCTGCTGCCTGCGTTTCCCTGGTCAGCTCAACTCCGACCTGCGCAAGCTGGCCGTCAACCTGATCCCCTTCCCCCGCCTCCACTTCTTCATGGTCGGCTTCGCCCCCCTCACCTCCCGCGGCTCCCAGCAGTACCGCGCCCTCACCGTCCCCGAGCTGACCCAGCAGATGTGGGACGCAAAGAACATGATGTGCGCCGCTGACCCCAGGCACGGGAGGTACCTCACCGCCTCCGCAATGTTCCGTGGCCGCATGAGCACCAAGGAGGTGGACGAGCAGATGCTGAACGTGCAGAACAAGAACTCGTCCTACTTCGTGGAGTGGATCCCCAACAACGTCAAGAGCAGCGTGTGCGACATCCCCCCCAAGGGCCTCAAGATGTCGTCTACCTTCATCGGCAACTCGACCTCCATCCAGGAGATGTTCAAGCGCGTCAGCGAGCAGTTCACGGCCATGTTCAGGAGAAAGGCGTTCCTCCATTGGTACACGGGCGAGGGCATGGACGAGATGGAGTTCACTGAGGCCGAGAGCAACATGAACGATCTGGTCTCTGAGTACCAGCAGTACCAGGATGCTAGCGCAGAGGAGGAGGGAGAGTACGAGGAGGAGGAGGGTGCGGAGCAAGAGGCATCTTAGGTGTACGCAAGTCAAGCAGTGCATAACCAGATGCGTTTCAGTTCCTACTATCAGATGAGACTTGTTATCAAGGGAGATCCGATCTGATTTGATACGATGTCTAGGCTCCCACCATTCTTTCTGGATTGTCGTTGGAACAGTTCTTTATGCTGATCAAACATTTGCGAGCGTCAACATTTCGACAATTCATTTTGTTGCATAATGTGTTTGCTTCAAGCCTGAGTTTTACACGTCAGCAATGCAGGTTCCGCAGACCACTGTGCGCTGCCAGACAGTCTCGCTGCCGCATACGCTCGTAAGATGCAAAAAGTTCGTTGGCACATTGAAGCGACTCATTCTTGTGGCCCCCGGCGCGTCACTTTCAACTTGTCAAAAGTCAGGGTAGCTTGACAGTACTTGAAGCCAGACCTCTTCCAGCACGTGCGGCTTCCTAGCGCATACTAACTTGCGCAGCCATACCTGAGGCGATAACAGTAAACGATTGCAGTGACCGTTAGTACACAATTCCATCATGCAGTGTGCAAAACATATGATTGGGAGCTGCCGCCGGGCCCGCGCCAGTCAATCTGCCGTGACTGTTTACGGGAAGATCATGCGCCGTGAACCGTACACTGAGATACGGACTGCATGTGATCATGCTGAATCTGATTCATGGACATGCATACAGGATCAGGCAGGCGCTGTCTTTCATGAAACTTGTGCACAAGTCATCAACTGGCATGCGCGTGAGCTTTGGCATAGCTTGTGTGCGGTATTATAACATATGGCAATGTGCAAATTCAATGTAGAAGTGCATGTCGTTTAGACAACCGTCATGGTTCAGGGTTGCAAATTGCCATGCTAGCTCAATCCGCCCTGGCATCATGCAGACAGATGATCTTTTGAAACGCATCAACTTGATTGAAGGGGGGCAGGAGAGACAGCTAGGGTAGGCTCAGTAGGTGCAGGCTGATGCAACGGTGCCGACCGGCCAGCAGAACGTCAGTTAGAGACTGAGCGGGAACTGAAGAAGTAATAGGTGTTGTGTCCTTTGTAGTCGAGCGTACGTATCTTGCTCATCGCAACAAACGTTCGCAATTCCGATCCGTAACAGACCATATACCACGCCTGAGAAGGTCGATCTGAAACTCGGTATTTGTTTCCATGCTTATCCAATCATATCATGAACGCCACGTCCTCGTTCTTGAGCCCGCTGCCGACGTAGAGCGACCCCCAGGTTCTGTCGGACGCACTGTAGTACAGCGAATAGCCGGGCCACAACAGGCTGCGGACGGTCGCCGTGCACAGGAACTCGTCGTACTGCAGACTCCACAGACCTGCAAGCGAAGGAGGACGCTTCGTAAGGTTTTACGTTCAAAGATCAGGACGGGGCTCCATCTCGTCCCCTAAACTGCTCGGGAGGTCCGATTTGCAAAAGTATACTACGTAGGTAATTGCTGCTGACAAGATCAGCCGAGGACGGTGTGTCGACTTGGATCGCGCTTGTTTTTTAAGCGAGTAGAAACTTTAGGAGAATCCAAATGATGCGACATCCAAGCGGCTGCTTTTTTCCGCAGGAGGGAAGGATTGAGAGGAGGACACCGACTTGAAAATTCGTCGCGAGTGCCGGAAACGGTTTCTAGGTTGCCCGATAGAACGCTTCTGTGCAAGGAAGTAAGAGCTGGAGTCCAAAGTACGAAGACGATGGTCTCGCGTTCCCTTCCGTCCGACAGTATTCTAGAGACAGGACAACAAAAGCAAAGCAGCGCTATCGCTCGTCCGCGACGTTCTTGGTCTAAACTGTCCTCGCATAGTATCACACACTTGGAAACACTCGGAAAGCCGGTGCACGTGGCCGTTGTGATCCCGGAAACCCTCGGTCCGGAGCCAAAAGCTTGTTTTGCACTGGCAGGCTTTGGATCACAGCAGTCGACAACTGAATCATGGTGCGAATGACACACCGTGTACTGCACATTCAGGTTTTAACTTCGCAACTCGCTCTCAAGAAATGAAACAGGCCGGTAGAAGGTCACACTTTCGTCGTTCTTGGCTCAATTGGGCGGTTGGAAAGCCCAAGCGTGTCGTTCGTTCAAAGCGTAACAATCCTCAAAGAAGAATATAACCCAATGTGAGACTTATTTTCGCCGCCGAAGAAAGCATGCCGAGAGGCATTACCTTAGGGCGCGGCGACACTCATCCGTTTGAAGGAATTGAAAAGGGACGGAAAAGTTAGGAAGCAGTAACACGAACCCTGGATGTCTTTGGAGAGGGAAGCGCCGTTCGGCCCTTGCAGAATGTGGATGTAGGAGTCCAGGCTGGAGGGATACGAGACGCCTGCAAGCAGAGGATGAACTAGGTTACTTTGGGCAAAAGCAATCTCCACGAAGCGCGGAAACGCCGGAATCCTTTGGTGCACAATGTAAGCGTGCACGGTCTTTTGTAGGTGGAGACCAAAGCATGGACTGGCTACTGCTTTCAGCCCTGCTGTACGAACCGTATCCAATCTCTTGTGCATTCCGGCCGCCCGCTTCACGAAACCGCTGGCTGTCTCCACACTGTGCAGAAGTTTCACTGGGAGAAATTCATGTTAACCAAGCTTGGTTTGTGGCTGATTAAGTGCCCCTTCTACCAAGACAAGGTGGTTTATGTTTATTTGGTTTATGTTTATGTGTATGTTTATTTTATGGTTGGACTGCCTTTTACCAGTGTTGATTAAGCGCGAAAGCGCCCTGTGTTTAGGTCAACTGAAAGTGCCTTGGGTTGACCTAACTGGATCAGACAGGCGGCGTCACTAGAATGACGTGCGTTGCAGTGAAGTCGCAAATCAAAAACCTACGGCGAAAGAAGGAGAGCCAAGGCGGCCAATTTCCTTGAGACAAAAGGTGTTTGCTGGGAACAGGGCAGCCAACGTAGAAACAAAGACGGCAGCCGTAAGTCTTGAGGGACTGGGAACAAGAAGAGGGTCGAAAGAAGCTTTGCGAAGGGAGTTGACCGAAGGAGCTCCTCATCCGCAAGGATGTGGAACGCTTTGGAAACTGCGACTCTGGAAAAGCGGGTTTGATGGGAAAGCTGCCTCGCACTCGCAAACAGCTTGTAATAAACAGGGAGAGGGGATCACGAAAAGAGCAGGCCTCCAGCTTGCAAAATCTCGCGAAGCGGGGACGGTTAAAGCCTCGCAAAAATGGAACGGATGAAAGAGAACAAGGGAGGTGCGTACAAGATTCGACTTGAGATCAGTCGAGAGTCGGCAGTCATCGAAAAGTGAAAGGACAGGGGGGAAAGCTCAGACTCTTTGACTAAAGATGAAGGAGAAGCGCCCCCTCGCTCGATGACCGCTTTTGAACAACATGAAGGCACAGATTGGACAGAAGACGAAAAGAGGAGACAGATAGGGGAAGAGGCGGCCACTTTCTTGGCCTTTAGCATGTAAAGACGGAACAACTTTGATATGATACAAGAAAATCCGAAAGGGAACCTTTGAACGAGATGAACGGAAAGAGAGACGCCCCTCTCTTTCAGTCGACGATCGGTGAACGGAGCAAGAAAGGTACAACTAAAGGAGGTGCAAACAGAAGGGACGAGCCGGTAAAAATTATCTTAGAGGCTGCTAATCGGCAAACAGCTCGTGAAGAGAGAAGGTAAGATACGGATAGGATATGCAAATGAAGTCTAAAGTGCAACAACAGCTTTCAAAGACGCGGCTGACCTGCAAACAGCAAGTGATTAGGGAAAAACAAGCTTGTATGAACGAGAGCGGGTAATTCGGCAAGGATAGCCAAGACGATGCTGACCTGCGAACAGCAAGTGGTTGAAAAACTATAAGCTTGAATGATGGAGACGCAAAGAAAAACGAAGAGATTCTGCGAAGATAATGAAGACGCCGCTCACCTGCAAACAGCTTGTTGTACACGAGCTCGCTGCGCGCGTCCAGGACGATGGCGCCCGCGGGCGCGACCGCGGTGTCGGCGTCGACGGCGCGCATCGCGGCCGCGAGCCGCTCGATCTGCGGAACAGAGTTGTCAAAGCGGTGTTAGAGGCAGCAGCCGTCAAAGTGGGGTCGCAGGAGTGCCGCTTTGGGTGGAAGAGGTTTTGAGTCCGCAAAGTATGTCAGGTCAATGAACGAGTGATTGAAAGGCTGCGAAACAGCGATGGTTGTGCTAACCCTCACGCCATCGGTAGGCCTTTTTCACCACGAATGATCACGGACTTGGATAGAGGTTCTTAGCCAGGATCGGGTGTAACCTTCTCCGTTTGATTAGATCGAGGCGCCCACACACCAACCATTTCTGGCGCTCTGTGAAGGAGCCAAACGCTGGCTCGGACGTTTTAAAGAGAAGAGGATACAAACAAGTGCCTCAACCTGCCAAGACTCAATCTTACCTCTCGCACGGGATGCGTCTTCACAGGGGCGGGCTCCGGTTCTTCGGCGGCTTCCGGCTGCTCCGCTTCAGCATCTGAAACAAAAACAACGGAAAGGCGGGTTGAGAAGCGAATGAGAGTTTCTTCCAACTTGACCAGGGGTTGGCTGTACTTCCGTCAAAATCTTGGATCAGATAAGCTTTTTGTGTTTGAAAACCGAGTCCACAATAGGATGCTTTCAAGGAAGACTAGCAGCGGGAGTGCTACCACTGGTTTGCAGGTTTGACGCAGTCATTGCGTACTTTCCGTTCGTTTTCTGCATTGCATAGGTATTAAGAAAAACACTTCGGTTCTTCCTCGAGTAGCACTTTCCCGACGTCCATGGCTCGTGTACTGACGGCTCACTTTGACGCACGAGGGCCTCATTTACGAGGCAAAGAACATGCACGTAGGTCTGGTCTCCTCTCCTTCTCGGTACCAGAGAAGGTTATCTTCCTTGCCAAGCTAACCCTACAAGTGACGTCTCATCCCGACAGACAAAAGCGAGAGGTGACGTCACCTTCTTCGGCCTCGGCTTCTCCCTCGGCTTCTCTCGGGGGAGGCGGGACCGCCTCGGTGGGTACTACGGGCTCCGGTACCTCGTAGATGTGTGCAGCATCGCCCGTGAAACCGGTGTTAATCCTCGCGCAGCGCTCCGAGGTCTCAGGCGAGACTGGCTGGAGGTCGAGCCACTTGACACCGTCCTGGCTGTAAGGATAAATGAGATGCGGGTCAGATGCAAGCGTTGCTTTTAGAGACGCTTGGTAACGCTGCACGTCTATGAGTGGCTTGCTCTGTGTTGTGCTTGTACTGGAGGAATTGCGGGGTAACTTCAAGGGGGTTCGTTGAATTGGTACCTTTTCGCACTATTTATCGAATCTCGTTTTTACTGCTGTGAGGTCCGCTTCGATCGAAAACTGCTCGCTTCCTAAGTTAGGACTCATCGTAACATTGCCCAGCGTAACATTGCCCAGCCCCCTCAAAACTCCGTTAATATTTTTGGGTCAAGCTTTGAGGATATTCTGCCTCGCTAATTGATCTGCCCAGCGTTTCTCGTTGATGCAGGCCCTTGGTCAAATTTGCGAAATCGGTGTAGGAGACTGGCAGACGGTGTGACACCACAAAAGGTTTCGTATAGCCTTGATTATTACTGCCCTGCTCACGAAGTCTGATCTCGGCTGTCCGCTTGCCTGACTCCTTGCCAATAACTCCTCAAAGGGGTCACTTCCTGTGACTTAGTAAGCTGCGAAATGTTCGACCTAGGACGCGTTGTGCAGTTCTCGAACGACCCACTCTGTCAAGTTTACAGGACTCAGAATCAGACTTTTAGATTTCTTGGTTCACAATCATCCGCCCAGCGCCTTTGAAGCCAAAACGAACTTCCTCTTCTGGTTCGCATTCCCATTTTCCATCCAATCGATTCCCTTCCCCGTCACTTCTTTGGACGATATCCGATATCAGCTTTTCCCACTAACACCAGATTGAGGAGTTTGACGAATGATGCAACTTCACACGGACAGGCGGAATTTTCAGAGGCAAAGCGAAAAATAAGCCGTCGCTAGCTGCCCTTACGCACCTGTAGTAGTACTTTGTGTCAAACTGGAATTCGTTCTTCATGCGGAACGGCGCTTTCGAGCTGCCTTGAGCGAGCAGGTAATCCTTCCCGTTCTCCGCCAGTATCTTCCCCCATAGCTGCAGGAGAGAGAGAACGGCTCATGCCACAGGAAGAGATCAGCATTAACCAAGCTTGGTTTGTGGTTGCTTAGGTGCCCTTCTACGAGGAGAACGTACTTCTTGTCTGGTTCAATGATTCCTTCAACCATTTGCGGTTCAGGACAAAAGCCTCTCGTGTGCTTTAGGCTGCCACGAATGTGGGTCTGAATGGGGTCAAAAGTGGTCCAAAAATGAAAAACGTGGGTCACCAGTGGGTCAAAGTGGTCGATTAGTGGAGAGTGCTGTGAAATTTGGTGGTAAGAATGGCTGCAAAAGTAGCTGAAAAGTGGTCAAGAGTGGTGGGAAAGCATCTTGATGATCAAATCTATCTCCAATGGAGGGAAGACGATTGGATTAGAAAACTACCACGCTCCTTAGCACCTGCTATAAGTCTCCTGGTCTGCACGTCAATGGGCTGAATCAGACTCCTGCAAGCGAGCGTGCAGCGGGAAGAGCGATGCCGTGTCGTGGAATTGTGAGCCCCACTGTCAGGGATTGTTCGTCAAAAATCTTTTCTATTGATTGGAAAATGCCATGATTACTAACATGCCAAACCTCCGTGCTGTTTCGATTCGGGGACCTTCACAACCGAATAAAGAACAATGTTATCAAGAGACAACTTCCGAGGAGCTTGCCGCGTCTCATTCAAGAAGCGCGGCACTAAGCGAGGGACGCTGACGCTGAACAAGTGCGCCCACCTGCAGCGTCGAGAGGCCTGCCTCGATCTTCTTGAGGGGCAGCGAGTACTGGAACGCCGAGACCTGCTCTGTGGTGAATACTGCCCCTGTGGGCGCCAGAGCTTCGAGGGTGAGAGTCAGGTTGCTCTCCATCACAGTGGCGGCCTGAAAAGGGAATTCCGGAAATTTTTGGTCCGTAATCAGAAATGGTCATGGGCTCGCTATGGACTGGTTCAACTCTGGTTGACTGCCCGATAACCAGAAATGAACGTTAACCTAGCTTAAAGCCCGTTTATTTGTCCCATAACCCGAGACTCAGTCTGGTAATCAGCCTGGTTAGCAGCCGATAGCTCCATTAACGGGTCAGCAAGAGGATTCAATCACACTCTCAGCGTCTCGTCTTGCCGCACTTGTAAACCATGCCGATTTCAGTGGCGAGTACAGGGCTTGCGCTATTTTGGCGGGTAGGGAGTCTGAACATCTTCCTGCAGACCTGCCTTGCTTTGTGGATAGATTGTGGCTTTCAATGCTTGATCCTGCTCTGCACACCTTTTGCATTTGACTAAGCTTGATATAAAACTTCAGGTGGCAAACTACCGAATAGTTCTTCGATTGTCACACCCAATATGTGCTGGAGCTAAACAGCTAGAGCTGCGTATTTACAAGCGAAGCTGCGTGGGCCAGTTTGTCAATGCTGATTGCTTTTGCTTAGCGTTGAGAACCTTCTAGTACTGCTCCAGGGCCCAGCTCTGAACATTTTACTGACGCACGTAGGCATTCAACCAAAAAGCAACTCCCAATCACGTTAAAGATAAAGAAGTGCGATGATCTCGTGATACTTTTCGCCCCTATTGATTTGATTGAAAGTAGAAAAGCACGCCGTCTGCCACAATATTTCGTATGGAAATCAACAGGAGGTGGCCTTCTCCTTACCATATCGTTGCACAAGAGCTAGCTGATGGGGCACTTTGCGTCAAACTGCCCGACTTGTCTCTCGTGAGATGACTTGTTTCGAAAATGGGTGGTAAGCACAGAACTCAGCTCCCAGAAGTCTCTGGCAGCAAGGAGCTCAAACTGACGAACTGTTGGTGAGACCACGAGCGCCTGATCGTGCGAACGTGATGTCAGGGTAGAATAGAGTAGGTAAGTGTTGTGAAGCTGCAGGTAGGTAGTCCTCGATGCCTTGAGGCTTGGTGTGTTTTAGAGGCAGGAATCAGAGACTGGTACCTACCATGATAAGGTAACCTAGCATGATATGGAAGGTGACATGTGAGGCCAGCAGCCAGCTGCAGGACGAATACTATCTTACCATGCATGTCACCTGTGGCGTACCAAGGTGTTCCTATTCACGGGGGTATCCTGTCAACTGATGTCATAACCCAAAGGTTAAAGCAGAACTGCTATGTACGTGCTAGTTGTTAGAACGGTATACGTGTACCCACTCAGCGTGCACCGGCTCCTACCTACCGTACCTATATAGGTACCTACCTATACCTATTGATAATTGTAAACCGGTAGGTACGCGGTCATGCATGCCACCGCCCCAACCAGTACAGTCGCTGCTCCTCCCGGTTAAATAAGGTTCCGGCGCGCGCGCATCTAAAATCGGACAGACAACCTCCAATTGCAAAGATCCCATCGACGGTTTTGACGCTGGCTCCGACGACGCGGCGGGCGGCCGCCTGTCACGGTTCCGAGGTCGCGACCGCCGCGGGGCGTGACCGGAGTCGTGTCCGATCCGTTGCACTCGTCATTGAACGGGCCCGCCATGGCGGCAGGCCGCCCTACCTTAGCTATGATTACCTCATTCCAGCAAACGTTGCCGCCCGCGCTAAATTGCAGGTCGGCCCCGCCGGACATATTGGCACGCGCGATTTCGTATGCCGAGACAAGCTCAATCGAGTCGGCCTCACACATGGTCAAACTTACATGCACGCGACGTGGCGTGCTGGAAAGGGCGCATACATAGGGAGCCCGGATTGACCATTATGCCAGGTGGACTCAGATGATTGCAAGCAGGTAGCTAGAGCTGGTTGATGAAGTGCAGACTCAGGGGAACTCCGAGCTGTTTCAACTATACCGATCCATATACCGATTCTGGCTGTACCAACAATGAGTCTTGCTCGTTGCTGTGCACTACAGAGTTTACTTTCAATATCCTCGAAATGCTCTCACAAGTACAAGCAGGTCCACAAATCAGTTCTCCATGGTAGATGATAACGACTAGAACTATCTCAATTGGAAGAAACTCTTGGTTGTGTCTATACTGACTTTCTCGACAAGAGAAGGGTCTCGACGAGAACAGAACGGATCCTTGTCTCCTAAGAAAATTAGGTCACAATATTATAAAACTCCACTGACTTAGGCTATAAATAGAACCTGTCTTAGCAAAGGTTCCCCTATGATACACTACTGTGCCCACCAGATGCACTTTTTGCAGCCCGCAAAAAGTTTTGCAACGCATGCAAGCGGGAGTCAATGTCAGCTATTTCCGCACTGGTGTCATCGGCAATGGCGTGAACACTTTGCGGTTCTGTGGCAGCTAGCCTGCCGGCATCCGAACCAGAGGCCAGACCTTCAAGGTCGTTGGCCGGCTTCGAGCCGGGCACCGACTCTCCGCTTTCTTTGCTCACGTACCTGCAATTGTACACAGCGTTATGAGCACGGCCGCTTCACTCTCCCTGACATCGATTCACAAAGCTGTCAGAGTAAAGCAAATCCGTCGATCCACGTTCCCAGCCGTCACCCCGCAGAGCAAAGCAGGCTCAATAAAGGGACTACAAGAGAACATGAGAAGAACAGAGGTTGTGAAGACCGTCGAACCTGCAAATCTCGTCCCCGTTACGCTAAACGACCTTTAATGACTACCGGCAGTTACGAAGCAACAAACCCCCGTTTCGCCTGCGCATATACCCCAGACACGCATGGCGTTCGCGAACTAACACGCAGCTTACTTTGCTAGCCGTTCTTTGACGTCTCGCAGGGCGCGCCCCGGGGAGCTCGACCGGGACGAGGGCTGCAACGGGTCCTCGTCCAGTCGGGGCGGGAGCCCGTTTCCGTTTCCGTTTCCGTTCCTGGTTCCGACTCGGTCCCAATCCGCGCGGGAAGGGCTGACAGGCGCCGACCGTCCTCCTTGCAACCCCGTTGGCGGTCGGTTGTACTCCGTACTTGATCTGCACAACCGGATGAGCACCGCTCGTTTCCATGTTGCCCTCAAGTCATACGATTTGCCTGCTATTATCTATAACAGTCAATCCAGCACCGGATAACATGCGGGAATACCAAAGCTCGCTTCCTTCACTGTCTGAACGCCCTTCTCAAGGTCGCTAAAACAGGACGTGATGTTCGCGACTGCCACGTTTACCCAGGCAAACAACCCCGGCAATGCAACTAACCAATTTTTGCCAGCCGTTGATCCTGTTCGGACTTTTCTCTGAATAGCACCAAGCAGAGCTTCATTGTTTCGCAGGCGCGCAAAACTCACCTTCTAACCGGCGCCGCGGGCTGTTCCCGGCCGTTCTGCCCCCACTGCCGCGTCTGAGGCGAGCGCTCGCGGACAGGGCTCGGGGACGCACTGGAAAACCCGCGGGCTCGCGCACTCGCTGCCGCGGTCGCGCGCTGGTACCGCGGAACGCCACGAGGGACGTCAGGACCGCTGTCCCTGAGAGGAGAGAGACGCGACTGAGGGGGTTGGATGGGAGCCTTGAAACGTGTATGAGGGGTGAGCGGGAAAGAGGTGGCGGGTCGCAACGGACAAGTGTGCGGGGGGAAATGGATAGAAGAGTAAGAGAACGTAAGAGGCTTTAAACAAGGCGGATCTCAGCATCGTTTGTTCAAAAGACTACTTAATACTTGTAGTCAGGGCTGCTTCATCCACAGCCCGAGCCGTGTACCCTTCAGTGTCGATCCCGCGAACGGACCCCTTGGGGTGGACTTCAAGGCAAGTTGCCAAAAGCAAACAACCGATCGTCCAAAAAGCGGAGGTGCTTGGGGAAGCAACAACGGTTCGGGCGTTTTGCCGGTGATGGACATCATCATACCGCACTCAACAGGAAGCTCTGTAAGATAAAAGTGCAAGCTTAAATTGAACTGTGCAGGAGCCATGCATGTCTCATTGGACGAGACCTACGCAAGCAAGCAAGCAAGCAACAAGCGGGTCCGATTAGCTCCTCTCCGCCCGGGGCGCCTTTTGCAGATCGCAGCAATTATTTTACTTGCTCGCTTAACCCAAACGCGCCTCCAACGAACCATCCAAAACGCACGAATCGGCCACTTTGCAGCGGGCGCTTCTACCAGAAAGTCGACCTGACAGACCTGCGCTTTCCCAACAGGACAACACTGAAAACTCAGTTCGTGCCCGTACCTGGCGTCCGCACTGCTCGACCTTTGCCGTTCGCTGCTACCAGCGCGGCCCTGCCGCAATTTTTCTGAACGTTCCCGTACGTATGCAGTCGGGTCGAATCGTCGGTAAGTTGTTGGCGCGGAGGCGGGCCTTGAAGGAGGCCGGGAGGCTGCAAAAGCGACTCGATCAAGTTTTGGCTTTGCACTGATCAAAGGGGCCAATCGTGTCATTTCTTGCCAAGCAGATCCTGCAACCCAGTTCTTGATCCTCCACCTTAGCTGAATAGATCCTCATCTGAGAAACTCTGCGTTTGACATCTATGCAGCTTGTTGATCTTTCCTGAGGACGTCTCTCCTTGTCGCATGTAGCACTGGGTGTACTCTGATCTTGAAAATGGTGGCCCGTCGACGTGATCGACTATTCAAGGCGCAGCGCTACGACCGGAGTCATTATTAGTCCTCCAAATACCATCAAGCGTCTCCAGTCTTCCTCTGACAAACAATCGGTTTCATGGATAGACCCGGTCGAATAAAGCCTCGGCCAGTTCACAACTCACATGGAGGTGTCCAGCTTCTGTTGACGGCAGCGAAGGGTCGTCTGAACGCGGGTGGGCTGATATCCCGAGTGGGGAACCGAGGGGAGGGGTTGCGACTCCTGTTGCTCTGATCCCTGGCCGTAACGGGCGGCGTCGGGTTCCGCGACGTGGCTGGGGAGGGGTTCCGGCTGTTGGGGGCGGAAGGCCGCCCTTTCAACGGAGCCGTCTCTCGGCCCCGAAGGCTCAGCCTGGAGACCGCAAGCGACTAGACTGATCAGGATCCTGATCTGTTGATAGATTGACAGCGAGACTGCAGAGGCTTACGTGCTGAATCCGGTCCCTCTCTCTGTGGAAGAAGCCGTTATAAGTGCACGGCGATCGACAAATGCGGCCTGAAAGTACTGGAGTGACAGCCTCGCTTCTAACACCTGATAGACGATCCCACGACGAGCCTGAACGATGGGCTAACGGGACTGTATGCCAAAGCCGGTTGTTGACTTTCGCCTTCAGCATTACCGGTGGGTTCGGGCTCACAAGATAGAAACCGTGCAGCTAAGGAGCGGAGGTGTTCTAGTTTGGTTTAGGGAGCAATCAGGAAAAAAGGAGGACCCAACGCTGCCCGATCATTATCTTCCGAGCACCCTTCAGATGCTCCGTTCCACGATGGAACAGATCTTTAGTCCAGAACACTGACAACATCGCCCACTCGTTTCAGGCGCCTTTGTCAGAACGAGGATTGAACAGAGGACCTTCTCGCAAGCCACTGGCACATCTTCTCAGATCAGCGACAATCGGAGAGCCCTCACCTGCGGCGCAGGATGTCGAGCTGACCCTCAGCTTCGCGGAGCTTCACCCGGAGTCGCTTCTCCACCTCCTTCAGCTTCTGAAGCTCGTCCGTCAACCCCGCGTTCTCCTTCGCCAGTCGCGTCACCGCGCGCTTGTGTGTGTTGCGCTCAGCGGTGGCGTCCTCCTGAAGATGAATGCGTGATCATGAGCTGGCTCAACGCGGGAGGAAGAACATGTCCCAAAGTGGGGACCAGCGAAAAAGAAACGAAGAGGCGTGCAAAATGGGGGCCTTTGCTGCGGGAAGCGGCATGAAGAGACAAGGAAAAGGGACCTTTGAGAGAAGTACGGCTCGTTTCAGAGTTGACCACAGGAGTTGGGAGTTCAGAAAGGAAACGAAGCGAGAAGTCCTCCATAAGTCAAGATGTTCAGCGAGGCTTTAGTAACATCAAGATCTGAGCAGGAATGGGTAAGGCTATGAACGCATGGGCCCGCCAAAGTTTTGAGACCACACTAGCGCTCGACTTTTCTAACCTTGCCACCGAATGCAAAAGTCGAAGCAGGAGAAATGACCATGGACATGAGATCGAAGAATGCGGAAACGTTGTCTCAAAGCTGACGTACAACCAGTTCCTTCAGATGAATACAAAAGCTTTATGACCACTCCTTCGTTCGTGGTGTTTCCCTCGTGGTTATCCGAAAGTTGGCACATTGACCAGGGAAGGCCTCACCTCTATCCGTTGTATCCTCCTTCGCAGCATCTCGAGTTCCCGCTCAGCTTGGCTTCTTCCGGGCTTGAGCCTTCCCAGCTCCTCACACTGTGACAGGGAGGAAAGTTCCAGATTCTGTGCCTCTGATACAGTGACTATGATGCTGACGGGACACAGGCGGTGAACTCGTCCGTCAGATATACATCAAATACGGTGCCATCTCTGAACTCGAGAAGGGGTTGCTAACCCTTTACCATGCGAGAGCTACTCTTGAAACATCGATGTGTGCGAAAGAGGACCGGGTTCAATGACCCACATATCCAAAGCAATCGAGAACGTCTAGCACGTGAATTCAGGGTCCAAAACTCCTTCACAATCACAACAACCATCTAGAGTGAGTGGTTACACGAAATTGCTGCCTCTGTTCAAAGGGAAAGATGTGTGGGCTCACCGACGCATCAAGCTTTGCCTGCAGGAACCTGTTCTCCCTTTTGGCCCGATCCAACTGGTTTTGCAACTCTCCAATCTGCTCTGCCGCCCCTCCTTCTTCGCCATCTGGCCTTGCATGGGCCCCATCCTCTTGCAAACTTTGCAGCTCCTCTCGAAGAGCTTCGTTCTCCTCTTTCAACCGGTCTACGTCTGAGTCTCTGCTAGCTAGTCCAGCTCGCGTGTTGAGCTTTGGGGAACGCGAGATGTTTGAGGTCAGTTGGGAGCGGAGAAACTCTACTTCGTCCCGCAAGCGCTTGATGGTTCCCTTCAGTGCAACTGGCTCTGGATGCTCTTCATAGAGCAGAGGGAGGGGGTAATGGACCCTGCAAGAAGATGGGAGCATACAGTTCAGCTCTAAGCAAACAGGACTCCTACGAAGGTGTCCTAAAGAGTCTCATGGCTTCATTGACCTTGGTAAGCTGAATCACCAATCACTTGCATCGCTTTTACCACACTTTCAGTACCGCAGCATCAAGGAAATCACGTTCTGCCCTGTTCAGGAGGAAATCTGATCGGCCCTAGATCAGGTGACCAATCCCAGTTGGAATTACCTGTCGTATTCTGCCGTGTATGTGAGAATGAGGTAGCGCTTGTTGTTGGAAGTGGGGCGTCTTGATCCTGCCGCCTGGGCCCCCGCTTTCCTGCAAACTCGGTTCAGCTCACTCAACTTATGAACTTCTAGAAAGGGCAGGCAGCAGGCTGAGATGTACGCAAGACACTGCATTGACACCCATAACCCCTTTGCATGGAGCCAAACGAGTCCCCGTGCAGATTTGGTGTGCGCTTGAAAGGTCGACTTACTTGTTTTTCAGAGCTTCCAGGTCCGTGTATGAAAGCAAGTCCACAAAGACACTCTCGCTCTCCTGAGTGACAGCTGACCGGAGCATCCGGACAAATATTGGGAAGCGCTTGAAGCTCCCCGTCTTCTGCGTGATCTCCTCCACGTCTGCAGCAAGACTTAGCCTTTGCTCAAGCGCCATAGGAGAGAAACAAACGAAAAAGTAAAGAACGACATGCGCAATTTGATAGTGCATTGCAAGAGAAAATTCTCTTGCTTCATTGTCAGTTTATGCCTACCCATGACTCACATTGAGCTTCAAATTCCCCTCTCCATCTGCTCCCATCGTTTCTCTGCTCGACCTCCACGCACAAGGTATCTCCATTCCGCACGGAGACGCACAACAAGTATTCCAGATTGTGCAGGACCAATTCGGCATGTTGCTCGAAGTCTGTTGCCATGATCATCTTATAGAGATTGCTAATTGGTGAAGAAGACAGTACGAAGATGTTCAATCAGAGTTCCCATGGTTCCGCTTCCACCAAGCGCTACCTCTTCTTTAAAAGAGAGTAAAACTTAAAGAGCATGCCAGCGTAGTCAGCGTGGCCAAGGAAAATCGTAGCTGTAGTGGGGAGCCTTTGGAAACAGGAGGTCCAGCTGGCCGCCCTAGCTACACTAGCCAGCTGGGAATAAGCCGACGATTTCTGTGCTGACGATTTCTGTGCTGACGATTTCTGTCCAGCTGGGAATAAGCAGCTGTCGAATTATCCAGAAAGTTGGTGTCGGATTTCTCGGTGTCGGATTTTGGAGAGTCGTAGCCAGCAGAGGCTCGGTTCCGACCGCCGACTTCGTCATAAATTCAAGGGTACCGTTCATCGGACGGTACAAATAAAGAAAGACAGGTAATCAAATAAGCTGAGATAATACCACGGTATCACTGTACTGAAATGGGTAGGGCTAGTACACGGGTTTAGTGTGGGTACGGGTGTGAAGCGGGTATTTATACGGGTTACGAATTCTGGATTTACAGTTCACTTGGGGTTGAGGCACTAGGTATGTATTACATCGAGTGGCATATATTACGGATTATGCATATATTACGGTACATCGCCTTAGTCTCATATGATGTGCAGTCCAGCCCAGGCCAATTGCAGCTAGGCGTGCTCTAGCTCGCGCCAATTCGCCTTGAGGACATTGGTCGGAACTGGCGCGGAGAGCAAGATCTGCAAAATTTTGGCGCGAGAATGAAGGCGGGGGTAGGTACCGACCGGCCCGTCCTCTTCGATGATGGGAGCCTTGCAAATCCGACATCCGGAAATCCGACACCAAGTTTATGGTTATGCAGTCGAGCTCTGGAGCCATCCTTGCGTGGTCAATCCTTGGTCAAGCACTCAAACCAGCTCGGTTTACGAATTCCTTTGCAGGCTCCAGCATTTCAAACCTTGAAACTACCTCCGCGATAAACCCCGCACGCGCCCCCTCGGGCCGGACGCGGCGCGACCAAGCGGCCGCGCGCGGCGGCCTGCACCACACGCTTCCTGAGACTGGGCATTGTCTCCTTGTGGTGGCTGGTTGATTTCCAAAACACGCTGCTTGTTAAATCACCTACTAAATCCACTCTGTCTCCTTGCGGCAACACCGACCATGTTCTGCGGTTGTGTGGTCTTCCCATGGCGGCGGAACCTGCTGGCTCTCCAGGGGTTTGTTCCAACTCCGTGGGCTTGGTCGCTTGAATATGAGCACCGTCTTCTTGAAGGAAAGCGCTTAGAAGAATGGGTGGTAATCCATAAAGAGTGCGAACGGACAGCACGAGCACTCGCTGAGACAGCACTGGAGAGAGGAGCCCAAGAAGAGGAGATTACAAAGCTCGCAGACCGGCATCGGCACTGCCAAGCTCTGCTCTCCCAGAAAGATCATGAACGTCGTCAAGCAGAGGATGATTGGATGGAGACAGCCAGGAAAAATTGTGAGCAAACGGTTGCGCTCGGTTTAAACCAGTCCCTTTGAATCTGACGGTCTGTATCAGGGCTATATTACTGGACGGCAGAACGTGTTCGAGAGAATTAACATATGCGGAATAGTTCATTATCGAAAGCCAATTGCGAGCTTTTGTCATTTTACAAAGCACTTGTAACACCAAAAGGGCAGATTAACGACTATTACGTTCTTTTCTTTTCAACATATTTGTTCAAGGTTACTTCTCTATTTGACATGTTTGTTCAACGAGGTTGAAGGGACGTGTTGACCATGTGTAGAAAATTGTGAACGTGCAATACAGAAACTCTGCTCACCTGGTAAGCAGCAGCAGGAAGGTCCAAGGTGGGAGCGCCTGTTGCATGGCTGTTCTGACCGTTACAAAGACCATCTTTTTGTTCTAGGCTGTAAGGAGTCACTTTGGCAAATCGAGGTTAGATGTAGCTTTCACTCATCTCGATGTTCAGTACCTTTCTAAGTAGTGAATTAAATGTCCCCTGTACGATTCATGAAATAGTCGACGTCCGCAAGTGCATATAAGGAGAGAACTTTATCCCTTCTCGGGCTTTCTCTTGAAGGGGAAAGACACCGGTATTCTTCAAGCGCAACTTCTGATTTGGTCAGCCGTGATCATGGATTTGCGGAGGCTCCAGCTGGACGATCCTTTTGGGGAATCCTCTTCAGACCTGTCGCAAAGCTCTGATTTCTTACCGTCCGAGAGTTCAGCCCCAGACTTCAAGTTGGTCGTTCTCAGTATTGGTCAACTCTCTAACATTCTCAAATTAATGGTTTCCAGGTGACTATGAGCGTTCCTTACGCCTGCAAGTACCTGGAAATGAGCCCAACCGCAAGCTCTGGTTTCAGTACGGAGACGACGTACGAGAAATCCCCTTGGAAGAAAATGACATGATCCGTCTCCTCGGAGACGCTCCGTATTTAGCAACTCATTTTAAGTTAGAAGATTCTGGGATGTACACTCTGGATGGCAAGGAGGTGGATGAGAGGAGGGGTTTGGACTGGACCTTCCTGTCATGGAATGGGGCTGGTCTGACTAGAGATAATCCTATTGTGATACGAGCAGGTAAGCTTTGCTATCAACTCCGGTAACTCTGTGGATCTTTCACTTCCCTCGATTGCTTTCATCAAGTAGATAAGCTGTAACCGGTCCTTCGTTTGCAAAACCCAAGCGTTACATTTGCTGTTTGGTAGATGAAAGTCTTTGAAGCGATCCAGATTCTTCGATTGGAGCGAAGAGCCACAACCATAGATCGTAAAGCACTCTTAATGTGCGAATCTTTTGTCTCCTTACAATGAAGCTGGAACAGAGCTTCTTGATGTATCTAGCGTCGTTTATGCAACACTTCTCCAGAGCCAACCTGGTAAAGTACATTCAACGTATGCTGGATCATTGAATTGTTCCCAGAAATGCATCGGTTGGCCACTTTTGCAATTTGTCGTCCATCTTCTTTATCATTCTGACGATCTGGTAGAAGATTGAGGTTGCAAAGAGCTCGGCGAACGAACCCCTTTGTGCTCTTTCGAAGGGCCTGAGAGCATCCCTTGTCCGCTGTCCACCGGAACGTTTGCATGCAATTTTGTCCTTACAGGCAACTACTTCTTTAACATGCCCCTCCGTCTGCGTTGCAGATCCCGAAGCTCTGTTCAAACGGCTTGGATATGCGGCGAACCGGTTGATCTTCGAGCTAGATTGGCTTATTGATGACTGGGTCGTTTTCTTTGGCTCGTTTGGCAAAAGTCAGAGTCCGAGATGCGTACAGTAGGGGAGCTGTCTTTACGGCAAAATGCAACAACTACAACAGGACATAGACCCATACTACTTTCAAAGGACACGTCACAAAGGTCGACTCTTATTATAGTAAACGTTATATAGGGGACTTGATTGCGTCTCAACCTGGTTTCTGTTTGACTGATTGAACATGTAGACGGTGAATCAGCTTCTGGCGCTGGACGACCGTGAAATCCATTCACTTACATGATGTCTTGTGCGAAAGACCTTGAATGACTAGACACGGTTTAGAGAAGTCCAGCCCTTGAAGGTTCTGAGGCCTCACCTGAAATACGTACGTTCGTGGCATGTGGCGGGGAGTGCAAATAGATCTATTTCTGGTGAGTACACGTGTTTTCTGCGAGTAGTGTCCGCGGCCTTGCGTCGAAAGGAGGGGAGCCCATGAGCATCCGGGGCCCACGTGCATCAATTCAAGGAATGTCGACCTATAGAGCTGAAGCGAGTTGGACGCGGTCAAGCAGTACCCATTGTGCATGGCGTATCCAGACTGCTACAGTTGCCAGCCAGCAGCGGTCTCGGCCCGCCAGACCTGTTGGCGACCAGCAATTCTGACTGCTGGTCCAAGATTTAAGATAGTGCGTGTCGAATGGAATTGCATATGCATGTGAGCATGTAAGCTGTTGTTTGGTGGTTTCGGTCAGCGAACGTGACCTACAGCAACAATCGTAGAAGAAAGCACCGCCCAATAGGCTACAGCTAAGGAGGAAAGGTAAGAAGGGCAGGGCTCTTTCAAGGGTTACGTTCTTAACCAACTTCGTACAAATTCGATTGAAACCCTGATTATAAAGCCTCCGCGGTAAACCCGCTCGCTGCCCGCACGCGACGCCGTCGAGCCGCCGCCCGCCAGCCGGCCGGCCGCCGGGCCGCTAGCTAGCTATGCGTGCAGTCTAGCACTATGCGACAGGCAGTCAAAGATCCAGTCTCATGCACGTCGCGGTTGGCCTAGTCAGTGCTTCTTGCTTCTATTTTTGCAGATCAAGGGAAGCCCTCAGCAAGAGCAGATTGCCAGTACCGGTACTCTCGTGTGAGCTTGGAGTCGATATCACTCTTCTCGCGCAGAGCGGGCAGGGATGCCGCCTCCAAGGTCGATTGGGATCCAGGCATGCAACCGCGCTTTGCACTTCTAGGATTTGCACTGCTTGGCATTCTGCTATGAGCAGATCCAAAGCTCATCCTCAGGTATGCTTGTTTTGACGGTTCTAGGTTCCATTCGAGGTGATCTAACTCCTTGTGTCATGATTCCTACCAGATTGTCAGACCTCAGTTTGATGTTCTCTGCTGCTCCAAGCATGTTCAACATCCATTGAACACTGTGGCACTTCTTTCTTGTTGTGACCTGTACTCCTGACCTTATAAAACCTCTTCTTGGCCAGCAGACCTTTGACATGCTGACCTTATTCATAGTCTTTTGGTTTCCAGGCAGTCCCAGAGGAGTTGGATAAGGCCACCAATGGCCCCGGGGGGCCTAGTACCGCAGATTCAGGAGACAATTCGGTCGGACTGCAAGACGAATCGACCTGCCGGGAGAAGATTCTGGTAAGCTCCAAATGTGCGTGTGAGGTAGAGATGGCTTCCAATCAAAGGCCTTCGATTCGTGCCCTCATCAAAAGCAGAACACCGCTGTCATCACTGAGGTTGTTCCTATTTGGACGGATTTGCAATCCTTGCTGCCCCCGGTCTAATCCTATAGGTAGGTGTTGACTTGCTGTCTTGTAACTTTCCATGGCATCAGGATTGATTCAACGTTGTCGTCCCACTAAGTTGCTCAAGCAAAATAAAGGCTGCGAGTCTCTTGCATTAGCCAGCTTCATGAAGGTATTGCGCTTCTCGAGCATCTTAGTGCCTTTCGTACATAGTAACAGAGAAGTTTCTAGCTGTAAACCATGGATGGTTAGGGGCTGGTTATGGCTGGTCAGAGAATGGTTATATGTCCAGCAAACAGACATGGGCTTTAACCAGCCCCGTAACAATGTTAAGCCGAGTTGTTTGTTCAATAACCTGAGACTCAGTCTGCTAATCAGCCTGGTTAAAAGCCAAAACTTACGTGTATAAGCAAGTTCAGACTCTTCTTTGGACCTTTGTCCAGCCTTCGGAAGCGGGCCACCATGCTAGCTGTCGTCTCCGATCGTTCCAGTCATCGGCTTCTGACACACTCGACCTCGTCCAATCGACAGGGAAAGTCCAGCATCAACACGAATGCTCGGGCAGAACGGGGCGCGCCGGTGAAAACGTGCGTCCACGTTCACAATGTGAGTATTTTATGCGTCTCTTCCAGCCTGCTCAAAAGCTGCTGAATGCTTCCGACTGGTTGTTGCACTGAGGATCCAAACTAATGTGACGGAGTGCCCTTCCTTTTTCCCACCCAGACGCCGGTCGGAGGGATGGCATTTCTGTTACCCTATTTCCATCGCGCTCTTCTGCCCAGCCCGTCTCGTTTGCTGCTCATCATATTTCGTCAAGGCAACCGTCATCCAAATCACTCGTGCCGTAGAAAAGACCAAGCGTTCTCCCTTCATGACAGCTTGGCAGATTTTCCAGCACTTCAGATTCTTATATCATCTAGCACTCTCGCCTCTCCCCACTTTCTCGTCCTGTTTTTCCTATTTGAACTGTATCCCTGGAAAGGCTATGCCGCCATCCTATCTCCTTTCGTTTTCAAATTTTATGAGTCTGAGTCTTTCGGTCAGGCAGTTTATACCGAAAGGTTTGTGCGGATAGGCAATTGTTCAGGTACCGAGTAGGTCTTCCTACATGACTTGACTGCAGGACACTGTTTCTAAGACGAAGGAGGTACTTTTTTCCCGTTTCCAACATCAACAGACTTCCTCTTTGTGCAGTAGAGATCAAGTACGCCCATCTCATGAGAAGACATGAAGAATTGGAGAAGGCTGCGTTTGAGAAGAAGGACGAGCCTGATTGCATTGAGAAAGGTATGCATAGCGAGCTGGAAGGTGCGGACGATTGACGTCACGAAGAAGCTCGTCGAGAGATATATAGAAATCTAGAAAGTGAAGCTGACAAGCAGAGGTACATACGTTGTTCACACGGGGCCTTGATGAGGATTTATTTGCATCTCGTAGATTCCCTGTAACTTGTTTTCTTTCTGCTCGCAGTGCTGCTTAAGCTGCGCAACTGTTGGAGCCGCTGGCGGAACTCATAGGTGCGTACATCTGTTGAAACGACTCTGCTCCCATATGGATTGCGCCACCTCTGTTGCTCTTCGGCTGTTCTCTTGACGTAACTCCGATGGGACTTTCTTCTTCACGCTTTCTGAGAGTACGTAGCATCACAAGGATGTAGGCGGCGCCAACCAGGCGCAAGCTGAGCACATGCATGTTTGGGACGACGCTCTTGACGATCGGGATACGTTTAGGATACATGGAGGAGACGTTCGTTGTCATCTGGAAGGAGATGGATCTTTTGTACGTACTAAGTACTCTCAGAAATGGTAACGTAGTGGAGGTTGTTCGCTTGCAAATGCAAACCGTTGCAGATTGAGTCGTTAGAGACCAGAAACACTCCTGCATGTACCGTCTTCTATACACTTGACATCTTTCGTACGAGTGTGAAATCTGGAAAGTGATACGCTGCTGTCGGAATAAGATTCCTAAAGCGATGCAGAATGTTGAATGGCCCTGGGCAACACCTTGACCAACCATGTACCTACAAGCATGCTGTTTGATACAAGACAACGGTGGTTGCTGTTGGCTCTGACTCGCCCGGCTATGCAAGTGCAGCATATGTTGGCACTGCCGCCGATCGAGTCAAGAGGATTCTAAACCAGATGCATGCGAGAAGAGTTGCATGTGGCTACCCTGGTTTGCAGCGGCCCGCGAGACCAAGAAACCGGATCGACTTGGACAGAAGCCACCAAGTTGAGGCATAGCCAGTGCGCCGGGTCGTTGCTTGGTTGAATGTAACGAACGCTAGAAGAACACATTCGTGATGGCGGCCCAACCTAGACCGTCTACAGTAGGTTCCACCTGGCAGGTGCACGCGCTGCTCTCTTTCAAGAAGATCCATAGGACCTGTCGTTTAGGAGAGAGCCCTCCCTTACAACTTATCGAATTAAGCAAATGTGAACGTCGTTAAAGTATAAGGGCCCGTTCGTTGGGACATGATCCAGGGTGGGAGGTAGGATAAACAAATGGTCGACATGCAAGTCAGGCGTGACAGTACGTCATAGCTTAAGTCGATCTGCGATCGACAGCCTGATTCTTTCGGACCGCTTTGGACAAGGTAGTACCGCTGTGGCTCCGGCGGCGGCCGCAAACGTGTTCAGTTACCCTGAAATAACGCACTCGATGCTGTAAACTCCTAATTAAGGCGCAACGTGAAGCGGGCGAGCATGCGCAAAATTAGATCTGGGCGTTCGACGAGACTAAGGAACCATGTGGACATAGTCAACCGGCCCGCTTTAACGGGAGATGAGGTTAACTCGACGATAACTTCTGTCACGGAATACGTTGCCAGGTTCAATCGCTCAGGTCATCTTGCAGGGAGTACAACTAGAACTCGCATGGCGCTAATTCCTTGTCTCACAATACAATCGAAGTCTGTACATGAGAGAACGGCCAGGCGCGAATGACATTTCATACATGCAAGTGCCGGTTTTCTCCAGTCAAGCGTCCAATTAAGAGGTCGGGTTGTGGTAGCGTGTCTAACAACAGCGGCAGATCGCCCCTAAAACCTAGAACATACATAGACTGTCTTTGACTAACAGCAGGTTTATGCAGTCGCTGTTGCCAGCAGTCCACTATGTCGGAGCAACGGTTCCGTCGACGGCTCTCTTCCCCGGAACTCCTTGAACACCTGCATCGCCAAAACACGAGAGCTTAATCTGATTTGGAAGACTTAGGGAAACGTAAAGAACGCATCCAAACTTCGCGTGCATGAGCACTGCAATCGAATTCCGACATACTTAGCTCAAGATCATTTCGCATCGACTGTTGGCAGCTTCAAACACGCCGGGACAGCAGCGCAGCTATTTCTAGATACACGCAATCTGCGAAGGTTGCCTGCTCAGAGGACCATAAGTCCTTGTGAGCTCCCAAAACTGTGACCGAAACGGTGGGCGAGTTGGAACTGACGGGGGAAGCTCCCGTCAATGACATAGCACTCCGTCCAAACCTGTTCATATGTTTTGAACCGTCCAATTCGACGCTACGCAATCTCTTTAGAACCAGGGTCAGTTTCCGTATCAGCAGGAATGTGTTTATTATTGAGGTAGATCTTGCTTTGAATCAGGGGAACACAGCTTACTGGAAACCAAAACCGAGATACTGGAAACCAAAATTGAGTTACTGGAAACCAACACCGAGTTCGTCAACAACTTCTCACCTCCAGCGGCGCCTTCCCGCCGCCCAACCCCAGCACCGTCTCCGCAAACCGCCGCCCGGTTTCTTGCACCCGCTTCTCGTTTTCCAGCCCCACTTCCTCGAACGCCGAAAAGGCGTCAGCGGACAAAACCTCGGCCCACTTGTAACTGTAATAACCGGCAGAATAACCCCCTGCGAAGATGTGGGCGAAACCGCAGAGGAAACGGTCTTCCGGAAGGGGGGGCATGACCATCGTCTTTTGGGCGATACGACGGTCGGCGTCGAAGACGGACTCGGACCCCCCTGGGGCGAAACGGGAGTGGAGGTCCAGGTCTACGGAAGCGAAGTGGATCTGCAACGGGGGAAGGATTTGCTGTGAGTAGCCATTGAAATGGGAGAGGGGGGGAGATGTTTGGTCGTCAAGAAAGCGGAAAGGCGGGAGAGGACTTTGTGTGAGGCGCCGCTAGACGCCGCTGTGGACGGGGGGAAATAAAGGAAGGCTTGACGTCAATCAGACGCATGTTTTCTCGCAACATTAGGCTTAACAAGGCGGGACAGTCTTCGATCAACGAACTTTGCCAGACGGACTTTGCAAAAGCTTGCTGGCCGCACAATCTCGCAATGGACCTGGACGAGGAAAGCGCGGTCAACGGACCGTGCCAGTCAGAATAGTCACGAACGTCATTACAGGGAATACAAGCAGACGACCTGGTCACAAATTTGGCTTCCACCAAAGAGTAGGCCCCATCGTGAATCCACGAAGTCGGGACCGCATATCCATAGTAGCCTGTTCTGCATGTCCTGAAAGCGTCAAGCTCCCTTGATGCGACGCGCTGAACTTTAGCAACAAATCAACTTCCATACGCCTTCTCTCTGGATTTGCGGAGCACAATCTATTCACTGACAGAGCAGAAGAATACCAAAAAAGTAAAAGCGCTCACCTGGCGCATCATTTGAGTGCCCGCCCGGAACGTCTGTGCCGCCACCAGCTTTCTGGTTGATGTCCTCGGGGAGCGGTTACCATAACCAAGCACTAACCAAGTCAATCATCCGAAAAACGTCCATTACTTACCTGGCGCATCATCTGGCTGGCCGCCCGGAACGTTCGGGCCGTCACCAGCTTTTTGTAGATGTCCTCGGGGAGCGGTTCCCCCGTCTCGAAATGGCGCGCGAAGCCCATGAGCGTCGCCCGGTGATAGCACCAGTTCTCCATGAACTGGCTCGGCAGCTCGACGGCGTCCCACTCCACGTTGCGGATACCCGCGACGAAGCCCTCGTCTTGCCGGGTTAGCATGTGCTGTGGGGAAGAGAGAGTCCGTTCCAAGTGTCACTTCACTTCATCCAACTTCGTAGACTTTTACTGATTTTAACTGGTCTTGGCTGACATTGATTAGATTCACTGACGTAACTTAACTGACTTACGTCTCACTTAAGCCCTCGATGAAGCTCTCCTTTTTCCAGGTCAGAGAAGGAATGAACATTTCGGGTTTTTGCTTTGATAGCCCTCAAGTGCGACCGTTATCTTTCACGCAGAAATGGCTGCAGCAAGATAGCTGAGCATGTCCCGTTGGAAGACGTTTCGATCCGTATGTACCAGACTTTTCAGGTTCTAGCAGACAACCTATAACAGCCAGCATTCAAAGCCTCTCCATGGCGAATCAGCATATGTTGCGAAAATAAGCAGCAGAGTCGCGGCTGAAAGAAAGATCTTGGTTCAAGGTTTGTGAGAGGTTCTACAACAGACAGAATTTGTCTCTTCTGCAATCAATGCAGCCCTCGTATTGCTGAGTGAACAAGTGCGGCCGGGCAGTTAGAACTGGTTTAGCGTCAGAGCGATGTCCAACCAAGAGACACGATATTCCCAGCAGACTTTTCGGCGTTTCGAATGGCTGCCAGTTCGCAGCCCCCAGCTTCCTGCTCAAGAGTCCTGCATGACTAGATCCTAGAATTAACTTAGGAACGCTTTTCCAAGAAACACGAACGCCAGAAGCAAAACAACACCGTTCAAGATTTAGGGCAAACCCAAGAAAGGAACGTCGTAAGTCAAACCACCCACCTGCAACGCATGCCCAAACTCGTGGAAGAGCGTCTCGACTTCCCGGAACGTCATCAAGCTCGGTTGGTCGCCGACCGGAGGCGTCTGGTTACACACCATATGGGCGACCGGTAACCGGACTGACTCTCCCGGGGGGGCCAGAAGCTTGCTCCGCCCTAGCACTTCGTCCATCCAAGCACCCCCCCGCTTCTCGGCAGGACGGGAGTAGGGGTCGAGGTAGAAGTAGGCGGCGGGCTTGGAGTCGGGGCCGGTGAGTTGGAAGAAGCGCACGTCTTTGTGCCAGACCTGAAACAAGAAAATGATGAGTCGTTCGTAAATACTCTGGTCACGTATTCCAGCAGATCCGGTTAGCACGACTTTTTTGAGGTCAAAGCCGGTGAGTTGGAAGAAGCAAACGTCTTGTGCCAGACCTGAACACAAGTGCTGCCAGTCGTTTGAAACGCATCTCAGCTATCTGGGTTACGGTATTTGGAGCGTCTAAAACGAGGCCGGTGAGTTGGACGAAGCGAAAGTCCTTTTTTGGGAAACCTGGAACAAACTTGCCAACATTTTACACCGCAATTCGGCCTGATGTACAGAATGTATGGGGGTTGGAGCGTCTTGGAAACGAGGCCGGGTGAGGAAAAGAAGCGGAGGTGATTGATACACACCTACGGAGAAAGTCTCGTGGGCTTGTTTGTACCAAATTGAAGCTATACAATCACAGTCAACACCCTATAATGCCGGGGCCGCTCAACCGACACCCCGGACAGCTTACCGGCGCCTTCCCGTCCGCTGCTTCGACCGTCACCCCAAACAACTTGTTCGTGAGCCCAAACAAGCCCTCCAACACGCTCGGCAGTGCGACAGTTACGACCCTGAGTCGCAAGAATGAATAAAAGAATTTGTTTTACTGAACAGTGATTTAATGAACACTCACCGGCGCCTTTCCGTCCGCCGCTTCGACCGTCACCCCAAACAGCATGTGCGCGAGCCCGAACATTCCCTCCAGCACGCTCAGCAGCTCAGAAAAAGTCCCACAACATCGAACCTCAGACGTGGAAAGTTTCATAGGACAGTGATTAAGAAAGCACTTACCGGCGCTTTTCCGTCGGCTGCCTCGACCGTCACCCCAAACAGCTTGTGCGCGAGCCCAAACATGCCCTCCAGCACGCTCGGCAGAGCGAAGTACGGCCGCAACTCTTCGTCGTTGATGCTGTACTTGGCTTCCCGCAAGCGCTCCGCCCAATACGTGATGTCCCAGTGCTTCAGATCGCTCCCCTCGGGCGCGCCCGACTCAGCCGCGAACGCCTTCAGGTCCTCCAGGTCCTTCAACGTGGAGGGACGGCATTGGTCAAGCCGCAGAAAGATAGTAGGAGAAGAAAAAGTTCCTTTGATGGATCTTATGATTATGTGAGAGGAATCATCGCTCTACGAGGAAGGCATTCAAAAGGCAGAAGCGGAACCAAATAGTCTATACGGAAAGCGAACTGCGTCAATTTAACAATTCGTAGACCGAGAAGGAACTCTTTCCTTGGACTCAAGATCATCACTAGAAAGGCCACCAGAAGTCAGCTGCTCCATTGTATTCGCACCTGAAGCTGCACCTTTGCAACACGTCGCATGCTTTGGTCGGCCTCGCTTCGCTATGGTTACAGATATGCAAATGGGATAGGGCAAAGAAGGCCGGCCTCGCTATGGTTAATTCAACTAAGGATAAGACGAGAGAAGCTGAGGACAAGCAGTCGAACGCCAGCGGAAGAGAGATTGAGTGGCTTACTAATCCAAATCAAAAGAGGGTCAGACGTGACGAACGGAATGGCTTCCGTCACGCAGAGACTTAACAAAAGGTCTTGCGGCAATCGACCACAAAGGTATGATAACACCGACCCGAACGGCAGGTCTCAGGTCTAACCTCGACCGCCGCATCCCGCATACAGCCCCTCGAAGCCGCACTTCGACTGCGAAAGCATTCACTAACCTATGACCGGGAAAAACTAGAGAGCAAATCTGACACTTTAAATTAAAGGTTAAGAAGCGGGGTTAGGACTGACCTTGAGCGCCGCATCCCAGGACGCCGCGCGCAGCTCCTCCAGCAGCCCCTGCGCGCGCTCGAGCGTTGCCATCTTGGTCGCCAGGCTGACGTCAGCGTGACACTCGAACCCTAGCAGCTGCGCCTTCTCCTTCTTGAGCGCCAGAATTTTCTCGATGATCGGCGTGTTGTCAACGTCCCCGGTACTGGCCCTCGTCAAGTACGCGCGGTACATCTCCTCGCGCAGCGCGCGGTTCTTCGCGTGTTGTAGAACCGGGACGTAGCTCGGCATGTCGAGCGTGAACATCCAGGGACCCGATTCTGCGCGAGCAACGAAGACGCTTGTGAGATGGCGGTCAAGTGGCACAACTACCCACGGAAATCAGCGCACACAGTACAGAGTAGTGGCTTCACATGCACAACGTGCTTTTTCCAACTCAAATTGGATCGGGCTAAACAAACCCGGTGGTAATGAATCTAATACAAAACACAAGGAACACGCAGAAACAGATCGTAAACGACCTGGCAAAGTGCAGGAGGTGGATACAGGTGCAAGCACAGAGAGTGTAAAGATGAAGGTGTTGTAAAATACGACGCGGCATTATAAGAACAACAAAGTAGAGAAACGGAAGAAACCTGCAGTCGCGTTCTCGTGCCCGTTTGCGGCGGCGGTCTGCGCGGCGAGACCGAGCGCAGACGGCGGGAGGCCGTTGATCTCGGCGGGGTCTGTAAGGAGCTTCTTGTAGGCCTTGGTGGCGTCGAGGAGGTTGTTGGAGAACTGGGTGGACAGCTGGGCAAGCTCCTGCGCGGGCGAAAACAGGGCCTTTTCAATTCGGGAAGATAGAAAGGAACAGAAGACTCCCGGATCTGGCTGCAGTATTTGATACCACGATTTGTGGTTTCCGAGAGTTCGACTCCTTGGCAAAGTAAAGTACTTGATCACGAGTGGTTGACAAAGCTGCAACCGAAGAAGATGGTTGTCCAAGCCTTTCCCCAGTTTCTTTCAAGCCCCCTTGCTGGTCGCTCCGTTGAATGCTTGCAGGTTTGATTCAATATGCATAGGCTTTTAAGATGGCGCTTAAAAAGATTGAGAGCGCCATCCCCCTTGAATGAGAATTCCAGATTTCCGTACCCCGTCTCATAGTTCATCCTACAACTCCTGCAAGAGGCAGTATAACACCTGATCTTACAAGACGAAGGGCGGGGCGAACGCAAAAAAACTTCTCACAAACGCAGAAAACTTCTCACAAACAACAATCGTCGGATATATACCTCTCGGAATGCTGGTCCCTCTTCGTTTCTAAGGTCCTTCATCGTTTCGAGCAGAACGCTGGCCCCCTCTCTTCCTCGAGCCCCAATCTCAGTCGCTCCTCTTATCCAGCAACACAGAGAGAGAAGAGACGTTGACTTGCTGATAGCACCCCTTGGAACAGCTTCTTTCCTTCCCTTCGAGCACCCCAACAGAGTCCTCAAATCAACAGACGAACCCAACACAAAACTCCCAATCCCGTACCTGCTGGATCTCGTTGAATCGCTCCTTCTCCTTCCCTTCCAGGGCCACCCCGCTCAGCGTGGCTTCTCTCAATTCCGCCTCCACGATCCGCTGCTGCGCCTCCGAAAGGGACTCCCACTCGGGGCCGTCCCGGAGGGCCCGGTAGGCCTCGTAGATGGGCTTGCTCTGCCCGACCCGCAGGGAGAATGCCACTCGTTCCGGCTGCAAAGAGAGCGACACTCCTAAAAACAGGGCCCCTTTTAGTGTAGTAAGATTTTTGGCTTCTCAAAGAAAGAATGAGGAGGGAAGGGCCCGGTAGGCCTCGTAGATGGGCTTGCTCTGGCGCACCCGCAGGGAGAACGCCACTCGTTCCGGCTGCAAAGGGGAGCAACGAGGCCCTTGAATTAGGAGTTTTAGAGACAGAAGTTAATGAAGCGAAGTTCAGAGTAGTTTCCTCTGGCGGCGAAAAGAAAGGAAAGCATTGAAAGAGCCCAGCGGGCCCCGCAGGTTGGCTTGCTCTGGATGACCCGCAAGAAGAAGGCGACTCGTTCCGGCTGCGAAGAGGGAGAAAAACCTGTGAATACGGCCTCTTAATCCAAGAATCACGCGTCAGAGTGAATTCATGTTCGGATCAGAAATAACTTCTCTGGCTTGCAAGATGAAGGGATAAACCAGAAGGCTCCTGCACGAGATGGGCTTGTTGCGGCCCATCTGGCAGGAAGAACGCCACTCGTTCCGGCTGCAAAAATGTTGGAAGCTTCTGAACAAAGCCCCAGGTAAGTAGAGCGACTTATGCTTCGTCGATGAGCTTGTTCTAACCAACCCCGCAGGTTCAACGCCAAAGAGAGCAAAAAGAGCAACCAACCATTGAACAAGGCCCGTTATAGTCAGTTAAGGTGACAACACATCCACCTTGCAAAGAGTTATGAAGGACGGAAGGGCTCTCTGAGCGTCACAGCGGGTTTGCTCTAGCCAATCGGAGCGAGAGCGCAACTCGTTTTGGCTGCAGAAAAAGCAAGAACCCTCTAAACAAGGCCCGTTGTTGATGAGCTTGATAGGGCCCAACTCGGACGATAATTGCCACTCATACTGGCTCTAGGAGATACAACAGGACCTGTTACAGGGCCCCAAGAAGGTCATAGACCCTTCCATAAGGCAGGTTGCAACTAGCCCAAAAACAGAAACGGAAAAGTCTATGTACAGAACATTCGCACCAAGAAGCCGTCCTCTGCTTGCAGCAGGGAAATCACATAACAGGGCCCCGCTTTTGCGTTTGCATCCGGCCTTGCACTTCTCCTTTTTTCACGTGCGAGTAGAGACGCATCATTTCGGAAATTCATATTGTAGCCAACGAGCTTGTTTTAATGGCCGACACCAGTGCTACCCGTTCAAAGAGGGCCTTGTATGGTCCAAGTGACACTCTGCACCAAGTTCCAAGTGTTGGAAGCGGAAGGTGAACCAATCAACGGAAGTCCTATCCTTACAGACTTTCTCATCAAAAACCATCAGAACCAACCAGGCTACAAAGGAAAAAATGAGCTTGACGGAGAGGTGAACACTCACCTGGACTTCTTCAACCGCATCCCGCAGCTCCTTGGTGTCCTTCACTGCCTTTAAGTGGCTTATGGTGCCCCACGCAACCGACAGCTTATCCCCCAGCCGCTCCAGAGGCTCTACCAGGCCAGGCCAGGAAGGCGCCACAGACGCCTCCAATGATTCGAGGTCCTTCGTCTGCAATTGAGAGGTTATTCAAGTACTTAGTTTGCTCTTACTCAGTCCTTTGGAACTCACAAGAACGGTCTGGTCTCAAGAACGGTCTGGTCTGATGTAAGAGGGTCTCGGAGGGGAACTCTCCAGAAAATCTGGGGCTTACAGTCAAACGGAGAATAGTCTGTCCAACTTTACGTAAGTTTGTCTGCTGAACAACATAGCGGGGAACCGACTCCAGTGATCGACCTATTTGAGCTGCAACTAGTAGGTCCGGAAGATCAACTCGTAAGAAGTACTGGACATGCTCTCAGAAACAAAGGCTCTTCTTAAGTTAGTGAGGCGCCTGCGAGGAGAGGGCAATTGCCCAAAACACTGCAGGTGAGCTGGCTTGACGTGTCAAAATAATCAGTAGCCAAATAAATGAAGGCGAACGATACAGTACTCACCAAACCTCCGACGCTTCTTGCTTCAAAAACACTGGTCAGGCTGCCTACAGAATAGACTCACTCTAAGTAGCAAAGGTAGCATCATTGAATGAACAGAGTCCAGACAGGGCCTATGCTGCGATCCTGGTGCCGGTTCAGTAACCCTTATCTCTTCACTATTAAGGACCTTCAGCGCCGGTGTCGTCACAAAGCTTGTAACACATGCAAATGCCTTATATACAAGCTGGTGGCTTTGATGAAGTCCCCTCCCTCAGCACCCTCGCTGAAAAGGTATGCAATATATTACACAAAAAGGACTGGTAGACAGGTCTGTATTTTACAAAGCAGCTTTTCAAGATTTTGCACTGCTAAGAAAACTATCTGCATTTAGAGATACAATTGCTTGCAGATACTGATTTAAACAATCCTGCTTGCATCGCTTCCACTGAAAACTTTCAGAGCGTTTGTCCGACCGACTCACCAGATCTTTCAACAGGCTCCTGATTGCCGGCACCACATCCTTCGCTTCAACTTGGTCAAACAGAGGAAAAGGGGCGTCCGCCAAAAGCGGGTTGTTCTCCAGGCCCTGTACGCCGGCATCAGCACTCATGGTAGCTCGCCGAACGTGCCTAGATTCTGCGGCGTGAAGCTTCAGAAGGCCTCTGCCGAGAAATCCCTTCCCAACTTGACCTAAAGGCAAGCCCTGCTTCGCTGAAGAATTTTCAGCGAGGAAACCCTTGGCGGAACTGTTCTGTGAAGCGGAAACTGCGGGTGTCCACAATGCTGCCTGCTTGGCACGAAGCTGCTTGCAGGAACATGCACCAGAAGTTACGACAGAGCTGGGGATGCGTGTAGCCAAGCGCTGGAATGTTGCTGCCATAGACGCCATGATCCAGCTTCAAATGAAACTTGAAAGCGATGAAACTCAAAGCAATTTACGCTAGGCTAACTGTGGCCTGTGTGTGGATCTTCAGCAGAGCCTAGGTGAACGGTCACGATGAGCCCACGTTTCTCGTTGTTCATATCCTGCGGCTGGAGCCTGAAGGAACCTGGATAAGCGGCCGTACGCAGGCCGGCCGCGAGCCATATAGCCGCAGCCGCAGCCGCAGCCGGCCGCGCGCGACGAAATTTGTGCCACCCCTTTGCTCGCGCGCCTTCTCTTTCCGCCTCGTTTCCGCACTAAGCTTTTTGTCAACACAAACGGCCGCGCCAGGTGTTTCTGATAACTGGAGACTTCGTTCAATTCGTTTCACAGACAGCTTGCAATATCGCCGGGTTCGGCCACAGTTTCGGCAAACTCAGGAATATGGACATGACAGGGAATTGATGGGCAGAAGCATGTACGCACTTGAGGAAATGCTTCTCCAGTACAACAAGAATGATCGTGGAACAAAAGAGAAGGAAGCCAGGTCTCTTGGTGTGCACGGCTTATATTATGGGGGTCGTCGATCGAACGCAGATGCAGACGCCAAATTGGAGGTTTGGTCAAACCTGTAAGCTGCAAGCCTAGATCAACAGTCGCCCTCAGCCTCTCGAGCTCGTTGCTTTACCTCCTTGACAGAGACTCGTACCAGACTAGTGCTCGTTTGCCGCCCAAAATCAAGACACAACCTCTAGCGATCCTGCCCGAAAGCGCTGGAAAAGTTGGTTGCGAAGTTTGACATGCACCTGAGCTTGCAAACGGAGTCTGCATGAAGGAGTCAACTTTGCCGTTGCTCGAGCGCCGGTTTGAAACCTCTGCTGCGCAGACATGTAGCGCTGCAGCGCGTTGAGACGGCTGTCCAAACGTCAAACACCTGCTTTGTCTTTGATCCACGGAGTCCATGCACAAAACCTCTCTTCTCGTCCTATAAGTAGATGATGACTAAGCCGTCAAAGCATCTCTGGACTTACGAACCCAGAAGTTGACCACGCTCCCTTGATTTAAGGCGCCTCCGGCATATATTCCACAGAACCTACAGACTTTTGAGACGTCTTAAGGATTTGGTTGGCTGCTGTCGTGCGGTGTAAGAGCCGTTAGCTCTGTCCGCTCGCCATCTTACCGCCTTCTCGACCGTCTAATCTGAAGAGCACTCGGACGTAAATTTGGCGCAACTGTCAGCGCCGGGTTTGTTTCTTCCTTCCTTAGAAGTGTTCGTCGCTCCACTATGCCGCAGGTCTCTGCAGCCCGTCGATGATCCGACAATCAACTTTGGAGGCTAAGCTTTGATGCATTGTGGCCGTAAATGGCTCCCGACATCTGCGCCGCTCGTTTGGCTTCCGATCGAAGGGTTCCCCACTTCCTCGCTCAGATTTTGGCTCGACTTCACTGACTCCTTTCATTTGACGCTGCGCGAGATCAGAATCATGAGCTTGGCCGTGGCAGCGCAAACGACTATTTCAGAGAACGTCGGCCCCAAATCAAGCAATGTCCGGGAAAGCTGAGCACGGGAACGTCCTGGACAACCGGAAACATCGGAACGGGGACGGATTGAATTGCAGCAGCAACGAAAAACGAAACGGAAATGCATACGGAAACAAAACGGAATCGGACACCGTGATCTGGCAGGTCGTACTAGAAAGAACGGCCAGGTATGATGGTAGGCAGCAAAGTCGTGGCGTTATGGAAAGCTAAAATCTGCTGCGACTTGGAAACATCGCTCCGCCAATGCAAAGAAGATTTCTGGCCGATTTATGGACCAGCAGATTTCCACAAAAGACTCCAAAGCCGTGCCAGCCGTTTCCGGTACTTCCCAAGCAGGTACGTACTCCGCGCAATGCCTCTCACTAAGAAGTTTTCAGAATAATTGTACACGAGAGCGCGGACGGGTCCGAGCCGTCAAACCTCAAGCTACTACGTTCTCCGGCTCTTCGCTTATCTCCTCGTTGGAACGCAAACCAGTGCATCCTCCCCTTTTGGATGGGCGTACGGGTTGCCTTAGTCGGGACATCTGACCGGGCTGTTAGGCTTTGTACTATGAGCCTTTTCGTCAAATATACATTTGTCACGGCAAAGGCGGTTACCCTGTGCTGTCAATCCTACGTGTACGTGTCTGATTACCGTATGATGTTGTTTGAGTTTCTCAGAGCTGTCAAATGCAAAGCACGTTTGCTCGAACACGCGCGAAGTTCAGATTCTGGGTTTGAGATTGCAGACACGTGGTTTGCAAGTTGAACGCACCTTCTTCCGAAGACGGACGCATCTGCTCGAGCAAGGAGAAAGGTAATCCTTCTGTTCGATAGCAAAGTAAGTCCATCAAGAAGTCAAAAGAAGACCTAAGAGAAGACAGTCGTGGGCAAATTTCTTCGGGATTCTCCGATAAACTCTGCAAACAAGAACCAAATCTTCGAAAGAAGCTCGCAGGCAGAGAGATTTCACTTCTCCTCAACGGAGCCGACTAGATGGTGGGCGTTGTTTTCGGATGGACATATCCCTCTTGTCTGTTGCCGGTTCCTTTTGAAAATGCAACTTTTCCACCGCGAATCCTTGTTTGCCGTTTTATGCGTCAACGTTTTCACGATCTGTCAGTTCGAGGGTGTCATAAGTGCTTGTCAATTCTTCATAAGCTGGCCCCGTGACACTCTTGAGCCGTCTGAAGCTGATAGAGCTGGTGGGGGTGCGCACGCCGCCGTCTGACAGCGGCGTCCACGTGGCGCCTCCAGTGCCCAGAAATGTCTTCCATCTTGATCCTGTTCAGACGGATCCTTTTTGTACCACAGAAAGGAGTCCTAGTTCAAGAATGCTGCACAAAGCTCTCTGATATCGGGGCTGAAAACCGCAAGGAGCTGGGAAGCTTTCGGAGATCCGATTGTCAGAACATTTGCTGCTTTTCAGAGGTTACCCTTTTCTCTGACAGAAATTCAGCGAGGTTATATCGGCGGATTGGGCTTCCGCCCGTGACCGCCTTTGTATTGAGGAGGGAGCACAACAAAAGATTGCTCGAAGTAACATAGAGGAGTGCATCCGTGTTCAGGACGCAACCAAGGAGCAGAACGAGTCTTTCGAGGAAGAGTCAAGGAGCATGAGCGGTATACGTAGTAAACGTTGCTTGAATATCTGACGGTTTGTCGATCTCCAGCCTTGATGACAATATTGGTCGGATGCGCAAATGCGTCTGACTCATCTCGGAGAGACTTACTAGGCGCTTACTTTTCTAGGGCATGGAACCATGCTAAATTCGATGATTGGAAGAGCAACAGTGGCCACGGTCTGGTCAGGCGGGGCGTGCCCTGCACGAAATGATGTGAGAAGAACTAATACGCCAGGGCTTTAAGCCAATACTGTTGTCGACCATGCGGCGAAATGTGATATTGTCATGACAAGTTCAAAACCTTTTAGTAGTAGTCTGCAAGTTGCTTCACGGTCATGGAGCCTGGCATGCCCAGGTTGATTTGTTAGCTGTTAGCTACAACTGAGACCCTATGGAGCGTGCGGCGGCGCAGCAGCCGCGTTGAGGTACGTCAACAAAGCTCATTCAGCTGGTTTGCGCGGCTACTAGCTAGTCATCCAAGATCTCAGGCCCATATGCGACTCAACGCTTACTATTTTGATGACCTTTCTAATGAGTCTGGCTCGTGGCTGCATGCAATAGTAGAAGCTAGGTAGCTCATGCAGTCGCATGCAATATAAAAGTGTACATGATTCCCTAGTTCAATCAGAGTATAGCTGCTCCACATGCAAGCTAGCACTTATAATATACGCCGTCCTGATCGAGGTGATTGCCAAGAAGCCATTGGATGGCCACACATGTGTTGCATATACACATCCTGGCAAACTGAACTTTGCACATGTAAGGTGACCGCGGAAGAAGGAGGCTCGGAAGAAGATTTAGATCATCAATATTCGAAGCGGTCTTTTTTGTCACCTTTGTGGCCTATAACACGGTGTTGCTCCAAGAAGCTGACATTCCAGTACTAGGCTGCCGCGGAACAATGGAGTTCAATGCGTGCTAGCTACTCATGAACACAGGGTATGTTGCATGACATGTAATGGGCTTTTCCAGCATCAGCACCAGGGTCATGACAAGGGCTGACTCAGGAGGTATTACCAAGCGCATTCGAATAGTTGATGCCCCTACATGGGAAGTCTCTCAACTAAAGCAGAAATGCAATTCAAATGAAGTGAGCGGCAGATTCATGCGCCAAGGTCTTTGGGTTTCCAATGATGTAATGGAATGCAGGCAGATCATTTATATGGTAACCAGTCCCTCTGTACAAGATTTGAAGCAAGCAGTACACAAAGAATTAGTCTGTCTTGCAACAACCAAGGCTGTCGCTAACGGTCAGATTCAATGCTACACTTAAGATGCCTCTTGCTCAGCACCCTCCTCCTCCTCGAACTCTCCCTCCTCCTCTGCGCTAGCATCCTGGTACTGCTGGTACTCAGAGACCAGATCGTTCATGTTGCTCTCGGCCTCAGTGAACTCCATCTCGTCCATGCCCTCGCCCGTGTACCAATGGAGGAACGCCTTTCTCCTGAACATGGCCGTGAACTGCTCGCTGACGCGCTTGAACATCTCCTGGATGGAGGTCGAGTTGCCGATGAAGGTAGACGACATCTTGAGGCCCTTGGGGGGGATGTCGCACACGCTGCTCTTGACGTTGTTGGGGATCCACTCCACGAAGTAGGACGAGTTCTTGTTCTGCACGTTCAGCATCTGCTCGTCCACCTCCTTGGTGCTCATGCGGCCACGGAACATTGCGGAGGCGGTGAGGTACCTCCCGTGCCTGGGGTCAGCGGCGCACATCATGTTCTTGGCGTCCCACATCTGCTGGGTCAGCTCGGGGACGGTGAGGGCGCGGTACTGCTGGGAGCCGCGGGAAGTGAGGGGGGCGAAGCCGACCATGAAGAAGTGGAGGCGGGGGAAGGGGATCAGGTTGACGGCCAGCTTGCGCAGGTCGGAGTTGAGCTGACCAGGGAAGCGCAGGCAGCAGGTGATGCCGCTCATGGTGGCAGAGATCAGGTGGTTCAGGTCACCGACTGCAAGCAGACAAGGACGCATGGTCAGTCTCATGACAGCTGATGCCTCTCCTCCTCAAACTGAAACAGGGCCTCTCCCTTCTGTTTCTTTCTACCCTTTTCGAGTTCTGAGGACACTGCCAAGGCAAGAGCGGCCCCACAACAGATTTAAACCGGGAAAATTTAACTGATGCCTGCCCTAAAACAGAACTCTCTGAAAAGCGGTGTTATCATTGGCCATGCTTTTGCAGTGACTCCTTACAGCCGCGATAGAAATGCTCCATCTTTGGCCTATTATGCTTCCTTTCTCAACCAAGTGAGGGTAAAGCTTTCCGACAGCCCTTATTATGCCCTTCTGCCTTTTATAACCAAAAGGAACTCAAATTGGATCTAAGTAGCCGTCAGAACGCTTGCATAAGCAACAAGAGCCTGCAGAATGAAGCTTTTCTGCGTTGCAAAACCTGGAATGGAGCCCTATTGCCTTCCATATCCAACAGGTAAGCAAATCACTATGAACAGTCCCTTCAGAAGCCTTGCACGAGCAACAGAAGCCTGCAGAATGAAGGTAAAAGATACAAGGAAATAAGAATTGAGATTCTCACATGTGGGGGTGGTGAGCTTCAGGGTCCGGAAGCAGATATCGTACAGGGCCTCGTTATCCAGGACCATGCACTCGTCAGCGTTCTCCACAAGTTGGTGGACAGAGAGGGTGGCGTTGTAGGGCTCGACCACAGTGTCAGACACTTTAGGGGAGGGGAAGACTGAGAAGGTGAGCATCATCCTGTCGGGGTACTCTTCACGAATCTTGGAGATGAGAAGTGTTCCCATGCCTGACCCTGTGCCTCCACCCAAAGAGTGGCAGACCTGGAAACCTGCAAGTGTGAAGCAGAATCCAATCAGCCTTCTGCCTCAGCAACTTCATATTTGCCCTAATTTCAAAAGTACTATTGCAAGCCGCAAAGCATCAACCAAGGAAGATACTCCCATCTACTTTCAATTCCTGCGATCCTCAATCGCGTTGAATGTTACAAGTAAGCAGTCTTCTGAGCAATTGCAAAAGGTCTCGATTATATATTGGTCTTGTGATTGACAAGAATTGACTGGGCAGCCGAGAAGCAACTAGGCGCAAGTCCTCCTAGTCCTACAGCTTGAGAAACGTTCAGAAGCATCTAAAGACTGTGGTGCATTCCAAATGAAGGCCTCTCCATTCTACTGTTGCAACCAGCTGCAAGCACCCATAGCTTTCTAGACAAACAGCGGAAGGTCCACAATCCAGTGCAGAACTTGCAGAAACACCTTGTCAATTTCCATTGGAGTGGTGTTAACAGTTTCTCACCCTGCAGGCAGTCCGTGCTCTCAGCCTCCTTCCTCACAACATCCAACACTGAGTCAATGAGTTCAGCGCCTTCTGTGTAGTGACCCTTGGCCCAGTTGTTTCCTGCTCCAGTCTGACCAAAGACAAAGTTGTCGGGCCTGAAGATCTGGCCATAAGGACCAGCCCTGACACTGTCCATGGTGCCAGGCTCCAGATCCATGAGCACAGCACGGGGGACATAGCGTCCACCGCTGGCCTCGTTGTAGTACACATTGATGCGCTCCAACTGGAGATCTGAGTCACCATGGTATGTTCCAGTGGGGTCGATGCCGTGCTCATCGCACACGACCTCCCAGAACTTGGCACCAATCTGGTTGCCGCACTGACCGCCCTGGATGTGCAGAATTTCCCTCATGGTTGCGGGTGGGGTGGTTGCGGCGAGGCAAAGGGAGGGTGAGGGAGCAGAGGCAGGGACAAGAAAGCGCCTTGAAAGAAGAGCGCTTCCGAAATTGGTCGTTTGAAATGAGGGAGAATTTGAAAGGACGCAAGTTTTTGAGAAATCCAGAATGCACAAAGTTCGAACTTCTGTGCAATGGCGGTTGGGACGAGGGCAAGATTAGGCGGCGCTCTCTCTGCTGTTCTGCGGCGCTCTGGGGACGATTCAGTTACCGGCCAAACTGCAAAACAGTTGACTCATTCCTCTGCGCGCCCGGCGAGTCGTGCTGTTCAACACGGGTGGGAAATGCCTGCGCGCGGGAAAATGCTAATCAACAAGTCGCGCAGAGGACATTACAAGCGGCCAACAAGAAACAGTTGACCGTCGGATGGGCCCATGTGAAGGGTCGCCAGCCGCTGCGGACGATCGGATCTTTGCCTCTGATTGCTTCCTGATCGTCCGATGTAAATCGGACGGATGCTTCGCTCGTCCCAGAATTCAAATCTGGAACCGCACTGGCACCAGCGGAAAAGTTTTGTCGCTTCCTGGGCTGGATTCCCACCAGCTGGGATTCCGCGTGCCAAGATCGGTGGCTTGACATGGGCTCCCTGCTTCGCCCTCGTCTTCATTCCACGTACCTACCTAACCTCGTGCGAGCGTCCTTGCAGCGCTCTCCACGAAGATTCTCTGCCTTCACCTGCCTCTCCCCCCCTTAGCCCTCCCACCCAGCCCCTTTGTCCCCCCCCAACCGCAACCATGAGAGAGTGCATCTCGATCCACATCGGCCAGGCCGGTATCCAGGTCGGCAATGCCTGCTGGGAGCTTTACTGCCTCGAGCATGGCATCCAGCCTGATGGCCAGATGCCCAGCGACAAGACCGTCGGAGGAGGAGATGATGCATTCAACACCTTCTTCAGCGAGACTGGCGCTGGAAAGCACGTGCCCCGCTCCGTGTTCCTGGATTTGGAGCCCACTGGTAAGACACAATTGCGATGGCTTGGATTCAAAAGTAGCTTCCACCTGTTGCGCTTTAACCAGTGCTGATCCTCGGATGTAAGAGAGGAGGGCCGCTCCAGAAAAGCATGGCCTCAACAGTGTCAGAAGTAAAGTGTAGGCATTTGTGTGGATCTGGTGGTGTTAAGTCTGCATTGTACAGAATGTAGACAACAGGGAAGACAAACCACACAGTTTAGATGCACATTGGCTATTCAAGCACATAGAATACAGTTATAGGCTTCAACAGAAAGCTTAATGAAAAGGCCATCCTGAGGACCTTGGTTCATGTCTTTTTGCAGTCATTGATGAAGTGAGGACTGGAACGTACCGCCAGTTGTTCCACCCCGAGCAGCTCATCTCTGGCAAGGAGGATGCCGCTAACAACTTTGCCAGGGGTCACTACACCAGTAAGTTTCCCACTCTAGCCATAGGTCACGCTGCGCCTGGTCAGTTGGCACCAAGAATCGATTGTCCTTAGTCTTATCTGATGTGTGATTCATCTCCGATCGCGTTTCTGTGATGCTGCCAGTGGCACCAAGAACCGGCTGGAGTCCGTTCTGTGTAATAAATATCCATTTTAATCTCAACTCTGAAACTATCTTTATGCCTGTCAGATGGCTGAACATTTGCAAGTGTTCTGCAGTTGGCAAGGAGATTGTGGACCTCTGCCTGGACCGCATCCGCAAGCTGGCAGACAACTGCACTGGCCTGCAGGGCTTCCTCGTCTTCAACGCCGTCGGTGGAGGAACTGGCTCTGGTAAGTGGTCAGACACTGTCTAACATCATGTGCGCTTCTTTGACAATTCTCGCGAAAAGACATGTCTTAAGAACGGGTTTGGGTGGTGCGATGGAGATCTGCTTGTCTACTGGATGATTCAACCGTCACTAACGCTGTTTTTTGCCTCCTTTAGGCCTCGGGTCTCTTCTTCTGGAGAGGCTGTCCGTCGACTATGGAAAGAAGTCCAAGCTTGGGTTCACTATCTACCCCTCACCCCAGGTTAGTGACAATCGCATGGCACTGGTAGAAAATGTGGCACTGATAGAAAAGTCTACCAGCTGATTGAGCAGTTTTACCCTCCCTTCCTGTTCTTGTCTGGGGCACATGCTCTCCTGAAAACCTCACACAGAGCATTCAAGACTGAAGACCCAAATTTCGTCCGTTGTGACTTGGCTTTTCTGTCTTCTCTTTTTAGTCACAAAGGCGACAACTACAGGCACAGGATAGACAAGGTCGCAGTAAGTGATCATTGAAATAAGATACGTTGCAGGCACCTTTTTAGCTTCTGTGAGGCTCAGTCACCAATTGCAATCTTTACATTGCGCAGGTGTCCACCGCGGTGGTTGAGCCCTACAACAGTGTTCTGTCCACCCACTCCCTTCTGGAGCACACCGATGTGGCAGTCCTTTTGGACAACGAGGCCATTTACGATATCTGCCGCCGCTCCCTGGACATTGAGAGGCCGACCTACACCAACCTTAACAGGCTGATCTCGCAGGTGCGGCATGGTGCACGGCTAGATCTTTGCAAACTGCAGGGCAAGTTTTAGTTTTCACAGTAAAGTTAAGCAGAGAAGGACGTTCTGATTAGTTTCGCATCTCCAAATAGGTTGTCCGAAAGTCTGGTATTCTGGTAGCACCTGGAGCCTCCATGGTCAGACTTGTCTCTAGTACTCTCGTGAGGAAATTTCTCTAGTTGGTAAGTCGGCTTTCTTTCTCGGGGCTTTTAAGCCAGACTGCTGAGGCACTTTGTTTTTAGTTCCTCACGGCTGCCAAGGCCAACCGCTGACCCACATTGTTCTTCCCTGCAGGTCATCTCCTCTCTGACTGCTTCCCTCCGTTTCGACGGTGCCCTGAACGTCGACATCACTGAGTTCCAAACCAACTTGGTGCCCTACCCCCGCATCCACTTCATGCTCTCGTCCTATGCTCCGGTCATCTCAGCGGAGAAGGCCTACCACGAGCAGCTGTCTGTCGCTGAGATCACCAACAGTGTTTACGAGCCCTCGAGCATGATGGCCAAGTGCGACCCCCGCCACGGTGAGTGAAAAACGGGGGCCTTCGGACTAATCGAAAGCGCAGAAGGAGTTGCGGTTTCTTCCAGTGGGACTCTTTACCAATGCTGCCAAAGCACAGTTTGCGCATGTCCGACAGTTTTAGATTTGCATTGCTGCTTGCTCTGCTTTGCGCTATTGGCCGCAGATACATCCGAAAGTCTTTTCTCTTTGACTGGCTTCAAAAGGGAAGCTTTTGGACCGTTTGGACCTCAGCATGATTGCAGATACATCCGAAAGTTGTGGCTTCTAGGTCGTTCCAAAGGGGAGTCGTTGGGTCGTCAGGACCTCGAAAAAAAGTTCGACAAAGGGAGTAGAGTCTGACGGTCTGATGGCTTCGCTTCCGCAGGCAAGTACATGGCGTGCTGCCTGATGTACCGTGGCGACGTCGTCCCCAAGGACGTCAACGCCGCCGTCGCCACCATCAAGACCAAGCGCACCATCCAGTTCGTCGACTGGTGCCCCACCGGGTTCAAGTGCGGTATCAACTACCAGCCCCCCACCGTCGTGCCCGGCGGTGACCTGGCCAAGGTGCAGCGCGCCGTGTGCATGATTGCCAACTCCACCAGCGTGGCCGAGGTCTTCTCGCGCATTGACCATAAGTTCGATCTGATGTACGCCAAGCGTGCATTCGTGCACTGGTACGTCGGCGAGGGTATGGAGGAGGGCGAGTTCTCCGAGGCCCGTGAGGATCTGGCGGCCCTCGAGAAAGACTATGAGGAGGTCGGCGCTGAGTCTGCTGAGGGCGAGGGTGAGGAGGAGGGCGAGGAGTACTAGATAGCGAGCTTTGACTGACTACAGAGATTTCACCACCCAACTGTGCAAACTGTGTATAGGTGACGAACTCTTAGACTTCTTGCCGAGATGGCAGCCCTTGCAAACGATTGTGCGACTTCAGTTCCTCATGTGCACTATGTTCTTGCCGCCAGTTACACAGGCGAGGGCATCAATTCATGCCTTGCTGTGTGGTTTCATCGATTGAGAGCTCATGAGAGCTATGCTTCGTAATCGTACCCTGTTGTGGATCGGCAGTCAGCACACTGGCTCAGGGCCTGAATATGTTTGTGCTTTGACTTGAACGCCCAGATGCACACACAAAGGTATGTCTTGTGCTTGATCTCAAGCATGCCGCATCAAAGTACGCTGATACCCCAAAGGCAGTGGGCTCCTATTGTGTAGCATGTAGGTGCATGAGTAATCTTGAACGCGGCCAACGGCTGCGTACAGCCTTTCTCATGAACAATAGCCTATAGCTAGCTGGCCTGCGGCCATTCGAATGTTTGATACAATCGCCTTGACAACCGCGCTATAGAACCTCGCTTAGATGCTCGCGCAACTAAAGTATGTGCGGCAGGGCCGCAGCATGTGGGGCTGGCTGGAATGTGACCATGCTAGCATATACTAAGCTATATCCTATATGGTGGCGCGAGCATCATAGGTATACAGTGTACAATCGCCGGCCACATGTATGTATATAACGCGTACACCATCATTTGACTCAGCTGCAGACATTGAAGGCTATATGTATATGCAAAGAGCCCTTATAGTACGGTATGTGCCAGGTGGAGTCGACCCGGAATTGCGAGCCTGCCTTATGGTTCATCGATTCAAGTTGGCAGCCTGAGGTGCACAAAGTCTTTGGATTGATCATGTCCTCGAGGTTCAGCAGAGGCGTTGGCTGCTGGCCAAGGCCTGGGAAGCAAGGCAGCAAGAACCGAGTAGGTCAAACGAACGGGGCAACGACACATTCAATCAAGAGAAGCTTGATTCAAAGCAGATTTGTTCCTGACGTATCTGGCCTCCCTCATCGGATCACCATCTCCTGCTCTGCTCGCTTGAGCTCGAAGATGAGCATGCGCCACATTTTCAGGACGAACAACTCGGCCTCTTCGTCTAGCAGAGGATCTAGCAGCTCGAGCATCTTTTCGGCGGAGTCGTGCTTGAGCATGCTCTGCAGAATGAAGTCTACCAGCGTGCTCTCTTCCTCCCCCAGAAATTCCGCGATCTTCTTGCCTATCCAAGGCCGCATCTTCTCGTGAATCTTCTCCTGCACCATCAAAGGCAGGGGCTTATGGGGAGGGTCCTTAGTAAAGCAGAAAGGGGTTCGAAGTACCGATGCTGAGTGACATCAAGAGACATCAGCGAACAGTGCAGTCTGCTTAGTTGACCGTTGAACGAAGTGGACAAACAAACCAAATCGAACGATGCTTTTCACAGCGCTAAGTCGTTGGCCTCCCTCAGGACGTCGCCTGAGATACGCATCGCAGAAAGCAGGCTAGCAGAGCATCGAGGCAGCATTTAGCGTCAAAGTTACGATCCGCTCAGGTCACAATTTCAAGCTACAAGCCAAAATCCTTCGTTTACATAAGAAAACCAAATAAGAAAACGGAGCAACGAAGAAAAAGAAAGAAGGAACAATATGGATACTTGAACAAAGAAGCTGATCAGTTGAAGGATCTTGCTGGCTCACCGAATCGAAGATGGCCCAGTCCACCGGGTGCGCAAACAGCTCCGCCTTCGTCTTTGGAATGCTGTCAATCAGCTGCTTCGTATCCAACAACTTCACCCCCCGCTTGTCCCGGCTCCGCTCCACATCGCGCCGCCCCTCCTCTTTCTTCCGCTTCTCCTCCCCCCCTTTCCCAAGACTCTTCGCAAACTCCGCCGCAGCGGCCAAGTTGGGGGGAAGGGCCGGGGACGCCGGACGATGGGCCGGGCTCGGTTGCCGCGCAACCGGGGCTTGGATCGGGGCGACCTTTTCGCGCTCCTCGGCCGATGCTTTCGCGGCCGCCGCCGCTTTTGCTGCCGCCAACTCTTCCGGGGTGTACTCGATCGGAACCAGGGGGCGCGCGCGCGTCGCCTTGTGCTCCTCTTCCTCCCCCCCAAACACGGACGCCAGCGGGCGTTTCTTCCCGGGGGGGGCTACCGGGGGCTTTCTCGCTGCTGGAGACACCCCCCTGCCGGGGCCCGGAGCCTCGTCCGGGGGTTCAGAATGTAACCGGGGAAAGCCGTTCTGGGCGGGGGACTCGATGACGTCAGCATTCGGAGACGCTGTGTTAGCGACGGGTATCTGAACCGTCCGAGACTGATCCACCGGAGGATACTGAGCCGGTTTCTCGGGATGGGTTTCAGTTTGGGAGGGCGGCTGTTCTTCGCGTAACGTGCTCCGCTCGATTTCTTCGATCGCGCGCAGGCGCTTGGCCTCGCGGATCTCCTTGTCCTCCAGCAGACGGTCCAGCTCGTCCTCTTCCCGCTCCCGCTGCAGCCGCCGGCGCTTCTCGTCGCTCGACTCCCGACGCCGCTTTCTGGAGGCACAATCATAAAATGACGTCAGCCAACAACGGATTCAATTTTGTAACATGTCAGCAGGTTTGCCAAACCTCAACAAATGACCGAGAAGGTAATGCAGCTAGTAACGTGTAAGACAAACATCCTTGCAGGGAGTCGTTTGCTCTGCATCATCCCCAGCAGACTGGCGCCCGCCGTCTGCGGCTTCTTTCGCGTTCCACAGCAGCGATCAACCCATGACCAATTCCAGAGATTTGAGACGCTGCAAAGCGGTGAGCATCTCTGCTTGTCATTCCGGCAATTTGAAGCTCTCTCTTGGTCAGGGACGCAGCTGAAGAACTCCAAAGATCCTTCATAAAAATTTGTCCGCACCTAGTTCCTTCCTCCGAGTCGGGCTCTCCTTCCTCGTCCTCCTTGACCTGCGCCTTCCGCTCCTTCTCTGCTTCCTTCTCGCGCTCCTTCTCGCGCCGCCGCTCCCGCTCCCGTTCTTTCTCCCACGCCTCCAACTCTTTCTCCCGGTCCTCCACAGCCCTGTTGGCGAAGCAACCAATCTTGATCGGTCAGATTCGCGTTCGTCTGTAGTTCTCTCACAATGGCACTGACTTACAGGCTTGAGAATTCGTCGTTCGTCGGTAGCTCTCTCATCATGGGATTGAATAACAGGCTTGAGAAGAGTGGTTCCGGAACAAAGGACTAACTTTGCCTAGCCAGGGGGTTCTGTTACGGGGCAAACAACTTCTTTCCTGATCGTCGAAACCGCAACGGCTGGTCAATACGTCGTCGCACCAAGGGGGAGAAGCTGTCAATTATGAACTTGAACCGAGTCTTCTAACTTCACAGGAGCAGCGACCCAGAGGAGAGGAGGCGTCGTCCATCTCTCGAGAACTTCCAACTCTCTTCGCTTTGTCATCCCAGCACGATGACTTCCAAAAGCCCAATACACCATTAATCAACACTTCCTATATTCCACAATACCCCGACCTCGGGCCCCCGTGCCCGCATCCAGAATTCTCGGGTCCAAAAAACATACCCCTGAAGACCCACCTGTCCGCATCCCTCTCTGACCTCTCCCGTTCCCGCTCCCGGTCTCTCCGCGAGCGCTCCCGCGCGCGTTCCCGTTCCCGCATCATTTCGTCCTCGGGGTCCCGTCGGAAGCGGCTCAAACGCGGGCGGTCCTTCTCCGAGGTGCTCGGTCCTTCGCTGTCGCCCCGGCGCGGCCCGCCGTCCGCCTCTTCGGCAGCATTGCGGGCCTTGGCGATAAACTGGGATGACAGAGAACGAGCTTGTGGATTAAGGACTGAGCGGAGGCAAAAGCTGAGCTTGTACTGGTTGATTTGTGCGGGAGCAAGAATTGGGATTGTATTGTATAAAGTGGGGAGGAATATTTTAAAAGCTTGTGTCAGATCAAACTGGGTGGTGCTTAATTCTCGAGCTAGTATTGGATGAACTCGGGGTGAGGCAAAGTCTGGGCGTTGTATCATCATGTGAAACGAAGGACCGTCCGAGAAAACTGGCAATGGCTTTGCGCGTAGCCTTGCTCCATCAAAATTTTCTTCAGGCAAAGATTGGGTTTTTGGACATTTCTTCAGACAGCTTCTGACAGCTTCTTGGACAATTCTAAAACCTTCGCTTTGCCTCTTTCCAAAAACGGGCGAATTGGGAAATCCTGCCCAAATCTTTGTTAAAGAACAAGGAATCTCGCAAGGAACAATGCTCAGAAAGATCCCCACCTCAGCGATGCTCGGAGACTCGGGTCGCGGCGGGAGCGGCAGCGTCTTTGCTCTGCACAGAAGACGGCTGTGTTGATCAACACGCTGACTGTGATTCTTGTTCTGCGATAAGCGGTGTGCTCACTTGCCTATCTCCGTCTGTACCACTTCATAAAAGCAAAAGCTATAGCAAATGACGAAGCTGTACAAACGGAAACGATCCCAAAACATGCTCAAGCCAAGGTAACATTTATGGACACACCTTGTCTCCAAGGCTAGAGACCACTGAACTTATGCCATTTCCAAGCCACAATCTTGGTGCTACTTGGGGGTATGCCATTTACAGTCACAGATCAGGTCTTCCCCTCCGGACTACATCTCGGAGGTAGTGACTGGATTCAAAAGAAACCGTCAAAGTTATGGGAAACAAACATCAGGCCACTGTGCAGATTTCCGGCTCTACCGCCCATGCTACTGCGCCTCGTGCAGGCAATCTTTGACCAGACCCCCACCGTCCCGCCCTCCTCACCTCCCCTTGAGCAGTTCTTCCAACTTCTCCTTCGCTTCTCGGTCCTCGCTTTCGTCCTCATCTTCCGGGGTCTTCTCTCCCCCCTCCCCCTTCTCCTCATCCGTATTCATCTTCCCTGCTGTTGCTGCGGCCGGTTTTGCTTCTCCCGCCTTCTCGCCGTCTTCCATTTTTTCGTCTTTCGGCTCCTTGGCCCCTCCATCGTCTGCTTCGTCTTCGATGACGACTTCCGGTTCGGCACCGGAACCAGGCGCCTTTTGAAGCTTCTTCGTGGCGCTGTACTGCTCTAAATAAAGTCGGGTGGCGTCGTTAACGTTCACCTGTTGAGGTAAGAGGACATGAAGGTCAAAGATGTGGCAAGGACGGTTCGGGGAGCGGTTTCAAGGCCATCAAGGGCATGTTAAAATAAATTACGATGGTCTCCTCTCTCATTCTTGAGCTAGACATTGACACGCGCCGACGATTGGTGGCAGATGCGAAAAGTGGTCAATGGGCAACCTAGTAGTTTCCTTTCCGTTGATTGCCACAGTAATCTATCGACCGAATGAATCTCCAAACATTAAATCGTACAAGAAGCAAGATGTTCACTGCTTCTAGTGCACAAACATTAATGCTCGAAGCAGGAAGCATTGAGAACTTACGAGAAGCTCCTGTCCATCAATGGGTAGGTCTTTCAAGAGCCGCATGGCCCGCAGAACGCCTTCGGCCAACTCATATTCCGCAAAGCCAAACCCTTTTCCAGCGGCCCGCTTCCAACTCTTCAGCGGCCCACACACCTGAGGTGCATCATGCGAGTGTCAGAAGAGAACCAAATGAGCCTTCGGCAAGCCACGAAAGTAGAACCATTTGAATCTTCAGCATGAATGCACAATAGATACTGGCAGGCAATGGTGTGGAGGCTACAAGAACCTGGACCGCATCAGCATCGTCAGCCCGACAGATTAGCTCAGTGTAGACATGCAAAGACAAAGCTGCCTTCATAAGGTGCAACCGTAAGGATGTCTTGCAACACACAGGGATCCCTTCCACAAGCAGTTGCTTCACAGCCAGCAAACTATTGCAGAGTATGCTTTGTTAGCATCGACCAAAATCGTGAATACTTGCAGTTCTCCTGCCTGTAGCAGACCTGGAGGAGTGGTCACGAGAAGCGCAGTGTTCCCAAGCTTTTGCACTGCAGAAGTCCATGACAATCGCTGATATGAACCTCCGAGGTAGGTGCTCGCTGGTACGTACCTCTAAGATGGACCGCACCAGGTCGTCGTCCACTGTCGGCGCAATCTTTCCGACGTACATGGTGGTGGAAGGCTTGGGGAGGGGGGCCATTGGCGGCGCCCCCGGAGGTGGAAACCCGACAGGAGGGCGGAATGACGGAGGGCGCGGAGGATACGCCATCTGGCCGGGGCGTGGAAGAGTGATTGGACGGGCGACGGGGTAGGGCGGCCGCCCAAACGTGTTGTAAGGCATGCCGGGGTACTGAGGCATCCCTGCAAAGTTTGCTGCGAGCGGATAAGCGCAGGGATACTTGCATAGGCTATCACCAGTATTACCCTGAGGACTTTCTACCTTGAATGAAGAAATTACAGGAGGCACTGAAAGAAATTCTGATGCATCGAAAGCGATATTGCCTCTACTGCTGACAATACCTTTGTTAATTTTGGACCTCCTAGATATTAGTTACACAAGTACACAAGTTACGTTCTGAATCTGCTCACAATGACTGAGTTGGAGGCTTACCTGAGACGCAGGATGCAAGCAATTGAGCTCACCTCTCTGATGACAGCAACTTTCATCGACAGTAAATTCCAACTTCAGCTTTACTTGTACAAACAAGGCTCTCCAACTAACTGAAGTGCAAGCGAGACTCGCAAAAGCCAGAAATCTGGCTGGTGGTAGGGCGAACAATTATTTTGATTTCCGCTGATGATTGTTTGCTGCTCTGTGGAACTACGGCAGCACTTCAGCAGTCTCCGCCTTTTGAAAGAGGTATCAGCAGACACACGACACACTTCTCTTCACCGAGTGCTGAGACCTCCGAGCTCGGCAATGAACCAAGCGAAGTCCAACCATTGGAGGACCACGACATAATCACTACGGCCTTGCAAGGCCAAACATAGCACCGTGGTTGAATTTTTTGATGCGAAACAATTGAGAAGCATCCGATTTGGAACCACCACTTTACCGTCTCTTCCAGCCAAGGCTTTCACTTCGGAATGCATTCTTGGGCCAAAAGAGCACGAGAAGGCTCCGTCAAGTGTCCGATTGTGACCCTTAGCAAGTGATCAGCGGATGAGAAGAGGTTGAGACATACCGCAAGCTGAAGGTACAAAGCTGCAGGGACTCTACATTCCAAGTGCAAGGCATCGTCTGCTCGTCTGCTGTCCCCGCAACCAGACACTGTTGACCAGGAGAACATGCTATGTGTCACAGAAGGAAACAGCAACTATCCACCTGAATCTCACATATTCACCATTATCACGCCCACTCTGGATTGGAGAATGATATGCTACCTGGAGGCGGCCGATGCTCTCGAGTGCGTTGAGTGTGCTCGCAGCATCCCTGCCCTCAAGTACACACCCCGATAACTGCGTCGCAAATGCCAATGCATATGGAACTTCAAATCTCAACTTTGCTACTCGAGATCAAGCCAGTAAAGAAGAAACTCACCTTGCTGCTGAAATCCAGGAAACTGCGCGTATTGCTGCATCTGAGGAGGCCCGGCTCCATGAGTTGGCGGGCCTGGCGGCCGCGGTTCGCCAGGCGCAGTCTGATTGGCGTATGGATTCATCGCAACCGCAACCACGATCTCGGGGCCTCGATGTCAAGCACAAGGCTCAAGTTCCTGATGGGCAACCCAAGGAAAGCTTCGCAAAATCATCAGCAGAGCTCCCTTATGCCAATGGCGCCCTCAGCTGCCAATGTCATTGTCTGCCAGTGCAACTTCAAAACTCAATCCAGTCTTCTTTCTTGTTGGGTTGAAACTTGAGTGTCCTACCTTCAGTACCTATATTATACGCAGAGATTGGCCCTATGTACAATGTACCCAGATGCGTAATTTGGTCTTATAAATTAAATTACAAAACTGGTTTCGTCAATTGCGAGATGATGTTGACTTCTCTACAAGCCCGTGCACTATCAAAGGCATGGGGCTATGGTGGGGCCGTTTTACATACATCCAGGGCATTGCATTCACCTTGGACCTGCACATGATCGAAGCACGGCTTGCACTAATAGTTTTTCTGCAAACAATTGGGTTTGCATTGATTTTAACCTGACCGTGACGTCCCGCGGGCTTTTGGGTACATGGATTTTGTGAGGTAGTATCATGAATATCACGTCGATTGGAATCTGGAAATGGATTTTGAATCAGCTCCTCGTGCTGATCACGCCTCCACTGTAAAATAACGAGCTGAGCTTTCAGGGCGGGGCAGAGGGCGACCATGGCGCAAGGATTAGGTGCAGCGCAATTGAAGTGCTGATGCAGGCACACAACTGATCAGTGGTTCCCCTGGCACCCTGCACAGTCCTCGCAGGCTTGCACCGGCAATCAGGGCGGCGCCCGGTTCAGACAGCGCCTGAATTGGGCAACAGCCTACGAGAATTCCCTGTGAAGCCCAGCTTGGGTGTGTTGTGTTTCTTTCCAAGCTGGGCTTACATTCTACCCTACTCTTCTATATTCTACTTTAGTCCCGTAGGTCGAGAATAGAAAGCAAACAAGCAAAGACGCAATTGTCAATGGAAGCCAGTTTTTGAGATGCGGAAGTGCTGCGCTTGATCATTTGAATTGCAGTGCGAGGATGGAGAATGGAGCAGATTACCCCGTCGGCGCGCGCATCGCCTTCTCAACCACTCTGGGGGAGGACTTCGAGGGGGAGCTTATACTGCACGATCGCAACTCTCGGACGCTTGTGCTCCAGGAAATTGGCAGCAGTGGGAGTAAGCGCAGTCTGAGGTTTCTGAAGACAAGCTGCGTCAGGGACTGGAAGCAAGTGGGGCAAGGGGGGGACCTGCCGGACTTGCGGAACCTGAGGGTGGACCAGACGCTGGTGCAGCAAAGAGAGGAGGCAGCCATCAAGTGAGTCGTCAGGTTCCCTGAGCGTCTGCGTCGTGCATTGCCAAAAGCGAAAGCGTACGATATGGATTAGCAGCACGCTACGGAGCATACTTCGAGTGCAACTTGTTTGGCTCAGATGATATTTCAATTGGAATAAATCTGACTACGACTTTTCAGACGTCACATTTTGATGTAAAGCACAGGATCAGACGGTGTGCTTGCTGCGGAGTATCGTCCCTTCCTACCTTTACCATGAGCGCTTGAGTTGATTGCACATCAGGTGGTATAACATTGTAATCAGCCATTGCGAGTGTTGACCACTGTAGAGTTGACGGATTGAGACCGAAGGGAGCGGGCTCATGTCATATAATTTCGAAAGCGACACCACTCACTATCCCAGGCTTGCCTTCCCCCTGAATTTCCTAATAATGCAATTGAGTCGCTGTCAGCCGCCTGCCTGGAATCAGCACTATTCTTGTGCTAGTGTTTTGACAGTCACGAGGTGTCAGAACTGCATTGAGCTTGTTGGCTTGTTCTCACCTTCAAGTGACATGTCAACACGGAACTCAAAACCCGGTGCGGAAGCAATTAAGGTTATTACTGGCACAATAGACTGGGCAGCCAACGGAATGTCACTCGCCCCTTTATCCCTCGTTTGGGTGCCCACTCACAGGTCATTTGCAGCGCTAGAAGCACGGGCGTCACCAACCTGCGTCTTTAGGAAGTTGCGTAGTACCTCGTGTCTTGCGGCGCTTTCTTTGCTGCGCAGCCTTCATGTCGTAATTTGGTGTTTTTGAGATTGCTTTGTGAGACTGGCTGCCAGAGGCACCGATATGCTGTCCGCTGATCATTCTAAGCAATTCAATCATTGTATGGTGGCCCCTGCTGGCAGATCTTCAATTGTTCAGTTTGGTGAGGATCTGAATAAAATATGCCCTCTGGAAACATGCCAGGCCGCCTGTGCGTCCAAGCCCCCTCACACCCCTTCACTTGTCCTAGGCGGTGGGTTTCTTTCAGGTGCTCTCGCAGGGCCCTCGGGATCCCCTGAGCGCATCTGGCTTACCAGTTCCTTTCCTGTTTCTGGCTGATACCCGAGAAGTGTCCCTGATTTTCACCAACTTCTCGCTGACAGTCGAGAACGGCTCTAGCGCTTCATATTGCGGAGCTGCTGCCTCTTGATCGAGACCATGGGCACCAAACAGAGGGCAGGGCAGGATCTAAACACCGTTCATTAGAACTAGACTGAAAACATCCTTGGCCGTCCCTTTCTGCAGGCAAGCGGAGCTTGATGCGGGGAGGATCGGGGTTGGCGTCTCTGACGAGGGACAGGACATCTTTGATGCCCTGGGTAAAACGTGAGCTCTGGCCCCTGAACAAACCGTGTGTACTCCTGTTCCTATCAATCGTTGAACGTTGGAGTGTTCCGACAGTTGGACCATGTTTGCACTGCCTATTGGAGGGCTTGTTTGACTTGATAGGATCACATTCTGGCCATGAAGCTAGCTCAGTTTGCCCTCGTTTACCTGACCTTCTACTTGCATCATGCAAGGTTTTGAAGCGGTCACTCCTTGACGTGAAAACTAACGACTGGGGGGTGTGCTTTTGTAAAGTCTTTTTGGCTTACGTGCGTTCTCAAGGGGAAAGGGGGTTTGTCAGACGTTTCTCATCGCGTTTAGTCAATCTTGTCAAAGAGGGACAGATCTCCGCCCGGCGAACTGGACGCATCTGTTGCATTCGCAGCCTGCCTTGTTTCGCCATGCATTCTTGAGAAGGGGAGCTGCTTCTGTCATTCTTAGCACGGGTGACCGGATGGACGTCACCCGCTTGGCATTGCTTATGTGCTTGCCGTAAGATGTGCTTGGCGCCCCGCAGGTTGCCCGTCCGGTGGGAGAAGACCGTGATCGTGGTCCTGGACGAGGTGCGAATAAGCGGTCCGTACCGGCCGGAGAACGCGTCGGGGGGCAATGCACAGAGCTTGGAGCGGGTGCGAAAAGTGGTGAGTGTTTGGAATTGTTTGTGGTCCCCTTCGAATTGCAGAGTCGCTGGTTGCTTGGGGGGATGCATTTCGGGTTTGGTCGTGGGAGGCTCTGTCGACTTCGGGAGGGTTTTGCGGTTTGTTGGGAAGACCGCAGCGTGCTCACTCACTACTACGGGGCTTTTCTCTAACCACCCCAGCACGAGATAGGACTCACTGTGCATTTCCGTTTTGACAGAGTGTTACATCGATCAGCAACAATCAATCGGCGCTTGACTAGATAATCCCGTGCGGTTTGACAAGTGTTAAATCAATCAGCAACAATCAATTGGCAATTGACTATATAGTCCACGGAATTGGCGCACGAAGGAAGCCTCAAGACTTCTCTCTCACCATGCTTTCCACCTTTGGAATTTTCAGTCAGGCTGGAGTGACCTATCGGATTGTCATGCCTGCACTAATCTACACACAAAGGTCACTTCAGGATGGGACGCAGTTCATGTGGAAGTGGCGTCTGCCTAACCTCTTTCGTTCCTCACCTGCAGTTGGAGCAGTTGCGACGGCAGTTCCCAGTGTCATCATCATGACCACGAAAACTGCTTAAGTTTCTGATGTTTGAATGATGAACAAGAAAGTCCATATCTGAGCTGGGATGTTTTCGAATTTCTGTAACTGCCTGTCTCGGAAGAGCAAGTGTTCTGCGGAGGCAGCTCTGTCATGTGGCCGTACATCTTTTGGCAATGTACGGCAATGTCGGACCTGTGGAATGCGGACTTGGAAGTTGTGCAAACAAGACCCGCAGCATGAGGACACGGTTTGTCGTCTACCCGAAAGTTCAAGCGCATGCTAGCATGCATCCGCATCATCTCAATCAGAACATCAATCATTCAGCAATATACTGGAGACCGTCCACATGTACAATAGCATTAACAATTGTTGTTGCAGGATGATGCACACGCAAGTTTTGCCCAGCTTGCTCATGCCTGCGCGCACAACAAAAAGATGCAGATATTGCATGTGATGATATTCACTATTTTCTACTTCTTGATGCACTTGGATCTGTGACTAGTACCTAGCTAGCGTATACAACATATACTATAGCTGCATGCTGCAGCCGTGATGAAGCGCGCATATATTGCATGGCGCGGCGCCAAGGCCGGCTATACAAACTCTCACATAAGATGATATATATACATGATCAGCTGATTGTACATGCATGGGTGCCACGTGCGAGCTAAAGTAGAGCGCATTATACCTACATCACAAGTGCATACGTGCGCAGCAGCTGCGGCCCGCACAAACTGACATAATGTGTTGTGTTGATACTTCGACGGTCTAACCTGCTTTAAGAAACATTCACGTCTGGGCCGCCAATGCGGTTCCCTGTCAATCAGTTTTTGAAGTGGCAAGCCTAAAATTGACGGGTAATGGCCAATTGATTACATATAAAGGATAGTCTGATGCGTAACAAGCTTTAGGCAATTGTCCGGTCCACGTTCCAAGTCCCGCGTTCGCAGGACCCTCTGTACCATACTATATAAGCTGTGAATACCATACCTACAAAGGACACTTTCGTTGACTGGGACTAATCCGTGAACCAATGATAAGCAAAGGCCTCGGTCCGATCGGGCTGAATCTGTCAAAACCTGAACCCCAACATTAGACTTAGTATACACAATGCTTGCCAGCACTGATTACCTCTTCACATTCGCCCGCTGATCCGTCCCAATCAGCTAGCATCTCAAAAGGCGCCTCAATCGCCCCAATAATGGGCCTCGCGAGATGACGAGGCCCGACTCTACTCCTCAACTTATTCAAATCAGAGCGCGCGTGCTAATAGCCCGCTGCCTGAGCCAGCGGAGAGAATGACAAGCTGCTGAGGCTGCTAATTGTGGCACGTTGAGTGGCCTTGACTGCCGCGACTCGCGCCGCGAGGGCGGCCCTGTTGGCCGCCGAAACCGCACCGCTGACCCTATCCTGATTGATGGACGACAAAGCGTCGGCCTTGGACTGAGCACGCCGGGCTTCCTGCAAAACGAATGGTGACAGAATGGTTTAGCACTAAAACAAGAATGGTTTAGCGAGACAACACTTGGAAACACCTTGCAGACCAATCACAACTGGACCTTTCAGAAAATCCCTCCCCAAATGACAGCCAAGGGGAAGCGCACGATTCACAATCCGAATCCCGAAGGGCGGCTGAGATGCGCCAAATAGGGGGGTGGAAAAAACTCGGTTGTCAGTTGGGACATCTTGAAACCGGACAACGTGATAGAGGGTCCTAAATCTGCCCAAACCGAATTTGCGGTCTCAATCAGAATACCGTAGCTCATGCCCCTCAGCCCGATCCAAATATGTAACAGCAAGGACAAGACCTGAAAAGCATCGAAGGGCAACAAGACTCATCCCCGAAATGACATGCAATCGGTCAGTTGTCGTCTGCCCCATTTGAATGTATGCAAGAGAGGTGCTTTGCGTTGGACCCAAGAACAATCAAGAAACAGCCGAATAGACCGAAGAGCGAAAGTTAGCTTCCACTCAAACGATGCCTCCCCTTGACGGGGAAGATCAAGAAAGTCAAGAAGACAATGTCGCAAAACAAGAACGGCAGAATTGGTTCAGACAAGTAAGCCAGAGCTCTTTCCTCTCGGTCGAAAGCTTCACTTTCTTCTACCAAGTCTCAGCATAACCGGCCAAGCTCCCTGGCTTCAAAGCTTACACTCTAACAGTTCTATATTTGTATTAATTTGGAAGTTTTGTAGTTGTACTAGACTGGAGGAAAAGAATCAAGGTGAAACAGGTAAACAGAAGGTAACGCCTGCGTAGAATCAGCACGCACCTGGACTGCGTGTAGAACCTTGCTGTGATGCACCATATGTGGTGCCAGGGGGTCCGCCGCTTGAGTGCTCCGAGTCTCGAGCGCCCCCCTGTTCCAATATCCCGCTCTCGTCTCCCCATTCCTGAACGTGTAAAGCCCCAGCCCCTGTTTCCGGCCCTCGTGCCACGCGCCTTCATACCGGTGACCGTTCGCGAATGAGTAGACACCGTACCCATGCATCTTGTCGTTGAAGTACTCGCCAGCATATGTGTCCCCATTCCTGTAGGATCAGAAAAGTAAATATAAGTGGGCTGTGCAACAGGCATTCATCTTTGTGCTCCGGTTGACAAAAAGCTGAACGGGGTTCCCATGCAAGGTTAAAAGGGGGATGCAATTTTGAGTTCCAAGAACAAGAGCAGAGGAGCAGAGATGCGACAGACTCAGCAGCATAAATGAAAGAGCTGTATGCGAAGAGCACTGCAAGACTGACAGGGAGGTTCAACGACATTGAGTGGAAGCTAACACTAAGGGCTGATGCAAAGCTAAGCATCTTATCGCCACCTGTTGATCAGAGCTAAGGAAAAGTACAACCGCAGGTTCTGGAGGCGAGGAACAAATGTGACACATTGACATTAACCTAACGCTAGGTCCGGGCACACTGTACGCTGCCAGCTGGCACCAGCTAACGACAGCTGGCACCAGCTGGCGACAGCTCATACTCTTCAAGCCAATCACTGTCAGTGTTCATTGATGTGTACCGAAGGAGCACAAAAGATACACCAAGAAGAGCAAGAAAATAGAGAGAGAGGAAAGAGCAGGCAGAAGCTGCAATCAGACAGCAGTCATCGGAAGGAACCGATGACACCCAACATGTTTTCCACCTTAGCAGCTGTAAGTAAAAATGAAAATGCACCCCTTCTGAACACTTTCTTGCAAAGCAAGATGCTCCAAACCGGGGAGAAAGTCGTTCACTACTTCCCGGCAATGCTAGAAAAGTTTTCCCCCTCATGCAAACGTACAGGCGGAAAGATGAAACATGCGGCCTAGTCAAGCATGGCGCGCTGCAATGCATGCTGATGACACCCGAGCGGCTCCACAAAAGTCCAAGCCATCACAAATGACAGCACCTCAGGGTGCTTTGATCAATGACTTCCATTACGCAAGAACTACCGCCCACAAAGCAGTGGTCTTCCTCAGAGCGAGATAATGCAAGAACGAAGGCTGCACCAATCACCTGAAATGGTATCGCCCAAACCCGTGCTTTACCCCCCACTGGAAGTCCCCAATGTATCTGCTCCCATCCGCGCATGTTTGCATTCCCACTCCATGGCTCTGCCCCTTGCTCCAATCCCCGGCATACACGTCACCTGTGTAGAATCGGTACACCCCATGCCCGTCTCGCAACCCTTCCTTGTACTGGCCCCTGTACCGACTCCCCCGAGACCACGTTTCAACGCCATACCCATCATACTTGCCGTCGATCCACTCGCCCTCGTAGCGCCCGCTCATGGCAAAATAATACACGCCATTACCCGCGCACCTTCCCTGATAGAACTCCCCCTCGTATCTGTCCCCATTGCTGTAACTGTGCACACCACACCCTGTAGCCTTCGCAAGGGCGCGGCTCTTTTCGCTCCCGGTCGGAGAGGACGCTTGGGCACTGTTTGCTAGGAGGGGTTTTGCAAGGTCAATGTCTGGGGACACTGCAGTGGAGGACGCTAGAATCTTGGCTTGGTGCAGTTTCTTTCCGGAGTGGGGGGCTAAGCTAGTGGGAAGCAGCAGCTGCTTTCCGCTCCCCTTCTCAGATGCATTCTTCTTCCGAGCGAGGGACAATCGAAGGGACGGGACTGCGGCCCGGAGGACAAGGACAACCCCTGCTAAGAGAAGAACAACCGCCGCTAGCTCGCCCCAGCTTCTCGCGTCTGGTTTCTCAGGAAGGAACCACAGAAGAAAGGGCACTGCAGGCGTGTTGCGGAGGAGATAGATGATAGAACAGACAGCAACTAGAAAGAGCGGAAAGAGCGGGGAGGGGGGGCTGTACTCAATTCGACGGTCATCCTTGCAACACTTGGCGGCCACTCCCACCCCCAATCGGGTCTGGCTCGCCACCCGCGTCAAGCTTTTGCTCGACATCCTGTCTGCTGAAGAACTGCCTCAAACCCCCAACAGGAACATCTGAACGCAGCTCCAACCCTTGCTTTTGTATTGGGAAAATGACTTCTTCTATTCAGGCCCCGAGCAGAGAGCAGGGGCTTCGCAACTCGACCAGCCTTGGGGCAGCCTGCGAGGGCTGGAACCATTTCCAAGCAGCGCAGACGACCGTTGGCGAGGCGGACGAGCGCCTTCCCGCCTGCCCTCCCTGCCGTTGAAGAGCGCACGTTCTCTTCCAAAGAAGTCCCTCTCGAGTTTCTTCTTCCTCCCTGCGGATCGTGTGTGTTGCAGACTGCCGCAGGTGTCACCTCTCATATCAGTTCTGGATCACGTGCAGCCGTGAATGCGTCACCAAATCTCGCCGCCAATCATGACCAGGCTGTTGCAATCCACGGTATCGTACCTGGTACCTACCGGGGACGCGTCGAACTCTGGGTCTTGCGTAACACGTCACACTGGATGGCGATAGTCAACTGATTCCTAAGCGTGGTTTCACTCCGCTGGTGCTTTTCAACTCAAGTCGGTGTACTTCATACCGGGCGCTTTCGACAAGCAAACTGGCAGGTTGATCGGCTCAGGGAACGTCTCTGTGCTTTCCTTGCGAGAAACTGTGACAGCCGAAAGACCTTTCAGTTTGGAGATTTGATCTTCACTTCATGATTGGCGAAGCAAAAGCGGATGAACAGCATCCGTCGATCCGACAAAATCGTGACTTTTGAAGCAACGCAACCGTCGATACGCCGATCTTTTCCCGGCAGGTTTTGAATATCCAGGCAGACCAGAGGCCGCCGCAATTATAGGTTCCGATAGCCTATCTAAGCTATTCCCCAGCGAAGCTTATACCAGATCGTTCACTGTCATAAGATATCCGAGTGTAGAAGTGAATCCTGTCACTTTATAGGTAGCCTGTAGGTAAGTCGGACTGACGCGCAAAGGCTATGTGCACCTCGTAAATCTCGGATCCTGATCTCTGAAACCACGGCCAAATCAGACTCAAGAGCGTTCTCACTGAATATCGCATGCATCAGCGAAGCCTTCAATCGGCATCTTGTGCAAGTTCGACAACAGTGCGCTTTGGTCCTAAGGGCTCCAAATATATGCAATCGCATGCAATGCTGACGCCCGGCTTCCAATGAATCCACTATGCACGCGCTAGCTATGCACAAAAAGACCTTTAGGTCCATTGAACGTAATTGCAGAATGGGGACTGCAAATGAGATACTATGTTCAACTGGAGGCCGGCACCACCAAATGCGCCCATTCAATCGGAAGAACTTGCCATTTTCTTCCGAGTCCGTGTGTCTGTGCTAGAAATCTACTAAACCTGGCGCGCGTGGAAAGGCTATTACGTCTCGAATGTTCTCAACCCCCGTCACATATTGAACCAACCGTTCGAAACCCAAGCCGAATCCGGCATGTGGTACTGCAAACATGAGAATCAGCAAAAGAGTGTTAGCGCTTCTTGCTTCGGATAGAGCCACGTTCATTGATGGAACCCTCTGAAAACATTCCGACCTTGCCAAGAGATACGCCAGCCTCACTCAGGGCACAAAGACTAACCAACTGCTTGAGGTTATCAAACCGTTTCTACTCTCCTCCTGCACATATCATGCTTGTACTGCAACCATTTGTGTGTCGGTTGGAATCCAGCCGTCACACAAGATTGCAAAGAGTTCAAACCGATGCAGCTTACCTGACCCGTACTTTCTCAGGTCCAAGTACCACCAGAAGGCCTCTTTCTCCAGCTTGAAATCCTCTAGCTTCTTTTCGAGAACCTGTACAGCAAAACCCGACCATTCAGCTCCACTTCCCCGTTCTAGCCTTCATACACGCGGAAGTTGAAGCGAGGATCGTTTGGACATTGCCTTCCCACGTTGATGATCGGCACCACAATCACGTTCCCCATGTAGCTTCACACCGCGAAAATCCACAACATGCAAAAAGGAAAACAAAGACACTGCATCTGTTATCCTGCTTTGAAGTTTCACCAGACGACAGGGCGTCTTAAAAAGGAATGAAACTCAACAAGGATAATAAGAAGCCAAGATGATGATAAGCTCCGACTAACCTTAACTACATAACCCAAAACGATACCCGCTCTGCACCCGTACCCACCCTATCCACCATCTTAACCCTAGCCTTCCTAGTGCGGTTACTATATCTTATCTCGGCTTATTATTATCTTTCTTGAGTTCGATATAAATCAGGGCTTCAGATCTTCGGGGTCGAAATTTACTTGGTTCGAGCCTCCAAGGAGACCAACGTCCCCCAATGCGAGGACTTTGCAAGGCTAACTTAGCTTTCTTCCGCTCCTCCTTTTTTTCCTCCTTTCTCTTCCTCCCCCTTGTTCGACGATTCAACTTCCCCTTAAATGACCTTGGCAACACCCCCCCTTCTCCCGGATCAACTTTTCGGCCTGACAAACAGAGAGAGGGCCTTACCTCGAGCCGCTCCTCGCGTTGGCTACCTCCGATCAACTCGCCAACCTGAAGGATCGGAAAAACAGAATTAAAGTAAGAAGCAGATTAAGTGAAAGACAGTGGCACCCTTCGCATGAGTCTCCGTTCACCATCAATCTTACGCCGTTTACTTGCCTTTCACAGGATCTTAACACACAGAGTTGCAGTGCTAAGGATGAGCTGCACGCTTGAACAACAAGTTCGACAAAGGCATCCATTGACAGACGTCACCAAGGCGCAACGACAGCTTTCGAGAGGGACGAAAGCCCTCCTCTCAAGCCAACAGTGCATAACTTCTGACTGGGCACTGTACTCTGGGCTGAGCCGAATTTGCTACACAGAGCGCCGGTTGCTTTGTCGAACCAAAATCAGCGTTTGAGCGGGAGCAGGCCACCAGCGAGCGTCTCGCCTTCTACAGCACTTCTTCCGGATTCCCGACCAGTGGGAGAGATCCAGCAAACCCGCGTCTACTATTTCGTTTCTGCCGGCCGCCTGTGTTCCTCACCCACCAGTGTCTCATTGCAGACGCTCGGACCCATTTCGCAGGAAGACAAGCATTTCGTCCGAAAGCATTCCGAACATGTGGAAGCAAGCAATTTCGAAAGTTACCCCAGGAACTAGTACGTCCATGGCCGCAACCGTCTTGCCGTCGTCGTTTTCTCGCATGTAAAACGCCTTGATTTCCTGCGGGGAAAGCGGCCAGATCAAAGTGAGCGGGCAAGGGGCAATCGAACAGAAGGCAGCGGAACGAGGCATATGCGTACACATGAATGGAACGGATTTGAGAGAAGTAGAATCACGCGGGTTGAGAACAGTACGATTGAACGAGTCGGGAGGGTCCAAACAAATCTGACAGTATTAACGGGCTAGGGAAAACCAAAAGGAGCAGACTACGAGAGAGCGAGGACGGGCATTGTGCGATGGTGGGCGGAAGAGGACGGTGAGCCGGAAGGGAGAGGGGCCGGAAGAGGGGAAACAGAAAGGAGCGGCAGGTGGGGACGGGCTGGCTGAAGGGCGCATCTTGAATGTTGGTATATGAAAGCATATTCTAAAGTGGACGCTTCCAAGAAAACTTAGGCCGGAGTCGTCTGAGGCGATTAAACGCACACGAGCCACTTTTGCATCGCTCTCTGACATTGCTCCCGACCAGGGACCTCGACTCGGTCACGCTCTGACTAGGTCATAGCTCGCAAAAATTGGTCCTTGAGTCATTACAGACGAAGGAGACTGTAGATTTCAACCACTCCTTGATCAGGGTCTCAAGGGTTGACCCTTGGGACCAAATTCTCTCAAAAGCTTCTTCTCCTTGTTCAGACCAGCTCCGCATATATCAGCAGCAACACGTCACGTACATAGAACACTGCGACAAAGAGGACGATGCAATAACATTTGTAAAAGACCAGGACCTTACGAGACAAGTCAATTGTAGTAAAGGTTTACCTTTGGATAGTCGGTCACGATAACGGGTTGTCCCTTGAACACCACTTCCGTGAGGTACCGTTCGTGTTCGCTTTGCAAGTCTGCGCCCCACTTGACCGGGAACTCGAAACTCTTTTTCGCCTTCAGCAGTATGTCCACCGCCTCGGTGTAGGTCACGTGGGCGAACCGCGCGTTAGCGACGTCCTGCCAGGGGAAGTGCTCGAAAATCTCAGAGGGGAAAAGATTCCTCGAGCTGTGACGGTGGATGTCGACCACAATCTGAAGCTGTATTGAGAAGTACTAAATCTGAAGTGAAATTCTGGAAGTGCGTTATTGCAACGTCCTGGCAAGGGGCGTGCTCGCGTTTTGAAGGCGGGGTGAGAAATGCTTCGAGTTGGCGGTCGTGCTCCCTTGATGATGGAAGTTTCCCACAAGTCGAATCAATTGAGAAGCAGCGAATGCTGCATGTTAACGTGGGCGATCTGCGCGTTCCCGAGATCCTGGCAGGGGGAGTGCTCGTGAACGGAGCGAGAACAGTTTTGAAGTGGCAGTCACGCTCTCCTTTGGTGACAAGAGTCTACCAAGATATGAGGCGGGAGTTGAGAAGCGGTGACTTTTTTAAGGGTGCAAGTCACGTGGGCCAACCGCACGAACGGCTCGTCCTGGCATAGGGGAGCTGTCGCTTGTTGACGCCTGCGAAACAAGCAGCTAAAAGCCGGTTTGCAAGTCATGCGTCGTACTTGAAGGGCATTTCGCGAATCCCACAAAACGCCGCTGTTTCTCTGGTACCACGAAACTCACCGATCGCCTTGTCGGCCCAGAAACAGTCAGGCCAAGTCTTTGGGTGCTTAAGAAAATTGCAGAGAGAGCTCAACGTAAGGTCCACTTAAAAAGCAGCAACGTATATGGGTTTCACTTTGATTCTGCCATTAGGAGCCAGGCACACCGTCGGTGTTGCACCCTCACCGTGAGCCTTTCGACGACGTTCTTCTCTCCTTTGGGCAGGCCCTTCTTTTGCCTCTCCACGAAGAACGCGAGGTCCTCTCGGCAGTGCTCCAGCACGTAACGCACCTGCCAGAAGAGACCCAGTTTCAGCGAAGCAGCGCAACGCATCAACCGATTTAAGGGTCTCAGGTGTCCAGCTTCTCAAGTCCAATTCGTGTGCCCTAGTGTACAGACTTTCTCCAGCTGACATGTGCACCAAGCCATCACCATAATCTAAAGGACCGCGGTTTAGTGCTTCGCACTTTTTTGGGTCGAAGCCAAAGCTAATGATAAAGCTGGAGACCTGAGTATTTTGAAGGTTTGACGACGTCGCACTCGTTACACGAAGAGAAGCCTCTTCGATAACGATAGGCCCCTCAACTTTTCCCCCGGGGGGCCTTTTTACACCAGCACTTACCACGTGCTGCAGGTAGGCCTCCGCGCACGCCATGTCGTCTTTCAGGTCCGCAAACGCAAGCTCCGGCTCCAGCATCTGCGCTTGACGCAAATGCCACGTCAGCGCCACGTCAACATCGCGTTATCGTCCACAATCCCGGAAAATCAGGGAGTACGGTCCTCATCAATCAAGCCGCAAGAGGATAATGAAGCTCAAGTCAGATGTAAACGACTGGTGACGAGGGCGTGGGACACATCGTCGCGATTTTTTGGCTGTGAAGCACGGTCTTGAGTCTTCCGAAGCTGTATTGGCGATGAGCGGACTTTCGACTCGAGGATTTCTGCGGAAGGGGTTCGAAGAGAGGCACTCGCTTTGACAATACAGCGAGCACTGGTATCCGCACGCCTGCTTGAGATGCCACGTTCTTTAACGAGGGTGACTGTCCGCCTAAAACATCGGCTTCATCGCAGGCCCATCCAGCAAAGCGGAAGCTCTTTGTTGCGGAAGCTTTTATGGATGAAAAGCTTACCCAGAACTCCGCTAGATGTCGGGAGGTGTTCGAGTTCTCCGCACGAAAGGTGGGGCCGAAAGTATACACCTGCGGGCGAGAGCGGCAATAGAATGCCGATCAGCGTGGTCCTTATCGAAGCTCGGCAAGCGGTGCAAACGGGCATTGAAAAGTTTCTGAACATTGACTTGCAATCTGCAGAAAGCGGTGCATGCCTTCAGATGCTTGCCACGTCGACAACGGTCAAGTACCCTTTACAGGGAGTGCTCAACTTCTTCCTCAGTTGCTCTTCAACTCTATGAATTCACCCAAGATACGCGCAAGAGACCTGAAGATTGGCGTCAGAAGCAACAAAGATTTGCACAAGGTCAGTCCAGGGGATGCTTGAGCTTTCACGTTCTCCAGCCATTGGTCTGACACGGACAACAGAGCCGGCCACGTGCATTCTATCCTCCAAGGCTGAACGTTAAAACCGTTTTCCACAAAGGCTGCGCAACATTCAACAGTCAAGCGTTTCCGTAGAAATGCTACGGGCACTTACGTCAGACAAGGCGGTCGCGAAGACTTCGGCGTTCAACTGCCCCGAGACCGTCAGGTACGCGGGCTTCCCGAAAAAGTCCTGCGCAAATATCGCAAGCTCTGGCGTCACTTTCTCGGGACTCCCGCTGTTATCGCAGCCGTCAAAATAAGCGGTTGAACACATGAGCAAATCGAGTCTCTGCTACAGAAAGCAGAGAAGAAATGATGCTTCATACAGAACTTGAAAGGCTTGGACCGTCGAAGCTGATATCATATGGAATGAAAGCAACTCGTGTGACGCCCTTGGCAGCAGTGGTTCCTCTACTTGACATCCAACCTCGTAACGTTTGTGCTATTCAAAACCGCTAGTGGAACAAGCTCACGAAGCGCGAGTACGATTCTCATCATAAAACGCCTCCACGGGAGTTGCCCCAGGCAAGCAATAAAAGCACAGTCATAAGTCTAGGTGGAGCCTTGCGGATGCGACGTACCTGAGAAAAGTCTACCTTCCCCTCTTTCGTCGTTGGCACGCCTGCCGCATTACCATTTTGCGGCACCTGCACCAGGCGAAGATACATGAGAACCGGTCGCACTTAGACAGGGACGTAATACAAAAGCCCTCCATTTTGGTTGGGCCGCGTATCAGCCATAGGCAGAGAGGTTTGGGCAGAAGTCGTGCAAAGGGTGACGTCAATGGACCATCAATGCAACTTTCTGCTCAGTCGGACCGTTGATACAAATGAACGGATGGTTCAGATATTTGAACTTGAATAGGCTTTTTACTCTGTACAGCTATTCTCTGAATCGCCGCTTGAATGCTTCAGATGGATAGCATACAGTCCATACTTGCAGCAGTCTCTTCATCCACATCTCAAGCTTTTGCATCCCTGTACGTTACTACGGAAGAGTGTGAACCAACGCATCATTACCTACGCCATCCGATTTGATCAGTGAATCAGTACAGAGCCTTAAAAAACAATACTCATGCATACTCGCTGTAACGCGCAACGAAAGAGATATGCGGAATCAGTGTCCAAAAACCGTTGATGCATTATTCTCGGTTTCAAGAACTGGTCAACGTCAGCGCTTACCAATGTGGTGACTAAGAACTGCTCCCCCGCGCCCTCGCAGTCGGCTGCCGTAATGATTGGCGTGGCTACCCAGGTGAACCCCTTGGACTGGAAGAACTGGTGCGTCGCAAAGGCGAGCGCGCTGCGAACGCGCGACACCTGAGAATGCAGGAGTCGGCCGAGATGGAAATCGCAACCGGAAGGGATGAGATGTTCCACTGATCTGACGGGTCACAGCGTGACTGTCGCTTTTGAAAGCGTTGACAAGAAGCCCAGACGTCCGCGTATTCAGTCAAATGGTCAAGTGTTCGCATTCTTGAGGGAACTCTACGGAAGGAATGCTTGCTCGATTGTAGGGGCGGCTGGAGAAGGTGGACGTCAATAGACTGAAGATGCGTCCGAAAGCACTGGCAGCAAGGCAATGGGACTTTGAAAGATTCAGAAAGGAGCTCGGTATTGATGAATCTGTGCTGCTCGTATTGTTTGAGAAAGAAGTAGAGACCCGCTCCTCATCGATCAGGCAAGACAGAGGTTGTGCATTGTTAGACCCTTCGAAGTCGGACGTAAAACCAAAGTGGTTCCCCAGCAAGATTTGGCCGTGTGACTGGGAATTGGTTCTCACAAAGCCCTGAAGCAAGAATAGTACTAAGGAGGGAAGTTAAAGACGTTTTAATTCATCGAGTAGACTAAAACACTGGAATCCATACCACGACAACTCCTTTGACAGCCTCACAGGCGCTCCAAAAGAGTGCTGCAGGAATGCCTTAAGGTAGGAGGGCGTATTTAGACTCACTGCTCCGATTGTGTTTGTCCGTGGCCGTAAATGGGCGATAGTCCGCAGATACTCCAAGGTATGGTTCTTCTTTTGCAGAGGATATGTTGAACCATCACTCTCGCCAACCTGCAAGAACCGTACGGTTGATATAAGAAGGGTATTGAAAAAACATGCAGGGCCCGGGAAGAGACTGCTCTGACTCGCCCTCACTATGCAGGTCCTGAAAATTATCTTTACCTGCCTGATCCAACACACAAGATTGATGCAGTCAGAATTCTGAGCCTTGAAGCAACAGTTGGCCAAGAGGTTAAGTTCACCAACCGAATCCTCGTTTGAAGGCGACACGCATAATTCTGGATGCAGCCCTCACAAACCCAAGCGGCCCTTCGGCATTCTCATCGAGCAAAACTTGTCTTCGATAACACCTTGAAGATCAATCCAAGTGACAGGCGTCTCCCTGACTGGGACTCGAAAAGGAGGACCCCAGAAGCAGCAGCCGGCTTTTGAATTCGACTTTTGGTTTCCCCTTGTGCCCCTTCAATCCACTCTTAGCAGCTTCTTACTCTCGAACCCACCGACCTCCACCAAACTGCACTCAGCTCATCCTGCTTTTCCCAATCTCGCCACGGCCTAACCGCCATCAGCTCCTGATCACCACTAGCTCACTCTTTCCATCCCAGTTGTCAAGTGTTGGTTGTCCTGAACAACCCTTACAGCTAGTCTGGGAACCTACGACCCGTCAGCTTTGTAAGTTTAAGCTCCACATTTTGCTTGCCACCCCTTACAGCTAGTTTTGGGAACTTACCATGGTCAGCTTTGTGGCTTTTAGCTCCACTTTCTGGATGTGAGCCCTTACAGCCAGTCTGGATACTTACCACAGTCAGCTTTGTGGCTTTCAGCTCCACTTTCTGCTTGCCCCCCAGGCTCTCTACCAGCTCCCCCTCGACTGCCACAGCAGCCCCTGTGGCAACAGTCCCGTCTTGAATCTGCACGAATTCCAGGGTTTGCTTTTAGTCTAAGCGGCCACCTTGAAAAATTCAAGCAAACTCTGATGGTAGCAATTGGATTATTATGGACGACAGTGTAGAGCAGGCTGTCGGAATAGGTGGACCACTCTTGAAGAGTACTACTATTGAATAGCCTAGCCAAGAAGTTCTCATCAGTGAAGTGGGACCGAGTTACACCACTTGTGGGAACACAATGACCCTACTCCGCCCCCAAAGTAACCACTACTTTTCCCGGCTATCCCTTTACAAGCGTTGGCAGCCACCTGAGCTTTCAAAAAAGCCAACAGCATGAACCAGCGCTGTCGGAAAAAACTGAATATCAATGATGCCCGAAGACCAGCGAGAAGTGACTTACCTTGTCATAGCCCGCCGCTTCTGGATGAATCACTACTTGTAGCCCTGAAAGATTTGATCCGTCGTTTACCTGCAGGAAGAAAAACAATGTTGTTGAACCAACTATCTGGAACCGCAACCTGAGAAGCAATTCTGCACTCTGTTATCGAAGATGATCAAAGCAAAGGTGCTGCATATGCAAAAGTCACAGCGTTAGTTTCTGTCCAATTGTTTGCCCAGTGAGCAAAGCTTTGCCCAAGTCAGACACAGACACATGTTTATGAGGCAGAACCATAGGTGCAGAGACCTCCAATTCTCTGTCCCTGTATGCACCACCCACTGCATCAGACACATAGTGCTGTGGCTGCTGTGCATACATTTGTTGGCTCGATCAAGTTAAAAGTCTATTTTCATCAACTCAGGTCTATCTTGTGCCACCACTTCCCACGTGAACCACTTCCAAAGAAGCTTTGTTTCTAACCTGCATGAACGCGAAAGCTTTCTGCGCTCTGACAGTCCGCACCCACCCCCTGATCACGAGCTGCTGCCCGACCTTAGACAGACCCTCATCCTCTCCTCTGATGTCCTTGATCTTCTCCCGCCCCTTGTAGCTCTCTCCATTTGGTTTCGAAACCTCCGCCGCCGCCTCCTCTGCTACCTCAGTCAGTACCTCTTCTGTCGTGCTAGCCCTAAGCCCAAACCCTAAACCTCTTTCTTTCTGCAGGCTGGGATGTGTGCTGCCAAACCCGTGCGCAAAACCCCTGGTAGATCCTCCAATGCTGCTTAATAGCGCCACATTTGAGCGGCCGGGAACCAATGAGGGCCACTCAGAACTCAGGGGCTGGCAGCAGGCTGAAAGAAGTCGTCTGGCTGCACTGCATTTTGAAGATCGCGCCAGGGAAGAAAGCTGCAATGGAAGCGCTCTGGCTCCACAATGCGCGAGGGCCATGACACCCTTCGTGCACCCCTCGTTGGATGCAATGCACTCACAATATCCACAAACAAAAAGGTTATCAACGATTGTAAAGGATGCGTGCTGCCTGATATGTGGAACGTTCTGAGCTGCCGCAAGCACGATTTAAGAGAATGTGCAGGACAAATGAGCTTATAACTAATATAAGTTAGGTATATCATGCAGGGATACCGTACGTCGAGAGCAGGGCGCACGACAAGCGGAGCCGCGGGGGCGCGGCGGGCCGTCTATCCGCATCATCGCCAATGGGCATCAGGGTTTCGGAGGTTTCAGGTTACTGCGTGGCAACACACGCGCCGTCAGATACACGCAATTGACGCCGACGGTTAGCATGACTCCAGTGCAGCGCCACTTCGCCTCCAGATTAGGGTTTCGTTCTGAAGAGGCCAGCATGAGGGCGTGATCCGAATCATCCGATCCGCATTGCATGGTGTTCCAAGGGTGTTCCTTGCCAAGGTTATTCTGGCTTTCATTTCTTCATCCCCCTGACCATCATCTTCTCCTGGACCAGCTTTGATAACCTTATCGAAATTCATTATTATCCAAGCGCATACGTAGACATTTGTTTTCGGATCAGTCCGCATTCAAATGGGCGCCGCAATGCAGCTTGGGCAGCTGTCTCGCTGGAGCCTCTTCAATGGTGCTTCTTTCTGCAGACATCATGTGAGGAGACAACATAGCATTCGAGGCTACTCAAGTGCAGCAGATCCCACTTCCGCTGGTGGGGTCTCGCTCATTCAAGGGGCGTCCAGGGGACTGGGACTAGAATTCGTAAGTGGAGACATCGATGCCGTCTGCAACCGCCTGAAGTCTTGTTGTCCAGTGAATCATCTGCAGCCGAATTGCAGGGCACTGTATAGTTGGATGTCCAGATTCAGTGCATTGTTGGAGCACACCCTGACTCACTCCAAAGTGGTAGTGCAGCCTTTTTCTTAATCAGCGCTTTTGCGGAGAAACACAAAAATTATGCACCACCGTTTGCACTGCAACCTTGGACATTATGGCGAGTAGGAAGCAGAAAATAGAAGCAAGATTCTCAATGACTAGGGCACCTCTTTTGTGAGGGACAAGGCATTGATTTTAGTAGTTCGGTGTCAAGTAGACTTTTTGCTTCGAAGACTGGTATGTTGATCCCCTATGGACGGCACAGAAACCAGCACCCTGAAACTGGAGCACCATAATGCAAAGCTGATTCCTTCAAGGCTGTTCTTGAGGGATCTCATATGACTGATGTTGCAGCTACATTGCCACCTTATTGACATTCGAACATGGTAGTGCAACCAAGTGCAGACTGTCGTTAAAATCGTTCCTGCAATTTGCCGGGAACCAAACGTTGCATGATTTGGCATACAGCCAGATTCACTGAACCTGCCACACCCTTGATTGAAGAGCAAGATCTCAAGAGGTCCACTACCCTGCTTCAATCTTTTCAGCTGTAGATCATCAGCCGATTTCGTTTCTTCCCCAGGTCCGACAGCTGCTTGAGACCCGGCCAGACGAATCAGTGGTTGCCACATGTCGCAATCCAAGTGGTGCAGAGCAGCTGCAGGAGCTTGCAAGGGCCCATTCAGACCGCCTCACAGTCCTCCCACTAGACGTGACAGCAGAGGGCTCAATACAGGTGGGTTCAAAGAGGTTCTCAATATTGCAAAGCACAGGCTGGCACCATGTGTCGGATGTGTATTAGAAAGTCGTCTTTTCCTGGTTGATTCGTAAGTGGATGCGAACTATACTCTGCCGCACTTGTTGCATCTTTGTTTGACAAAGTGAGTAGTCCACAGAGTGTAGAATGCTCAACATCGCTTCTTTCAGCCCTTTGATGTTATGTCAAGAGACTATTTACAGCAGGATATTGGGACCAGTGAACTTGTCCCTTGACCTGGCCCTAATTATAGTGGTCCCTTGGCCTGGCCCTAAGTATAACTTCCAAAAAGACGCTGTATTCGCTTCTTTCGCTGATAAATGTCCGCAACTTGACCTGTATTTTTCTCTACACCAGGAAGCTGCCAAAAGCGTGAAGGCCTCCCATGGGAGAGTCGACCTGCTAGTCAACACAGCGGCAATCCTTCACGTGCAAGGCAAGGTGCAGCCAGGTGAGAAGGCATAGAATAACTTGGACTGGGTTCTTGTAGTTGAGCGTCCAAAACAGGTGATGGGGAGGGGGGCAGCCACAACAGGGTTAACGGAAATCAACTTACATTAGATTTCGGACATTGTTTGAGATGGGCAGATGGGTCTTTTTTGCAAAGAAAGGCGAAGAGTATTCCCAACAGGATTCCTGTTTCAAAACAAGGAATCGCGGTAGCGAACAAACGAAACGGATGTCATGCTCGATGGTCTTGGTTTGAGCGGCACGCTCAATGCTGGACGGAACCTCGGCGTTGAGATGTTCTGCCTGAGGCTCCGACGAAGTTGATTGTACGGTCTTTTCTTGTATCCTCGAAGTGAGTACGTTTGTGGGGCTGGTTGTTGAGTCAGATGCATATGGTACCTTCGGTTGGCCTTTTCGTCAAATCAACATTGATCAATCTAAAGTCGTCCAACAAAAATGACGGTTATTTCCAACATGTGTAACTTGCAAATTTTGGGTTCGGTTCCGTCACACCTTGTTGCTCCAAATGTGGAGCCGATCTTCAGCCGAAGTCCTGAACAGGCCGTTTGACGCCGTGTGTGTCTGCTGCAGAGACGGCGCTGGCGAGAGTAACACCAGAGGCGATGCTTCTCAGCTACCAAGTGAATGCGATGGGGCCAATCCTAGTAGCAAAGGCAAGCCGCTCACTCCTTCTTGACCTTCGTCAGCGACTTTCTCATGCCTTTGACGGGTTCTCCGTGGATGGAGGAAACCGCAAAACTTTTGAAGTGCATGGCTTAGAAGCCAAGGTGTTCTCGCTATGGCGCCTGTAAGCAGCATCTGAACTCCTGAAAGGCCGACCCGCGAAGGGAGACGTGTGCGGTTTCTTCGATCTGCGGAAAATCCCAGCCAAGGCATAAGAAAGTCCGGTGACTTTCTTCTCCAAGATTGATTACAAAGTTGGTCACGAAACAGGTCGTTGACGAGCTTCAAGGTGCTAGCCATGCCGGTGTTTCACCAGGTCGCTTGTCCACCTTTCCAGCAGCGATCCTTCACCTTCGAATCCATCCACCCCCCTCGAATTGTTAGCAACTCACTTCCTGTGCACATGGTTCGAAAAGTTGATGTCGAGGACCCGAGTTATGATGCACAAATTCAAGGCAGGGCTTGTTTCTTTCGTCCAGCAAATGTGCAAGTTTTGGAGACTTATGCTGGGGAGGTCCGTTCTTCGAATGAAGCTGGAATACTCTTTTGGCTCTTAGGATTGACATCCCGACTCTAGGGATCTGACCACGTTGCTTAGTAAGTCGAGACCAGAATGCTTCGTTCGAAGCTAAGGCCCTCGCTTTCTGCAGTTTTTTCGCCAGTTCTCGAAGTTGACGGCTAAAAATCTGCGAAGTCTTCTTCAAATGCTTTGCCAGGACAGTTAAGACTTGATAGCATCAAGCAAAACAATTTCGGAGTGATCCAATACAGGGGAGAAATCCCAAAGCCTCGACATTCTGGAACCGGAGTGCGCATATATATCGGGTGCTGAGTGTCTCTTAAAGTCTCCACCAGCTATTGAGCGGAGGCAGTGAGAACAGTGCCTTTCGAGCGGCTTGTTATCGCCGAATCTGAGATCAAGCCTAATGCTGTGGCGATGTCCAAGCAAGAGCTTGCGCTAGGAGTATCTCAAACAAGAGTCCTCCTTGCAGCACTTACCAGCAGCTGTTGAAAGCAGGCGGTGGTAGGGGGGCCTGCCGAGCTTCGTGGCTTGGGGAGGCGGAACTCTTGCACGGACCTGAATGATTCCAACAATTGCAAGAGCTCAGGGTGAAATTATTCACACAGGGAAACTTTCCCCTTACAGCACTTCCACCAGCTGTTGAAAGCGGGCGGTGGAAAGGGCACCAGGCGCCCCGCGGCCGTGCTCGCGAACATGAGCGCGCGAGTGGGGTCCATCGGTGACAACCAAATAGGGGGCTGGCACTCGTACCGGGCTTCGAAGACCGCGCTCAACCAGCGTAAGCGCTGAGCAGAATTCGGTTATCTTTAGCCCCAAGTGGATAGTTAAGCGTATGACTGCACGATTAGTGACTTAGGGAGACGCCTCGGCTTTGGACGCAACCTTTTCTGTTCTCACATGCCTCAGTCAACCCGTGATCCTCTTCACGGATTGACTGGAAGCCCATTTCCGTCGTCCGGTAAAGTGCTATGAACAGGCGCCTCTTCGCTCTGCATCGATTCTGAACTTTACTGTGAAGGGGTTCTACCACCGGAGTACCACGCCTCGACACCGGGCCAGGCTTTGTTGGCAAGCGTCGCCCAGGTCGTTGAGAAGTTGACGTCAACGTCTGACATATTCGGCACGCAGTCTTGCAGTCTCAAAAACCTCGGCAATTGAGGTACCCGCCGGGAGGATCTCATCATCGCACTCATGCTTTAATTGGGGACCGAGAAATTGACGTCATTTCCTGACGTGTTCTGCTCGCTTTTCGCAGTCTCGAAAAACGTGGCGACTGAATTTACCCGCCGCAAGGACCCTATTATTGTAGTCATGCTTTAACTGGGGACCGAGAATGTTACGTCATTTTCTTCTGCATCTTCTTTCGCAGTCTCGAAAAACTTGGCGATCGAGTTCACCCGCCGCAAGGATCCTATTATTGTGGTCATGCTTCACCCAGGGACGGTGGACACCGACCTCTCAAAACCGTTTCAGGTAAAGCGCCGCAGTCGCCCGCCATCGAGTGCCTCTGTTTTCTCAAATTTGTTCCCGCCAGAATGTTGACACTGTTTTGCTACCTTTTCTCTTTCTGATTAATAGGCGTCTGCTGGTTGCCCATTCAGAGGGAATCTTTCGGCGCTTTTCTGAGATCACCTCTGCTGAGAAGCTGACTCGCCGTCATCGCAAGGCATCAAGACCACGAAGGCAGAGGCCCGATTCGAAACCAGAAGTTCAGGAGTCGCCTTTTTTTTCTGAGGTACCTGGGATCTGATACTCAAATGGACTGACTAGATTCTCTTGCAACGCTCCTCACCGTTGGACTCCTCACCGCGGTACCACAAAGTGTGACCAGAAGGACGCAGAACGATATTCACGGCCCAGCGGAGAGAGCCCGTTCTTTTGCCAGTCAGCATCCAGAAGCATTGTCCTTGCACTAGTCAATCTTTAGATTCGTCTACCGGACCAACGATGTCCGACTTTTGGCAGTGAATGATATCAGGACAAGTCGTCTTTGATGGAGCGTCAAGGCGGCGTTTTGGAAGCCGTGATTCAGGAGGATCGCTGGAGGATCGCAGAAGGACGCAAGCTGAGCTTGCAAAATTCGGCTTCTTCAAACTTCTTCCGTCGGCCCTTCACCGCCCGTCCTGATCTCTATCAATCGCGGCGCTTTCGGGCAATTTGATGCGCAGTTTGTCTGCCTCAGCAGCCTTGCATCCTATCCAGTTTTGACGTACATGCAATAATCTAGACCGTCGGCCTTGCTCCTGCAGAGGGGCGTCCCCGAGGGAAAGCTGTTCTCAAAGGAAAGGGCGGTGCGACAGGTAAGCCGGAAATTTTCAACCCTGGATCTAAAGGAGGGGCGTTACCATCACGTCAGCATGTAACGTGTTGCGCGCCGTTGCGGCTGCCATACATAGCGAGTTTCAGCATGTGCGTTGAAATTGGCTGCGGTACATACGTCTTGTTAAAACGGAAGGGTTTGGGTATTTCCAACGCCACCTTCATGGAAAGCATTCCGACCTTGTGATCCTTTGGCGACCGCACAAGCCCGTATGCGGCCGGTCCGGTCGCTCCCGCCCGTATGGAGCATGCCATTTTAGACATCGTGGGGGAAAAGGCAACGGGGTATCATCGGGAAGTGCCACTGTCGCTCGTCAGCAGAGCAGTCTCGTCCATCCTCGAAACATCTTGTCTACAACATGTACCACCTGGAAACTGTATGTCGTTTGCCGGGTGATAGTCAGTTGACGGTCTTCGACCATGCAAGTCTCCGTCGTTCTTGCCTTAGTGATTACTACCCTACTGTCAGGCGCTTGCTCAGCTTCGCTTTTTTCCGGCAGCTCTTGGACATCATCGACACGCGGCAGCTGGAGGACAGCGGCCACTTCTTCGCTTGGGACAAGCAAGAGATTCCCTGGTAGCAACACGACCCGGCGACGGTGCACTTATTGCCAAGATCATGGCAGTTTCGCCGACATATTGGGTTCCGGAACGGTCCTCTTGAGCCGGGAGGTGGGGCCCACGGAATTGTCGGAAACGGCCACGAGGGTGCCACGCTGTCTCTGCGGCCGCGTAGATGTAGTTCTGCAGCCGTCAAGGTGATTTGTACGCCGACAATGCGCGCCGGCCGCCAGCTGGCAGCAGCGCCCGGCTTTGGCCAGATGGGTGGGAATCGCATCTGGCAGCGCGCCGGCAATAGAGATGAGCATTTCGAGGAATCGACATTGTCAAAACGTGCTGAAGAACGAGTTCCGAAATAGCAAGGCTCAAAACAAGCGCGGCGCGCCAAGCCTGCCTTGATTTGTTTCACCGAATTGTATGGTGTGCCCTCTGCAGTTGATACCTGCAAAGCACGTGGCAAAGCTTGCCCGTCATCATGAGGTGATCCTAGCGCGCTGCACGTTAATATACGTGCCGGTATGTATGATCGTCGGATGCCCCGCAGAGACAATCGAATGTCTGTCGCCGTACACTAATCCAATATGCCGCTCCCAATGGCTTGAAACGCATTACAATAGTCTATATGTGGTTCTGCGTAATGTTCTGAGCAGAGCGGATGAAGAGGATCGAATAACTATGCGCATATGCAGACCTTGCATATACATCATTCTTCATATGCGTACAGATATGCATCCATGTCATTTTGAATTCCTCTTTGGACGGTTGTCAGGGCATGCGACAGTTAGGCAGTTGTGACCCGCAATTAATGTTTCGCGATCAGACGGAGGTATGCTTCTTCGAGACGACCGCGAACCATCTCAATGATGATGATCGATTGATTGACTTCAAACGCTCGCGAAGACGCGTCAAGGAACGCGCGCGGTGCACCGGGCGGTGCGTTCCATCAAGGCATGGGCCGCGCCCGGCAGGCAGATCCTGACCATCTAGCATGCTTCTGAGGCCCATTGGCCGCGGAATGAAATCACAATGAGCCCCGACCAGCGCATCCGACACGGCTAAGCTGTCATAGCTAGAGGCCTGCAGGCTAGCGGCCCATGCGGCTGAGCCCCACCCTAGATAGTGACTTTCTGGACGAGCACTGCGCTGACTAGGGATCTTAGAAGCAATGTTCCGATGCCAACCTGTCTCAAAAGATAGGACTTTTAGGCCCGACAATCTTTCCGTCCCAGTGGTCCGCAAAGACGTGCACGAGGAGTGCTACGTGCCATCCTCGTAACATGCTTTGAGGGTCGAGATCTTCCCAACGTACTCTTCGAGGTCATTCAGAGGAGTTGCCGTGCTTCTCTTTCTCTCTACTTCATGCTTCAGCGAAAGTAGACTGTCTAGATGCATTCCAACCAGGCGACCATCACTCAGAATGAAGGCTGCACCCGGGCCGCCACCATAAGCAGGGCAATCGTGAATCATGTGGCGCTTATCTTTGCTGAAAGTGATTGGATACGCTGGTGTGAAGCCAAGCCGGCGTCTAAAGATGGGGGCCCCAACCTCGATCCCAATCTGGAAGGATGCCACGACCAGCTCTGATCCTTCAAGCGCTTCCGGAGCTCCGGTTAACACGGGAAGAGACTCGTTCGTGCGGGTAGGTCGATTGCAGAATAGCATAGTCCAGCTCCGGACACCGGAAGACAACTTCCAGCTTCAGCGTCTCTCCTGCTCTTGGCAATTCGTCGGAAGCCGAGTTTGTGGAGAGCATAGCACACCATTTCGATTGTTTCTCAGCTTCAGCGTCAGGAGAAGGACTTATTGCATTTTCAACACCCCCGTTCACATTTGTTGTTTGTCCGGCTCTAAGTTTACTCCAATACGACCGAGTTCAAGCTTGACTACGAGATTGCATCGCATGAGTCGAGGCCTCGGCCTATATTCTCCTTACTAGAAGTATAGTAAGCGCAACCCATGGGCGCACTGTCAATTTGAGTATCAAAACCTTTCAACCTGGGGTTGTTGATTCCTATCCCGACGTTGGAACGAAGTACCAGCCCTGTACCAGCCCGGATTCCTGCCCGAAACGGCACAAAGTCGACTAGTATACCATTCTACAGCCGCTCGTTCAGCCGCGCCAAAACATTTTGGGCCGTTTTAAAGATGCGGAACAAAGTAAATTCACAGAACAATATGCTTACCTGGTAGCTTTGCCAAGACTGTGTTGCCAATCACGTGATTGTCGGACAAGCAGTGATCTGCAGTCACCGCCTTCTTTGTGCTGTAGAAGATACCCACAGCTCTAGATTCCAGTTCCTTTTCTTCGTCTTCTACGATGTAGAATATCGACTTGCCTATGAGCTTCTGCTGTGCTGGTGTTATGAAATAAGAGATGCATCCTGGAAAGAAGGCGAAGGCGATTTAGTTTGGGTTCACGTCATGGCTTCTCTTTTCATCAGGTTTCGATCAAAAGGCCACTGAATCAGCTCTTACCGACACCATTTAGGTGAAAGGCGTTGAAGCGGGCACTAAGCAGTGGTGTGTTGAGATGAATGAGCTTTGAAAGGTTGAGTGAAGAGTTACAAGCAATATGCTCCACGGTTTGTCTATTGAGCCCAACACTATTTCACACCTGAAGCGATGGAACATTCTGAAATCAAGCTGCTGAGTTGGTTGAGAATGAACTGGTAGGTTTCTGGTCGGATGCAACCTAGTCAGCAATTCTGTCATTCTGCTTTATCCCCTCCGGATCAACAATTCAGGACTATATAAAAGCTCTGCAACCAGCGTCACACTAGACTTGGTCTGTAAGCAGCCTTAGAGTCCATGAGTCATCTCATCGTTAGATGATTTGACGATTATTCTCTATCGTTGCTGTGCTACATTCCATGGATTAAAGAGAACATTACCAAGTAGTTTTTGATGGTTCCCAGGAGAGCAATATGATGTCAGCTAAAGAGAAAGGAGAGAGATGACTGTGGAAAAAAGAGGTGTGATCTGGAAAGTCTTCCACTGTCTGACTCTGTCAAGACGTGCCTACCTTCCATATCTTCAGTTAAGTTGCCGCACAAGATTCGCCTCGCTCGGCTTCAGCAAGACCAGCTTGTCTTTGCACCCGCTTTGACAAGTCGGCGCTTTCGCTCTCATGAAGTCAGTGGATTGATCATGGCACACCGAGTTCTCTTTTGAAGAGCACTGTGACGGCCTCACTGAAAGTTTCAGTGAAACGCCGCCTGCAATCTATTGGCACACCGAGTTCTCTTTTGAAGAGCACTGTGACGGCCTCACTGAAAGTTTCAGTGAAACGCCGCCTGCAATCTATTGGTAGGCCGCGCGCGCCGTGCAGTAAGTCACACTGCGCCGCCGACGCGGGGGCGTGGCCGGCCAAATACGGTCCGAGATTTACGTATGCGCTTAAAGTGGGCGTAGGACGTGCACGTCCTTCAAAACTGATCGACGGTGCAGGGAGCCCAAATCGCCCGAACTTGCGATCTGATCCGTCCAAAAAAGACTCAGACTCACTGAGTGTGCATTTCCCAAGCTTTGAAACCCGACGCCCACTTTAAATCCCGCCGGAAAGATTGTCACAGGTTTGTTACAGCTGAACGGAAAGTCAACGGAATCCCGCATCCGAGAATCCGACGCCCGCTTCGACCCCATGAAGTTCATTGTTGCCATTGTTGGTGCGAAGGTACTTTTACGACGTGTGATACACCTTCAGACGCAACAGCATATACGTGTGCCTTAAGCTTTTTGTCACAAGGGCATACCAGGTAGCAGGTTGAATTAACGCTGCCAAGAAGTCATGCTCAAAGCTCTATCCAGGCCTGCCAATAATACGAGCATTTACGGTTCGAAAACGTTCTGAATGATGCATCCGCTCCAGAGCAGTGTGCTCTGTTGTGCAATCAGGGGCTCGCTACATGCCTGACATTACCAACACTGTCGCACCTTTTTGATGACTCTAAATGGGAGTATTTGAACCGGTTGCACATCATGCACGTTGACATTGACCATCTTATATCGAATTCGTGTGTATGCTTTGCACTGATCAACCTCTTAAGTTTCGATCTGAAACCTAGCACAAATCCGTAAGAGGTTCGGGCGGCACATAGATTGTGGACAACCTAATGAAAGGGTCCAATCTTTATCCTAGCAGACGGCGCTGCTGTAGCCAAGCCGTCGAACTAAGTCCACTCCATGCTTGGCTTGGAATCATCACATGGGCTTGAAGGAGCCGTTATATATGCTGTGATATTACATGGACGATTATATAATTCAGCTTGTCTCAAGGACCTTCACAGAAATGTTGCAGCCTGCACGCCGCTTAGCTTGTCAGGGCACATGCAAACAACGTGGTTGCATTCCAACCTATCCGGACATGGTTTGATGGCTTGGAGCAAAGGGAGCACAACCTGTACCAAAGGGGAGCACAGATTGTACCGTCTTTAGTAGCAAGCAGGACCATCGTTGCATGAGCGAAACCTTTGTGAACCCCCAGTCGCACAAGTTAGTCGCTTTCCTGAGAGCATCCAATTCTCACGGTATACTTTTGACTTGGTTCCGCTGTCGATGGCATCTTCCATATCCGTTTGCAGCGACTTTGCACTGTGACCGTTATCTATCAGCACGCTTAGGGTGCTGCTACGTGTCCTTTCCTACGCAGTGGCTTGCGAACCTACTATGATACGACCGTGCTTTTGTACAGTATTCACGCTGCACCCTCACAACGAGTCCAACAGGAACGAGCCGCCCGTGTTGAAATCGTCCAGGTAATGTTGGAAGCTATCCCGGGACTGTCCGAAATCCATACCCGTGACGTGCTCGAATTCAACCGCTTCTCCTGTAGGGGCGTTTGCATCGGGACGCGGGCCTGGTCCGCTTGAATCGCCAGCGAAAGGCGCGTGGTGGGATGGCAGATCGTCGCTCCCAAGCTGGAAACCGGACCGTCCATTTAATGGGGCGCTGCTCGCGATGTTCCGCCGTAATCGCTCGACCTCCTTCTGAAGCGCGTCATTTAGGGCTGCACAGAAGAGGCATATATGGATGAAGATCTCTGTGGTAGTACGGAACGATCACACAGGCCTCTCAAAAGCTTTATAGACGGCTGTGCCCCTGCGGCCCCTGTTAGTATTTTCTTGATCTCTGGAATTCACCCTCGACCGCTGATCCTCTAAGGACGACGGAAAAAAGTGCGAGTGCAAGTGCGAATCACTTCTCGAAATGCCGGTTTACCTTTGACAAACAAATTCTGAAATCCTCATTATATGTCAAATTCCCCGTCTCTGCGACCTTCTCTTGACGTTTCAAGACGTTGCGTGTACTCAACCTCCCCAGAAACGGTAATCGCGGCCCTGTGACGCTGTAAGCTAGGAAAACTCTCTTTCGAAACATGTCTCCGTGATACAAACTTCCAGCGGAGCTTTCTCATAGGCTAGGCTGCACCAATTTGACAACAACTTGTCCCATTCAGCGCCCTGAGGCCAAAAAGCTCGCGAACGAAAAACAGATGCAGATTGGCTATTGCTATAGGGAAAGAAAGTGGTGCGCAGACCGAAACGCTTACCATCCTTGAATCCAGTCTCCTGCTGAAGGGCTGCAATCTTCTGCTTGAGCTCGCTGTTTGCGCCGTTCAGCTTCGTCCGCTGCTGGTCCAGGTATACCACTTTCGGCTGCAGCGCTTTCAAGTCCGCCTGTGCGTACATGACATTTCGGTCTGTTTGGCGCTCAGAATGGGGAAGGCTCACTTCAAGTGGGCATGCATCTCAGGAGGGTGAGGTATTCAACTCCATTGTTCATGATTTCTAACCGAAACGGCAAACTTTCATCCTTGGAAGAAGGGGACTTCACAGAATGATCAATGCTTCACTTGAACCACAGCTCTGTGAGGGCCTCCTGATCAGTTCAGCAATAGTGCGCATAGTACATCTAATCACCAGATGTCTCTTACCAAAAGCGTCAAACTCGCGAGATCTAGAAGCACTATATGTTAACTCAAGAAACTGCAGTGGCAAGATCAGATAAGCAGGGGCCCTGCCTGTGCAGATACAAGCAGCTTGCTTACAAGTAGGAACCACCGTGGGGCATCAAGCGGTTGGCAAAGACGTAGGACTCGAAACCACTCTCCACGTTTAATGAATGGGGCAACCAGTGATTCATCTCTTGGGCCACACAAGAAGCCTGTGGGGGGGCTGATTCGAGGAGCACTCACCTCCAGTAAGGTGACTCGCTTTTCTAGATCGGATATGTAATGAAGCTTTCGAATCCGAGACTTTTGGGCAGACTGCCGATTAGCGAGCACCCTGCAACAAAGAGACCAGGAAGAAAGTTTGAGCAACTCTCAATGAATTGCCAAAAGGAACTCAATCAATTGGGGGCTTCGTCGAGTGTCGCAACACAGGGGGGAGCAGATCAGAAAATTGCCAAAGCTTGTCATTGTGTGGGAGCAACAACAAGGCTTGCAAATGCCATCCAGAATGCCCCCTTACAAATACTGTTCAATTCTTTTGAAAGGATGGGAATTGCTCATTAAATTTGACAAGGTACTGCTGAAGTCAAAGAGTAGATGCCAATTCATCTCTTTAATCGCAGACACAATGATCACCTCTTAACTGTGCACAGGCATGCCACAATTAAAGCACTCTCCATATAATCCAATAACTCTTGCAACACTCTTTATCTTTATAGCATGGGCCCATGGCTTTGCGATCAAACTCGCTCCGTGGTGCAGTACGGCAGAAGCTGTCTCAATCGAGAATTACATGCTGCTAATCTAACTGAAAGCAGGAGCTGTAAGCCAGACAGAATGCTACCACACACTTGCACATGTTCACGACATTGCCTGAGCATCCACCCTATGCTATGCAAGCCAGCAATAACCCTAATTTTAGCTTTGATTTGTACCCACATCAGAAGAAACAACTTTATCTCAAGGCAACGCTTCAGTGATGCTTAGAGACAAAAGGTCGATTTGGTAAAAGCTACCTGGCACTTAGAGAAGGCTGTCCTTTGATCCCTTTCCCTGGCAAGATTGCTGAATGTGCTACATCAAAAAACCTGGCAGAATGCTACTTTGTGTGCTCGCAGCATGCTCAAACACTTACCGCTTAGCCTTTCGTGGATCCATTTGCAGGAGCTCCAATTCGCTCTCTTTCAGCGGCCCCGATATACCCAGCTCCTTTTTGAGTTCTGACAATCCCACCAGTCGATTGTCGTCGGTCGCTGCACTTCCATCCAGGAAACTGCCCGAAATGCACGGTTTGATGTCTTCTTCGCTAGCAAAGCTTGTCTCCTCAGACAGTGACGTTGGGGGTTCAGAGAAGGTGCGCTGGTGGCCCCTGCGCTTTGGGGGCTGATTGATACGGGAGGATGGCATGGAAACTGCTTCTCCGGGGACTGGGGCCTCCCGAACACTGGCCAGTCCCCCCATTTGTTGCTCAGGGGCAACAAACCCCCCATTTGCCAGCCAGGAATTTGAAATCCCACCCTCAGACGCTCCCCTCCGATGCTTTGGCGCGTGCTTGCCTGCAATACTCTCTGGTTCGCCCCTCGAGAAAAGCGAATCATGGATGGCGTCCATGTCCAAAAACATGGCCATCACATTGTCAGAGTCGGGATCAGGCACTTCTCCGAACCCGTTCAAGGGCCTGCCGCCTGATGAGTGATTTCCTTCAAAGATGCTGTCCTGCTCTCCACTTAGAGACGGCATGTTGCTGAAAGAATGCATGTTGTTGATCCCGCTGTCTAGGAATGCCATCGAGTCGCTCGCTGAACGCCGGTGCCCTGGCCTCTTGATGGGGTCCGCCGGCCAGTTTGCATCCGGAATGCTGAAGATATCAGGGAAGCTGACCTCATTGCTAGGCCGCTTTTTGGAGGTGGAAGGGGCTGAGTATGGAGAGGTTACTGTTGACGGGCTGCGAGGCGGCCGAGCAACTTTTCCAATCCGAGGGCTACTGGGAGGGGCCGAGAGCCAGGGGTGGTTACTCGGCTGCTCACCCACTCTTTCAAGAGAGATGTCCATCCTGATAGATGAGCGTCAAATCAGAATGTAATAAGAGTCAGAAAAAACTGAGCGGTCTGTCCCAGCGGACCAAGATGATCCCTCAACCACCAAGGAGCAGCATCGTCAAGGATTCCAGAATTTTGAGCTCTTTTTCCTTCACCTTCACCCAATTATGCAGAACCTAGTTCCTCTGCAATGTGCACGAGGAAGCTCTGCAGCCAAGAATGCAAGCCCTGGCATGCCAATGCAGGCGCCGCGGCCATGCAATCCTTTTCGGTTTTCCTACCACTGCAGAATGCAGATGCCAGTATTTGCCATGAGCCCAAGGCTGACTCTGCCTGACTTTGGCCCAGAGCCTGACTTGGCTCTGGGTGATCTGACTTTGAACTTGAAGTTCGAGTCTGGGACTCGGAGTCGAAGCAAGTTCAAGGCAAGTTCTGCATGAGCAGAAGCTTCTGATTTGGATTTGGAGCGGATCTGGCGCGTAAAAGTGGCCAATCAGTATCTGCATACGGTAAATGCCATCGAAATCTGCAATCAAAATTCTGCTTTCTCTAGTTTGGAGAAGAGGAGATCAGGCTCAGGCTGGCAATTTGCAATGCGCCAAAACATATGTCACAGCCTGCAGAAGGGCGCTTTGAGGCAGCACCAAGCAGCACCAAGCTGAATTTCCTCTGGACAATCATACAGAGGAAGGCCGTCTGACAATGACATGTTTCGAGCTTGAATGAGGCCATTTAAGTAGTTGGTGGGTGGGTTTGTAAGACCAGGAATTGCATCTTAAGGCGCCAACTATGGGAAATCGCTAAGCTTTCAAGGTCGTTGCATTTATCAGCTGTTGACTTGATGTCCACTGAAGTAAGAGTCTTGCAACGGTTGATTTGTGTATTGAAACAAGGCAAAATGATTGGATACGTGAAGGACGCGGTGCGAGATGTGCATACATATTTCAAGACGCTGAATGTGAGGCAGTTGATATCACAAGCAATCAGCCTAGGTAAGCTCCCTTACTCTGTTCAAAACCACTCTTTCCTCTGTGCCACCACTAATACAATCTTCAACGGAAGATTAAAAAAGCCCCTGAAACAATCGGTGGGCAGCATTCAGTAGCTTCGCAGAAGATGCTTCCGATTTTAATGCCTTTGGGTTTTCAAGGAGTGAACCCCCCGCAAGGATCATCAAACCGGTGCACACTTGAAAGACTTCTTCCTGTCATCTTATCTATTCAAAACCACTTCTGCTGTGTCCTGGATCACCGCCCTGCTGGTCCAGTGCCAATCACCTAACCTGAGTGAGATAGTTTTAAGAAGCAGTGCTGAAACAGTATGGCCGAATTGTTGCAAGATGGCAGACATTTTTCCGCCTGTCTTCAGCGGACGCGTCGATGATCCTCTACCTTGGTTGTCCCCTGCAGGCTTGATTGTGTCATCAGCCTTGATGATATGGAAGGGCCTGATGGTGGTCACCGGAAGTGAATCACCGGTCGTGGTTGTCTTGAGCGGAAGCATGGAACCAGGATTCCGAAGGGTGCGTACTTTTCCTGCTTACATATGCAATTTCTGTCTGTTTTGTGATGGTGTCTCTTGCAGTGCCCCTTCTCTGTATGACACAAACTGTGGCACCTACATGTGGCTGACGGCGTCCTATACTATGGGGCATCCGGCATGTACTTTCAGCGCCACCATGGGCCAAGAGAGCCCCTGCAATTAGTTTGACCGTATGGTTCATTGATTTGCTGGCCAGTGTGAGGACCATCATAAATATGACCGAAAAGCGATAGGACTGCTCTTTACCTCTTGATGCAGGGCGATATCCTATTCCTACATATGAGTAACGCGCCGATCAGAGCAGGGGAGATTGTTGTTTTCAACATCGATGGTCGGGACATCCCAATCGTGCACCGAGTGATCAGAGTCCATGAAAAAGCAGAGACGGGAGAGGTTGAGGTTCTAACAAAAGGTAAGCAGGACTTGGATCAACAATCTCGCAATTTGGATGTCGTAACTCACACATTGGTCAGTCAACTTCATTGTTTCAGATGAAGTCGTACGCAGTTTTTGGACATCGAAGTCATAGTGAAGCCAAGCTTCTGAAGGATTGCTGTTCAATCGACGACATTGTTTGGCAAGGATTGTAAGTCTTTCCAATTGGATAAGTCGCCAGTCTCCACGGACCTGTTTGTCTCGTCAATTCTTTCCTTTCTGTGGTCGCTGTGTCCCTAAAAGAAGTCATCCGTCGGTTGGTTTGCGATCGTTCGATGTCCACTTTATTTCAGGTGACAACAACTTTGGAGACGATCGACCACTCTATGCCCAAGGTCAAATGTGGTTGAATCGGAAACATGTGATGGGGCGGGCAGTCGGGTGAGTAATGACAGAAATGACTTAGCCAGAAGCATCGTCTTTCTGAACGCTCGTTTGTTTCTTGCCTCGATCAACATGTTCAGGATGTGCTTTTCCTACGAAATAGGCATTGAAAGATCTTCTGGGACTTCTGAAGAGGTCCTTTTTCTAGGAGATAAGCAAAAAAGATCTTCTGGGACTTCCGAAGAGAAGCACAGGCAGAGGACGACAACTCAGTCAACGGTGGCTTTCAGGATTGGTGCTTTGGAGACGAAGATGGTTCTGGGTTGCAACGGAGCTCCGTAAACAGCTTACAAAAGGCCTGCCAGACCATATTCGATGTCTGCTTGATACGACATCGGAATGGAAGGCGCACCCGATCTCATCTGATACTTTGTGGACCTTCAAGTATCGGTGTTCGTCGTACTGCCTCTCGGCAGATTCCGTATAGCCCTTTCAATCCTGCCTCTTTTGAAGTTTCACTTCGTTTTGAAGCCAACCTGGTCGAAGCGGTCAGCTTAAAAATATCTGCAAGCCCGCCTCCCCGGACAGTTACTGATGCACCCGTATACATGGGCTCTCCAAAACCCGTGATGTTTATGCCTCTTGTAAGTTGGTGAAGACTGGTGCGTTCTCTTACTTACTTCGCGGGTCGCGCCTGGACGCTTTGTACTAACACGTTGATGCAACCGGCAGTATACGGTGGATCAAATGGACCAGGTGCTGACTACAAAGCCGCCTGAAAGATTGCAGCCTGGCATCTCAATCGGTGCTCTTTCGCGCAGGTACTTGCCTTACGTCGGGATTGTAACAATCCTGATGACAGACTATCCTTATGTGAAGGTAAGCAAGTCTGCCTGAAGATCGAGCACGTATTTCTGTTTTGTGTGTAGGCTCGTCATGGTGCCTGAGTTGTCACCCGAGATTACAGCCACGCTTTGCGATGCTCCTGCTCACCAGATCGCAGGTCCTTTCTGCGTTTGGATGAAGACCAAAATCCGGCTGTGCTGGAAAGCTTCCAAGGTCGTGTCCTTATGGTTGGTTCTATCCTGACACCGAAGCACACTTTTTCTTTTGCAGATCATCTTGATAGGAGCACTAGGCTTGCTTGTAATCACCTCAAAGGACTGACAGTGGGACTCAACGAAGTCGGCGCGAAAGCTACAAACACATTGCTGGCACGTCTTAAGCTTTGTTTGAGCTCGTGATCCGTGTGGTTCAGTCTCCGAACCATTGCATTGCAATGATGGCATCCACATATGGTCCCCCTGTCTGACTGAATCATGTTGTGGAGGTAACTTGAGTAGCACCCTTGATTCATTCGTCGTGACGGCACAGCAAGCGATTGCATGAGCACGAATCGCTGTTCACCATGCTTGACATTTTAGCGCAAGTGAGATTGGGCGCCTGTGGAAGAGCAAAAGGTTGTGGCGATGTGTCTTTGATGACACACGTGATGAGAACTCATGTCATTTTTTGATAGTTCGTCATATTGGGCCTTTCGATCACAATGGCTAAGGCGGCCAATTAGATACAAAGGTATGGTAGGCGGGGATCGCTCTTGCATTCGAACTTCTGCATATGACACAACGGTCGATCTTACTCAGACTGCTAGTATACAGCCTGAGCATAGAGATTTTCAACATACAAGCTCGATCCGGATGCCGGCGGCAGCCGTGTGAGTTCGTACTCCTCAAAACAACAGTCACATGATCAACGTAGGCATTGAATGATGAACCCTGACTGCTTTCAATTGCACTGGGCCGCCAAGCACCAAGGTCTACTTAATATGAGATTTCAACTTGAATGTATACTTCTTCTGCTAGCATGAGTCAGATGGACATACGGTCGCCCATGAGAAGGACAAGCCCAGCTGAAAATTTGTCAAAACTAGCAACGCGGGATCGCACACTTAAGCTGAAGAACACTTGATCGAACGGGGACTCCGGACTAGAAACATGACGGTGGTTTAACGCGTCACTGTACATTTCAAAGCCAGTTCAACCGCAATTTATGCCCTAGCTGGGACATTGAAGATCCCATGAGCTGAATCAAACCAAGCCCAGCATGCGATGACCCAAAGCTTTCAATAATGAATATACTTGGGATCTAACCTGGAAGTACGTGTGCGATCACATCGGCCATCTTTTCTGATTCGACTAAGATGCAATACCCCAGTGGTATGCAATACCCCAGTGCTACATTTCACTTCAGTGCCACCATTCCGCTACTTTTTGAGCAGGGCTTAAATTCCAAAACAAGTTAGATTGCCCACACATCAACAAGAGTGCTTAGCTTTAGCACCCTCCTCAATCCGATCAGCAAGGGAAAGGAACCACAACCTACAGCGGAAGGTTTAAACGCATGTTCACGGATATCCCCCTGCTCAAATTCTCGCACATTGCTTGGCGATGCCCCTGCAATTAGAAAGCCAAAGAGACAAGGGCACTTTAGACTAGCCCCAATGTAAAAGTCCCTGCAATACTATGATCAACGCTGCACCCGTGTCCTGCTCAAAGACCAGAAGTACCAGCAATTCTGCAACTTTACCATGGAAGTTTTCTCTGACGTTGAAACATTGCAAGACTCCAGCCATGAGTGTAACACACAACGGACGCGCTTGCTCCATACTACCTATTGTGGCCAGAATGCCGCACCTCACTTTGTGCCTTCCGGCCCCCCCTGCACCTTCTCTGCAGGGATCTCGTACTGCACAGCGGTGCGGCCTGTGGAGAAGGGCTTGATGAGCTCAGCGATGATGCGCTGGTGCTCCGCGTGGTCCCGGTACTTGACATAATCCTCAACATTTTTAAAGTCGGCCACCACTGCGATGCTTGCATTGCCAGGAGCCATGCCTGCGTCGCGGCCCGCACTGTAACTGAGCAGCTCGGGGATGACCTGAGGGAGACCGTTCAGCTCTCTGACTATCCGTTCCACATCAGCATCTCCGTTCACTGTGAGCAGCACAACGTGGCGGAACATCTCTTGTTTCTCTGCCACCGCACGAGCGGTGGCGCCCTGCCTTGCGAATGCCCGCCGAACGAGCGTGGTGGTAGGGCGGCAGCCGGACGGGAGGGGCCGCAAACGTGGACTTACAAGGTAGCTGCGCGAGATCCCCAAAGATTGAACGCACCAAGACATTGGCAGCACCACCAGCGATGATCACCGGGGCAACTCACAGCCCTCCTTACGGCAAGCACCTTTTGCCCGACACTGGCAAGAAAATGAATGGAGCTCAGGAGCAGAGCAACCCTTCAACGATCACAGGTCTTGATAATGCGCGCGTGCCGCGGTGCGCACGCGCGGCTGATCATCGCTCAGCGGAACCGGGCCCGGGGGTACCGGCATACGCGACTGCACGACATTGGTACCGGGATACCGGTAGTACCGGTGATATCATGATACCTATCATGCATACACAGTCATACACGTTTGGCCATGGGACCATGGCAAAGGAGCAATGGGTATAATCTGCACATCCAATTGTCCATCAAGACGTGCACTGATCCCGAAATCCTCGTCAGCGGATCATGCAGAGGTTAATTGTTTTCATTGAAGCCCAGGTTCTACAATACATCTAAGGAGAGTTATAAGGACAGGTAGTAGGGGACAGGTGAATAGATATGCTGGATTGCAATCCGGTTCGGATCATGTAGTTCGAGCTGCATAACGTATGGTTTTTGTAGCCTCATTGCCTGCATCACGACAATCCTGCAACATGCTTTCACACTCCGGCCAATCCATAGTGTTTGAACCCCGTTTGAACGGTGTTGAATTGTTTGACTCAGCAGCCACGGCGCTCCAAAATAATCTCTAGCCGTTGATACACATTCTTTGCTGGAACAACAGTGCTTCGAAACACCATCCCACCTACTTCGTTTTACAAACTGCAAACGCTTGTTTGACAGACTGCTAATCAAAGTCCATCTTTTCTTGTTAAGAAAGAGGGCCGTGAAGAGGACCACAAGTCAGCTATGGATAGGTAAGATTTGCGACTTGAAAGATAGCAGCAAGAACTTCATCTGAGAAATCTCTCGGCTTGCAAGCTCGGAGGCAACCAAGCACTAACAGCCTTCGCACGCGCACGGCTTCACGGACTGCTCTGTCGTACTCGATCAACGACCCAGCTACGAGGCTCTCGTCGAACGGCTGATCTCTATTGAACGTACCGTGCTCTGCCCTCAACCCCTCTTCGACCGTTTCTCTCGGCGTCCTCAGAAACTGAACCGCGTCCTTTCCAGAGAAGATGCACCGTTTCGTAAAGTCGGCTCCGTGCAGGACGAGCGCGCGCACGCTCTCGAAACTGCCGTTGTAAGCCGCAAAGTGCAACGGCGTCATGACGCCCGGGGCTCGCCCCCACGCGCCGCAACTGAAGGCCTCGGTATGCGTCTCGTCCTCGCAGTAGAAAGCGGGCTTTCTCTCCACGTGCGCGCTCGCGCCGTGCGCGAGCAGCAGCTTCACAAAGCGCGTCTCCGCGCGCGTCGCCGCGTGGACGAGTGGCCACGAGGCGCAGGACATTTGCGGACCGTAATATGGCAAGCCAATGATACGGATGCGGTCATAGTGGACGCAATTCGGATCCGCCCCGTGAGCCAGCAAGAACTCGGTGACGGGGAGGTTCTCCGAGAAGACGGCGCAGGTCAAAGGGTTGTGCCAGGAATCTTCCCTGAGAGAAAAATACGCAAACCCCTCCAGCATGCTTGGCTCAACACCGGCGTTTGTTAGTCGTTTTAGAAGGCGGGGGACTGTCGGATTTGACGGGTCGAGGTCGGCCAGAAAGTGGAAGAGGGTGGCGGAGTCGTAATCGGGCTGCGCGTGCCAATGGGTAGGCTGCATTCAAAAGACAAACTTTGTCATGTTTCCATTTTCATTCATGTTCTCGAGGTCCCTGAACTGTGCACAAATTCCGGGCTGTCTGAGGTCAGCTGGCTCGAAAGGGCCCTTTTGCGTCCCACCTGACTATCTTTCGCGGTTAGAAAGACGCTAACTATGACAGGTTTGTAAAGCTTGCTTCGACAACGGTCAACACCAGGACAGAGCTTGTAATGTACAGTAGAATACATGAGACAGAATATCTTCACAAAAAAGTTGAGTCGACTGTCGTTGTAATCGAAGGTAGGCAAAGAGGTGCCCGCTTGAGCGAACTATTATCGTAATGGAGTCAATTGAGCAGCATTTAACTTTATCTGACGCAAGCAGTTACCTTACGGTTATCCAACCTCAAAAGGAACCCCAAGTCTCCGTGTAGTCGAAGATGCAAATCGATAAATCTGAATGCAAGCAGACACATAGGGAATGCGCCGAACACTTGCCAGTTGAGTGTACTGCGCGTCCAGTTGCCACTCGTCTCCTCGCAACTGACCGCTCAGCCAGTCGAGCATCTCATAGGCTTTGAAAAAAGCGGCCAGCATGAGGGGCGTCCTGCCAAACGCGTCCTTCAACGTGAGTTGCTCGCGCGGTAAAGTCTTGGCCAGCTCCACGTCGTTGCTCGCAGCTGCGCCGAGCATGTTGTGGATCTCACCAGAGCAAGCCTCCTGTTTCACAATGGAGCCGTCCTCGAGTGCGACTAGTCTGCCGGTGTCATCGTGTTCCTCCCCTGCGTGAGAATTTGAGGAGCAGCAGTGTATTCAGGTCCAAGTGGCGGAGCTCAGCCGTTAAAAAAGGCAGGGACGACAGATCTTGAAATCCTGAGGGCAAGCAGCGACTTCGCAAAGTGAACATCAATGACTTGAAGGTCAGAGGTTCTGGGATCAGTAGAACATGCTTTCGTGACCACATTGAGAGCCACCAGTATGGTCATACTCTGCTGCACAATCTCTGATTCATTTGACTCTAGATAGATCCATTCTTTAGTAGCCCAGGACAAGCTTTGAACACTCTCGATGCTTGGAGAGGACGACCAACTGATCCGCAAAGCGGTCCCTTGGACATGCGTTGCTTACCTTGATACCATACCTCTCCTTCCAAGCACAAGCCCCATGGTCTCAATATGTTGACGGCAATCCAATTGGTCCAAAATTCACCGTAGTATGACCTCTCGACCCTTTTCCACTCCAGCCCTGATCCATCTTTCATAGGCACCCAGTCGTTTGCAGTCATGTTCTGGAAGAGCTCCGCTCTCTCCTTACGCCCGTCACTGTTGAGCTCAAGTCCCACGTCGCTGTCCCATACCTCTTCAAACTTCTGTGTCTGAAGAAACCGATCCTGCAAGAAAGCGTAAATGGACATCTTCCAGTCTGTTCGAGCTTTTTTGAGCTGCACCAGGTAGAAGCTAACTTGCTGAAGATGCTTTGCCCTGGAGAAGCTCCCAAACGGCGTTCGCTCCTTTCCTTTCAATTTCTTGAGGAACTACTTAGCGAGAATGCTTGTGATTCCTGGCAATACTGAGAAGGGCTGAAAAGGATTGAAGTTGTTGTCAAGCTATATTCACAGGGGATGAAGTTCAACGATAGTGCCACTTGTGCCACTTCTTGAGCTTTACTGGTCGCTTCCTTGTGATTCCTCTCAAATGAGAAAATCAATTTTCCGTGAGCTCTGTAACCATTAGGATCTGCATAAACGCCTACCTGAATATCCATTCTTTTTCTCCTCAATCTTCTCTGTGCCTCTACATGAACAACAAATTGAGACCAGAAACGTGCCCAGGATGTGACACCCTATCAGACATCGAAGAATCAACGCTTTGATTTCTCTACCCGAATTTTAACATCATGCTTCACTGCACGGAGCTAGCAACCCCTATCCTTGAGCCAGTAAGCATTCGTGAAGGCTGCTATCTGAGCATTAGCAAGCGATCAGCTTCAGATTCTGAGTCCCTGCAGAAGCTGAACAAAGCCGTTTGCTAAAATGCACTCTCACCTGCATTTCTTTTGGTAGATCAAGAAACTCTTTCGAGCTCACAAAGAAGGCGTTTTCAGGACCAAGAGGAAGGCCGACGGACTCTCGGATAGGATCTGGGTAGCTTTCCAGACTCTCCTTATTTCGCTTGAGCCGGTTTGTTCCCCAGAAAAGCATCAGATAGCAATACTGAAGGATGTTGAGCGTCTTGCCTCCAGCAAATTTCAAGGCACCCTGGTGGAACGTGTTTGAACCCATTCTGCTTTTCTGTGACGAAGGACACTAGGGCAATGCGCCTTTGCGGCGCAGTGACCTTCCAGGCCAACAAGGATAACCGTTTGTCGTAACGCGGCCCGCGGTCAGATTAGTCCGCGGCCGGCCTTTCGTGGGGCGAGAGGTTTACGCAGGGTTCAGGTCAGGACTTACATGGTCCGGCGCGGCCGGTCGGTACCAGGACGCGTGCAACGGGCGGCCGCCCTCCGCTCAGAGTCAGTGATGCGCGGCCGCCGCGAAGTGCCGCTGGCAATGGACGGAGCTTGTGCCAGATCTTCTTAGACGGACGGCAGGCGGTGGCCAGGGTTTTGCAAGTTGGTAGCGCCACCCAGCTTCAGCACCACGTCCAAGCTACTTAGCACTGAAAGCTGAAAGACGTATTATGGGCTCTCTCGACCAGCGAGCGCTTACGATGGATACGGGTTACGTGCAACACGATGAATTTGGCACGGCTTGCAACAAGGCTGACTGCCACACGAGTATGTTTTGAACAAGTCTCCGCGTATCATGCATGTAAGATTATATACACGCTCGACCTCCATCTGCAATTGATCACTCTTCGGTTTGAGCGTTGATTGGGCCTGTGTATATGCTATATCATTCTTGCACCGTTACAGACTCGAAAATCGGTGCGAGCTCATCGTGCATTTGTGAAGCAGAGGCGTCGTAGAATCTGCAGCTGCCAGGCGGCATTTTCATCATCTTATTTGACACGCGTGCCACCTCTCTCTCATGCGAAGCGGCAAAGTTTCTGAAGGCTGCATGCTTTCAATCACTGTTACTCGCAATTCATAAATAGAGATCCGCTGTTTGACTTCTGGCGATACAGTTTGTCTGCTTTGCCAACGTTCACGACCGCGTTCTCTGACCCCCACTTACGAACGAACAAACAGCACTCTTGATGGATCGTACGTCTTCCTTTGGCGCGGCCGATCAGACGCTCCTGCCTTCAGAATCGTATTCAGCTCCCTAGTTGCCATGGCAGCGTTCACGATGAGGCGGTCGAACTCTTTAGCTTGTGGATCCGAGTCCGCGTCCACCTCTTGCAAAGCAAAGCTCAAGTGCCTGTCATCCTTTGTCAAGAAGAGTGGGCCAAGTCGCAAACAACCCGGTTGGTCTCCCATGTCATTCGAAGTTTGTTTCTCGTCACGAGAAGCGCCCCACCCTGCTTCGATGTCCACTTCCTGCCCGTAGGATGCCTGGCCTTCGAATGCCAGGTACTCGCTTAAGTAACGGTCCTTGTCAACCCAACCAGAGGCCCTCTGGCGATACTTTACGAGCTCCTGCTCGTCGGGTCGAACAACGCTTCCTTGGCACGTACTTTTCTCCCCGCTCGGCACTGGAATGAAAGGGTCACATGGCAAGGACAAGTCAGCAGAAGCAGATGATATTGCAAGATAAGGAAGGCGTGTCTTGGACCTCTCAAAGCAGCGGGTTCCACGATGGGAATTGTTGACTTCAAAAGGTTGAAGGGACACCCTTTTTCTGGAAAACGGCAACGGCCCTTCTGTGACAAGAGGCTGGAACAAAAGAACAAGGTGCCCACTTGATAATCATTGGTTGGCGGCTGGAACGAACTTCAATGATTTTGAACCCGCTGAGGGGAAAACGGTGCAATCTGGGACAACTCTTTATCTCTTGTTTCAAGCTGACTTCGTGTTGCAAGGAACGTCGCTTTGGGGGCTCAGAGGCCTGCTTTGGAACAACTTTGATGAGACCCCTGCAAGGATTGACTCGATCTGGATGCAGGTATCAGTGAAAGAAATGAAGTAGTGCAGATCCCAGTATTTGTTCTGCCAATCCCACTAAACTTCTGGAATGCGAATCAACAGCGTTTATAGAATTTCTGAAACAGCAGAGACATATGGATCAGGAAGCATGAAGATGATTTGACGTCTGCTCAGCCCTGCTCCCTCTACATTTCACTTAGTTTCAACCAGCCCCGAGAGAAAGCGAGTCTGTACAAAGCCAGGAACTTTTGTAACGAATCTCCTCGGAACATTCGTGGAACATGGAAGATGAAACTTGGACAAAATCTGTCTGGCCAGTAAGAGTCTCAACAAGTTTTTCTGACATTCCACGGATGTTTACAGCAGATTGTGGGGTACTTTTCTGGAGAAACATACGTCGTCACCTTAGATCCAAGCACCCAACTTTTGTTCAGAATTTGTGCAGCCTTCTCTTCCACCCCTCACCTGGGATAGAGTTCCATTCAGCGCATTGCTCCATGGCCTCTCTTTCTTGGTCAGAGAGCTTGATGTGGAGCTCATTCAAGACACGAGATAGCGTTGGCAGCTCATGTTTCCTGAGCCGTTGAAAGACGGAGGCTGTGAAGCCTCCATGGACAAGGAGGTCAACTGTTTGGGGGGATAGTTTTCCATCGAAAAACGCGCTTATTGCTTCCCTTTCCTGCTTAGCGCAACGCTGCTGATGGCCCTGCAACGCCATGATTGACTCAACACGTTTTGGATCTTTTGGGAAGCCTTCTCAAGAAGCGCCTCAGACTCTTTGCTTTTGTTCAGATTGTCGTTAAAAGCAAGCTGCTGATGTCTGTGCAAGATGTCTCAGCTGCTCTCATTGGCAGCGTGACGTGTCTAACAGCAGCCCGCAGGCAGCTTCTACAACAAATAGTGAAGAGGATCAACCAGCGTTTGACCCTGGGCCTAGGCTTTTGCGCACATGCAAGAACTTTTGTTCAGAGTCAGACACCTTTTCAAAGGATCGCGACACGGGAGGGCGCGCTCGTGCTCCTGTCAAAAGCAAGCGCTGATTGGTCCTGAACGGAGCGGCTGGTCACGTTCCGGCGCGTGACCCGTGCTAGGGGCTGACCGCCGGTGACTCGCGCCGACTCCCGGCCACGTCGGTTATGCCCCGGGAGGGTCCGAAAGTGCGCCCCGGTCGGCACCCTCAAAGTCTGAGGGCTTTATGTCAGTGTACAACTCTACTGGCCGGGCTGTTCGAGAACCTACCGAGTCCCTCGGCACGTCACCTGGCGTTGTCAACTGGCCCGGGGAGAGGTCTTCAATCACCATGCATGCCAAAGCGGTACCAGTACTGGACTCGACTCGATCTTCCGATCGAGGTGCACAAGCAAGAAACGCAAGATCGTTGCAATTGAAAGCTCTGCGTGAGCATCATCATGGGCCCACCGTCGTTGCACTGCTAATTGTCGGGATTGCATGAAGGAGCGCGCTGTACCGTCATGCAGGCAATCCATGCCCGCACGGCCAAAGGTTGTTTGCTAGACTCGGATGCTAGCACACATGTGCATGGGGCGCCTCGCTTGAGTACGTAGAATCCTGCATACGACACATATTATGCAGCTGTACGTCACATAATGATGGCCGTCATCCTCAGAGCACACAATAGCATGTATACTAGCCCGTCACCTTTTAATAGATGCGTAAGGCATGCCGTTCCACATGCGTAATCATCTGTCGTGCTACTAATTTGCAAGTCAAGCTAGTCCGATAAATTGAGTTTATTTCCAGTGTGAGTGTCCGACCGTAAATTCCGGATATTCAACTGAGATTGATGCACGCAGAAGGCAGCAGTATTGGAACGCGCTCATTCTTCTATACAAGAACCGTCAGGACATGAATAGACTTAAGCACTTCTGGCAATGCATCCGAGGGGGCGGTGGAATCATTCCCGCAGCGTGTCAATCAGGCGGACGGTGCTAAAGACGGCTTAGCTGTAAGTCCACAGATAGCCTGTCGCTACGAGCCCAGCGATCCCGATCGCGATCCCCCCTACGAGTAGAAGGTCGACAGCGCTCCCCAGAAACGGACTACCCAGCACCACGTCAGACTTCTTTGGCAGCCACGCTTCTGAGGTTTCTACGCCTTCCGCCTCCGTTTCCGCCTCTACTCCTATGTGACTCACCGGACTCGCTTCCACCCCCCCCTCGGCCTTCCGCTCTTCGTCACCCCCGCTTACCGCGCTTTTTTCCTCTGCTTGTCGCTCACTAATGAATCGAGACTCACCACAGCAGCCATCGCTTTCCAGCAGCCCGTTCCCTTCGCCCGCCGAGCAGCACGTCTCGGCGTTTCCGCATGCGCACCCCCCATCCGAAACCCCCAAGCCCCGCGCCACTGCGGAGTTCTGCCCCCTAATACCTTCATACGACCCCGTTTCTCGGTCTTCTTCCGTCTTGACACTTGTCAAAGGTCCCGATGTCTCCTCTACCGATCGCTCATCCACCGGTTGGCTCTCTCCTGTTCGCTTTCCAGTCGGTTGTGTCTCCACCGGTCGCTTCGCCCCATCTTGCGTTGCCACCGTTGCAGCTTTTCCCGGTCGCTTTTCAGTCGGTGGAGTTTCTACCGGTCGCTTTGCCACCAATGAGGCCTCAACCGGTCGCTCTGCTACTGACGAGGTACCGACCGGTCGGGTCTGAGCCGGCTGCAATTCAAGGACTTCCCCGGTAACGGACCACCGGGAGACGGAGGTGATGCGGACGTACACATTGGAGCCCAGGAGACCTTCTTGAGCTTCGAGCAAGACTTGGATGTAGTTCTTGGTGTGGGCCACCTGAAACGCAAAATTTCATGTGCGTTAAAGGGGCGTCCTGTCACCCGTAACGGACCACATAGCCCGTATGCCCGCATACCAAGTTGCTTTTTTGGTACCATGTGACCAGATTCTTGGCGACACGAGGACAGGATCTTCTGCGAAGGGGCCGCCGCGGAACCACGTGGTTAGACGCCCTCTTTAAGGCTGAAAGAAGCGTTTTGATGAAGCAAACGGAACGTGGAAGGTAATCTGAAGCAGAAGGAAATGGGCGTCGGTAGCAGAGTCAACCGACTGCGTGGGATCAAGGGATATCTGATATGGCAGTGATTGCAAGCGGGCACCAGCTCCGCTATGATATTGCTAAACGGGCGAATCTTTTATCCCCAGTAGCGGTGGATTCAAGTGCATCAGATCCTCTCGACCAACCCCAGGCCCTTTGCGAGTCTGTCAGCTGAGGCGTGAGGTGTTGGAGAAGCGTGCGTCAGCTACAGAACGTTGGGGGCATGTTTTCGGACGCGCTCACCAGCTTTTGACCATTGGGTGCGTCTCACAAAAAGAGTCATACTCAAGCCCGATTACAGATACCTGATGTCAGCGGCTTCAGACGCCCAGCTTTTCACCGTTGGCTGAGGCTCCAAGAAGAATCACACAAACCGTCCCACGAAAGCTGACGTCAGACTCGGACGCCCTCACCAGCTTGTGTCCGTCGGTGGCGGTGTCCGTGACCCACACGCGCTCCACGCGGCCCTCCATGTCCTTGTACGGCGCGAACGAGTCGAATAGTGACGTCAGCTGCCGGCTGCGCTGCTTGACGGCTTGCGTGGGGACGCGCTTCATGCGGGCCGCGGGCGTGCCTGGAAGGGATACTCGGTACAAAGTCAATTTGAGACTTTCACTTGATATAAGCTCCGGAGTTTTGTCTGGGAGAGGCTTATTCAGAACCACGAGAGCTCTGTCTTAATAGTGACAACTGGGACAGCTCGAAGGTGGACTATCGAACAATTCAAGAAGCATTAGATAGAAAGATCAAGGAGCACTTTTACGTAGGACGGGCTTTCTGGGCAAGGAGATCCTCTGAATGCGGAAAGTCTGACTACTTCAGACGAAGACGGGCGAGATTCTGAAAAGTTAGGTCAGCAACTGGCAGACTTGGAAAAGCAACGGCGTCAATCAATGACTATTTGTAGCGGGTTCCTCCATTGTGATCGGTGTATCTCAGATGAGTCCCAGAATTGGCACACCTTATACTGAGTCGGAGTGTATCGGGTCAAAAGCGCTCTCAGCATGAGGCTTCACCAGCCGCCTACCAAAGCAGATAAAACTTTTGCTGAAACAAGCAAAGAGCACTGAGAAAGCTGCCTGACCTGGCCGCGGGTAGAACTGGGAGATATGGACGTGCGGGAAGCGGTACTCTTCGATCAGCGCCATAGTCTCGGCGAAGCCGTCGTCGGTCTCGCCTGGATACGGAAGAAGAGGTTTCGTTTCTCTATATGTCTTTTAGCTCAAACTCAGGTTTGAATAGAGCCATTGATAAAGGTCCTCGAAGATAGTCTGTCCCTTGTGCTGATCCTGATCCAGAGGACAGGGCCTGCTTCTTGAAGAGCCAAACTTGAAACGTACACTCTAGTGCGGGCGGATGTGAGATGGCCGAGACTCTTTAATCTGGAGACCTTGCCCCCAGCATCGAAGAGGGAGAGTACGCGGAAAACAAGCCATGAAACGGTGCGCAAATAACTCAAACAGCTGAGAGAAAGTCGATCATAAAAGCGATATCAAGCACGCAGGAATTAGCTGCCTTGCGAAGGAGAGCGCAGGCGAAAGGGCCCCTCGTTTTCGTCTCAGGGCGCATCCAAATTTCCTGTAAAGACTCTAACGTCAGCTCGTTACCTGGGAACCCGCAGATGACGTCAGTGGCGATCTGCATGTCCGGGACCAGCCGCAGCAAGGTGTCGCACACCGTCCGAAAATCTTCGACGGTGTACTCCCGGTTCATGCCCTACATAGCAGAGATTGAACAGCGATCGTTTAGGGGCGGAGAGCCGGTGTCTTCTGACGTTTTCCGCATACTACAAACCCACCGGGGCGGACTTTACGACTTCCTGCCAACCGCTCAACGTCTCTTCACCGTTGAAGGTCGGCTGATGGTGAAGCACAGATTGCGTACAGGCTAGATGATAACGAAGAGCGACACCTTTCCGACGAGACCCCTTTTCAGTTTCTCGATGCGATAGTTCTAGCTTCTAACGAGCAGAAGCCCACGCAAGGTCAGAATTGTCGAGGGCCCGGCATACAAAAGGTAGTCGAGAAGCTGGTTCCCCATATCCTCGTCAGATAGAGGATACACAAAAATCCGGAAGGTCGCACTCGCGATTTTCAAACCGCGTGAAGGCCCCCCCGGACCCATTCATGACTCGATACATTGCCTAGAAGTCAAAAAAATCTGGAAACCCGGAAACCGACAAACCTTCGACTTCCGCAGAACTTTCAGAAACCTTCAAAGCTCAGAAGGCTGTTGATCCTGATCGGGTTAAGACATCAAGCGTCCCGTCTGCTGAATCTGGATCAGAACAATTTGAGAGCGTTGGCAGCTGAAATTTCGAAACAAAGCAGAACGCTGGTTTATCGCCCCCCCACCTTGAGCACCGCGTTGCTCCCCGACTGTACGGGCACGTGCAGGAAGGCGTACACGGACGGGTGTCGCAGGACGTCCGCAATCGCGTCCAAATGCTCCAAGATGAACGGCGGGTTGGTCATCCCAACGCGTAGCATGACGGATCCATCGGCAGGAAGCTCCGCGACTAGTGCCCGGAGAAGAGTCGGAAGGTCGGTGCCGATGTCGCGGCCTGGAAGAGACGTCGGCAGAATATGACGTCAGTCTAGTTGCGCGCTGATAATGGACGGGTTGGTCATCCCAACACGCAGTTCACGAAGCCACACGTGGGCAGTTTCAGAACCAGGAACCGGAGAAGGGTGGGGAGGTCGGTGCTATGTTGCGGCCTGGGAAAAGATGACGTCGGCAAAGGATGATGTCAGCCAACGGTGCTCGAGAGAAAACGGCGGGTTGATCATCCCGACACGGGGAATGCCAGATCCGTCTGCGGGCAGCCTTGCGACCAGGGCCGGGAGGAGAGTTGGAAGATCGGTGCCAATGCCGCGGCCTTGGAAGATGATGTCAGCAGAGGATGACGTCAGCATATAGGTCTAGGTGCTCAAAGTGAACGGCGGGTTGGTAACACCGACATGGAGCATGACGGATCCATCGGCGGGAAGCTCCGCAACCAAGGCCCGGAGAAGGGTCGGAAAGTTAGTGCCGATGTCGCGGCCTGAAAAACATGACGCCAGCAGAGGGTGACGTCAGCGAGGAGGAAGTCAGCGAAAGGTGCCAAAGTCTCCAAAGTGAAGAGCGGTTTGGTGATCTGACGAGCAACTAGACGGAACCGTTGGCGGGCAACTCCGTAATTTGAGCCCGGAGAAGGGTCGGAAGGTCGGTGCCGATTTCGCGGCCTGGGAGAATCAGGTCACCGGATACGACGTCAGCCGAATAAGGGTGTGAGATGATTCGAGGTCGAGTCAATGTAGCTGGGGGAAGCTTATGGCACGACTCAATCGACCATTTTGACTTTCCGTGCGACAAAGCGAAGCAGGCAGAACGAAGCGGAGTGCGGACCTGCAATCACGGCTCGCAGCTACTGGCGAACTGAGAAAGAGTCCCTTTAAGCAACCTGGAAGCGTCTTCCTGCAAGGTCGGTCAAATGCTTATTGACATGGCTTGGAACAGTTCAGCGCATCCGTGAATTCGGTGAACGGTCCTGCTCTTTCAGCTGGAAAAAACTGCAAGAAGAATTGAAGAGTAGTACCATCGGCCAAACAGGACGTGCGCCCGTCGAAGCCCGGAGACTGAGCCAACCGTTTTCTACCAGCAGTGATTTACGACCAGTCAAAGAGCAGCACAACGTCGTAATCAGGGGTATCCTTCGAACTTGTGGCTTTGGCACCTCCACAGCCACCGGCTTTGTGTGAGCAAACAGGGTTTGACTTTTGGATGACCCAAGTACCAAATGTCGAGCGCTAGGCCAGGAACAAGCGTCTCGACGACCTTCGGAAGACAAGTCGGACACCATTCAGACAATTTCAGCCAACTCGCGGACCACTTTCAAAGGATACAGGGAACGCTCCTACAGCTTAACAAAGTTCCTACATCCTACTGAAGCCCCTTAAAGAAGAATTGACTACAGGAAAACGAAGCTTCTTCTACTGACGAGCTTGTCCGGCCAGCAATAAGAAGGACCTAGAATCAAAAACACAGTCATAAGCTTGTAAAACTCTAAAGGAAAGTTTGGGCGACTCTTGTGTGTACATAACGCCCTACCACTCCCGACAGCTATTCATTTGCACCCCACTCGCTGTACCGGAGTACACAACTCAAACCCCCAGACAAGGTCTCGCAACCCTTTCAAAAACTAACGTCCTCACACCCCCAAACGGCTGTCCGTTCACGTCAAACTCACCGTACGCGCCCGTGTCCTCGCTGCTGAGCCAGACCTCCTTCGCCCCGGTTGCAATCACCGACCGCAGCCGCTCTGCCAGGGAGTGCACGGGGTAGCTCCCCAGGTGCCCACGAGCATGTTTCGTTTTGCAGTAGGTGCACGCCCCGAGGCAGCCCACGTTGATCGGGATGATCTCGATGAACTTGTTGCGGCGGACCTGGAGGCAAATGGGCGACCTTTTCGTGTCTTTGGCAAGCTCTTCGATGCCTATGCGTCTCTGAAGGGCTGAAAAATGCGGGAAAAATTCTTTTCCCGGCTCTCCTGTCTTCCCGGCTGTCACGTCAACATACGTCATCCTTTGTAGAGCTGATTTAAGCTTAAGAAAGAAATCGACGGCTTTCGCGAATAGCCGCATACCGAACATGAGTTCCCCAGGACGACCTCAGACATGTGCATCGTTTTCGCGTGAGGTGAGGCCTTATCCTTTTACTTTCGTGTGGACTATCTCCAATCCTGCTGACCCACCACGCCCGTGCTGGGAAACAACTCACACAAGTGGTTGCTATACTTCCTTGGGCCAACGGGGCATGCGAGAGTGCAGCTTTTTAATCAACCCGTTTGGTCCCTTTCTGTGGCAACGTCTTCTGGTATCCCGTCCCCACTTCTTAGTCAAAGAGGTGAAGCATAACGTTTTTTACCAGGCATTTCCTCGTCCCTTCAACTCCTTCTGCTCTTTGAGGGGGAAGTCTGGTGACAGCTACGACAACCCTGGCATTCCGCTGGGCTCTTCCAAAAGTCATGAAGCTCACACAAATGCGGTGAGCTTCGATTTGTCCCGTATCTTCCGGCCTCTCGCTCCCGCTCTCACCTTCGGCAAATCCAACGCGGGCAGAGCTCCCCTCGCCAGCAGCCGCACCCTGTTCCCTTTCAGCGTCTCCTCCACAATCTCCACCACGCGATCGATCTGCTGAACGCCGACGATGCTGACGTCATCGAGCTCCTTGAGGTGCTGGTCACCTTGCGGAACGCACCCGGCGACAAGTAGAGGCTTGCCCTGGGCGCGCCCGCGCCGGAGGAGCGAGTCCATTGCGGATTGGCTGGGAGACTTGACGGTGCACCTGGTAAAAAGAAGAATCTCGTGTTTTCTGCCCCAGGATTCGTGATTTGCGCCTGAGAGAAGCGGGTGGTTCTTCTCTGCAGACACGTGTTTCTGCTTTTCGGTTTCTGCTTAAATACTTCTACCTTTTCTCTGCTGAAGAATACTCCTCAAATTGATACGGGTATGACGAGTATGAGAGAAGAACTGGAGAAGCACCAGCGGATGATATGGTGCTTCACGAGAACAACATCCGTGGGATTGATACGCGACCGTCATTTGACCCTCTCAATGATGGCAGTGACGCCCATACTGGCTCAGAAGGAAGTGAGACTTCTAGAAATGAGTTCAGAGAAGGTCGGGAACAGCGTCAGAGGAGGCCGCCCGGATTGGGCAGACTGATAGACAATGAAATGGGGGACAGTGTATGGAGCGTTGCGATAACTGCACCATCTAGCGATCAGTAGCACGGGGCTTGGAACGAGCACCAAAGCGTCTATAGTATGGGCGACCAGCTTTGCTGGTTTGACACCATTTTGAGATTCAACCAAGTGCTCAGGCTTGAGGTGTTCTCACGTGTTGATGAGCCACAGATCTGCAGCTTCCGGTTCCCCTACCAGCTCGTACCCGTACGAGGCAAGCTGGCCTGCCATGTACTCACTGTCACTCTGCAGAGAATCGAAGCAGAAGTCTCACGTTGGAACCGTCAACGGCGCTCTTCGAACCATCTGTTTGAAATAAGTTGTAGCTGTGATCCTTTTTAACTCTAAGTGAGCTACCACAAATGTTGTTGGTCTAGAAGTTGACACCTTGCTTCGGGCAGAGTAACGACAAAAGGTTGGGGCGATCGTGATGCATGACAAAGACAGAGACTTGCAGCCATGCCTCTCTGGGCAAAATTACACGCAGAATGTAAGTCAGGGTGTGCTGGACAAACTGGACAATTGAAGCTCGACTCTTCACGCTCTTTGCTTAAATTCCACAACGTTGAGGACAGCTTTTTGGAGTAAGAAGAGAGGTGCACACTTACAGTATTGTGGGCACAGCCAAACGTCTTCAAGAAGATGGACTGGGTCCCTGGAATCACGCTTGTGGGGGAGTCCTTCTCCGCGTGCTTATTCACACCCTTGCTCCTGCCCCTGGTGCCCATTCCCACCTGGCTTGGCGGGGCCGGCAGGTGGAAACCGATGGGCGCACTTTTCTCCTGGCCAAGCAAGTCCTCAATGTCGTCGACAGCCATTACACCAGGGGTGTGATAACTTCAACAAAGAAGTGTTGTTGACGTTCAAGAGGACACGTGTGCTCAATATGAAAATGCAATGTATTGGCAGCTGATGATGCGCAATGGCTAACGCACAGAGGTTTTCCACGTCAGCTAGAATGCAAGCGTGGCGCCCACTCAACGAGGACCTTTTCTCTGACTTGTTCGCAGCGCGAGCTAGCTAGCCAACAGCGGGGGCGTCATGTAGGAGCTACAACCAGTGGTGTGCTTTCAGCTGATCAGCAAGGGAGGTTCCTGTACTCATGCCCCTTCGTTACAAATACGGTACGTCTTCAATCCAGAGAAGAGTTTATGGAGCTCACACTTTCTGCCTGGCAGTGGAAGGGCCAGCCACACTTCTCTGTTGAGTCTTCAAAAAGTTCAGCCTCAGGCAAGTTCACCTGGGCCGATCGAAGATCGTCTCTTTGAGTCTTCTCGCACTCATGAAGACGGATTGCTGACGGCTCGTGCCGGTCCTTCAAATTGGAAAAGCTGACCACTCCAGAAAACCAGTCGTGCGTGGCCGATAACGGTCTGTACACTAAAACTGTCTTCGAGAACGGGGTACCATCTACCTTTTCGCCAATTTGACAGCAAGCCAAATTCGTCTATCCAAACGCCCATTCGAGTCGGCTATCCAAACGCATCAGGCTTGTCGCGACCTTATAGTCGTGCATCTCGCAGTCAGTGCGGTCTGCTGTTCGGTAGTAGAGCATCTTGCCTTTATTCTGATCGTGTCTGATCCATTTAACAATTCAGCAGGGGTGGCAGATCAACAGGGGTGGCGGTTTACCCTCCTTACACATTCAGGTGCAGATGGAGACGTCCCCTTTCGTGGAGAGAGTGGTGCGGCAAGAGGGAAAATGGAATCATGCAGGGTCTGATTTCAAGAAGATTTGGCCCTATGACGAAGATTATCAGATTTCAACGGCGGCGCCTTTCACGTTCAGGTGATATTGCGCTTCTTTAGCTTCACACCTTGGCCATTTTTGCCCGTTTCAGTTGGTTCAGTAAGGAGTGCAAAATTATGGTTGATGGTTTTCAGTGTCTGACCAACTGACGGATGCAGGTGCTCTCTGTTCCTTTTGCGAATGCTCACCAATGAAAGCGGTGTGTTGGGAGGTTTTGTTCAAAAGTGAGGTGTGATGTCAGCCTGGGTTTTTTGGAGCAATATGTCCATTTAATTGGTAACATGTTGCTCCGCATTTCTTGCAGCCCCGACCTTCCTGAGGACGAACAGATTCTGCTGACCACTGAGAAACTGCGCTTCAATGGGGCCCAGGTGCTGCCCCTGCGCGACGGGGATGGAGGCCGAGCAAGCTCGTTCATGCTGTCGCCGCCTGTCCCACGCAGCGCAGAGATTGATCTGCACGTGGACAGCTTGGCTGCCAGGGTTCCCCAGGCCCCGGTGACCCCGAGTCACCAAGCGGATCATGTCGTGGCCTTTGGTTCCGCAGGCCATGCGCTTAAGGGAGGAGCAGCGGGGGTAAGGCCAAAAAGATCGGGAATCCAACTTGTCTGTTTGTGTTCTTCTCAGGAGAGATTACGAAACAACAAACTGGCGATGAGCGAGTTCCCAGTACAAAAGGAACATGAGAAATCAGGGCAGGAAGTGGAGAGTTGACAGTTTTGAATGTCTCAGCAATTCGAACTGGTGCCACTTGGGTCAGCAGGAGGGGAAACCGTAAGTAACCTTGTAAACGTGAGATTCAAAAGCAGGAGGCAACGGGGCATAAAGAGACAACATGGATCGGATGTTTGTGCCTTGAAAGTCTGACGGGCTGCAGACGTGAGATTCAAAAGCAGGAGGCAAGGGGGCATCAAGAGATTCATGGATCAGAAGTTTGTGCATTGAAAGTCTGGCGGGCTGCAGTTGGGCTGAACACTGCCTTGGCGGTCAGCACTTGTGAATGGTTGACAGGTGCAGGTCTACGGTCGTGAATCATCCGCACCATCTGTGTCTGGACACTTTCTCTATTACACAAAAGGCATTCTGTGTCAAGTATGTTATTCTGTGATTCACTCAGGATGTGAGATGCACGATCACGATTGGGTGGCCTGTCATTGACCACATCGACCTGTCATCGAGTGGTGAACTTTGTCAGTGCTGGTCAGTTCGAGTTCCCTTAGTGAGCACTCGTTTTGTATGAGCATTGCTTTGACACGCCGTATCGCGCTCTTTTCTCGACACAAAGCCGCCAGCACTGCTTTGACACGCCGTATCGCGCTCTTTTTTCAACACAAAGCCGCCAGCACGTGGCACTCCTAAGAGTGCTCTGCCGGTGGACCGGAAAGTCTTTGCGTCTATTTGTGGACCAAAAGCTCGAAGACTGTCGTGTCTCTGGTTGAAAACATTTGCAAGGACTCTTTGTCCTGAATCAATTCCCTTTGCTGTGTGGAACAGACGCCGTCCATGACCGCGCGCACGTCTGCGGGGCCGCTCCTGTCCAGCCGGGCTTGGAAGAGCGGGGTCCAAGTTCTTGCCAAGAATGACGTCCCCGCCCCGCCTGGGCTGGCGACCTCGTACGTGTCGCCGGACGTGGCCAGGAAGATGCGGTCGCGCGTGTACCCCGAGGTTAAGGAGACGCCAAGTTCGGGTATCAGCCACCACCCGGACTTCCTGGTCGGCGTCATCCGGGCCGAGTGCGACCCGTTCACGGGGAGCCCCTTCCCGTACGCAGAAGACCGCAAGCACAATATCCCTTGGTGGTATGTCCCTACAGCCGAAGAGCCACAGGCGGAGGTGCCGTTCTATGTCCTGCAAGTGTCAGGTAAGGAAAAGAGATAAGCCTGATTGCAGGAGGTCGTTGAGCTTCTCTCAATTGGTTCATCCCAGTGGAGATGATTGGCTGATTTAAATACTGAGAGTGATGGCCTGTCAGCGCAAGAGAGTTGGCGCGTCAGCACTCTGGCAGATTGCAGATCCTGGTCTCGAACAGTCGTCCTCAGAAGGAATTCAAACAGTGTTGGAGCTGCCCCGACTTCTCTGTCCAGCGTACGAACAGTCACCCCAATAAGTCAACATAGAAGCAGCCTTGTGGCGTTCATGTAGCTCAATTGGCAGGTTGATCGAAGCACCAACGAGCACCAGTGCTACGCTTGATGTTCTAGGGGTAACGCCTGAAAAGAACTTCGCGCTAGGCCACGACGTCACTGCACTTGGACATCAAAACAATTTGCTAGGTGTGCTGCACAAGGAGCACTCACGTCTGCCTTTGGTCAGATTGCAGGCCGTGTTACACTCGAGCAGATGGGCTCCATCTACAAGGTCCCGGACCACCGTCAGCACCTCCTCATGGACGCCATGAACCAGTACGTCCTGTGCCCGAGTAAGTGGACTAAGTCGATTTTAAAAAGGACGTTTCCAAAGGAGCGTTTTCTTCCGCGTCTGTGCCCAGCTGTGGAAGTCTTTTCAAGGTCACGCAGTTACATCCGCACTTGCGAAGGTGTGACTGATGTTGCGCACAATCTGTAGAGCATTCAGAAAAGAGTATGCCCGCATCCATTCAAAATACCAGTGTCTTTATAAAAGACCTTCCCATCTTTAAGCATTGGTTCTGGTTGCGGTGGACATAGGTTTATGCATCATCTATTCTTAAGAAGAACACGCAACGCTTCTCTGTCCGTGGTTGACTTGCTTGCCGGAACATGGAACTTCTTGAACGGGACGGAATATATAACTCAAAGAATGATGAAAGCCCCTTGGCATCCTTCAGCCAGATTGTGCGGTGGAATCAGTGGAGGGCTGCGTGGTGTCTTGCTGGCCTCCGTACCACAGAAAGCTGACAGCACGCACCTTGATTTGCAGACACCCTGTCAATCAGCGTGGGCGACGTCATCTCGTTCTCGGATGAGATGGGCAAGATTAGGGCCTCCACCACGCCCGGGTCGTCGGGGGGCGCGGTCGGGAAGCTCGGGGACCGCCCCTTGCTCCTCTACGGCGTGCACCGCAACGCCAACCCGGACGAGCAGCGCCTCTGCAGCGACACCGAGGCGAATTACAATTACTTCCAGCGACCCACGGAGCCGCACTTTGCATGCGCGTACGTCGAAGCAGTCCTGCCCATCCTCAAGCATGTCCCAGCTGCGTCATGGCCGGCTGCCTACATGGTGACAGCTCTGCAGGAGTATCTGCGCGCGATGGAGACGGTCCTGAGGCAGCAGAATCTCTGGCCAGTGGTAAAAGAATTCTATGATGCCCAGCAATGGGCATTGCCATAGAGGTGACGGACCGTTTGAATCGTCGCAGATTTCTGCTGCTTGTGCGGACGAAACGCAAAGGGTTAAGATGGTACTACAGCTTGAGACGTGAAGTGCAGGTGGACTAGGACTTGCAATTGGCGGACCCATGACTCCGGTACAGATTGGCATGTTATGCGAAAGAACTGACACATGTCATTCAGGCTAGTGTTCTACACGTATGCAGAGGGAGAGTCACGAGGCCTTTCGACTTCCGCTTTCTTTGGAAAGCACCCATACCCTTGCTCATCACATTTTCTTACGATGTTGAGCAACTGTTGTTAAGGGATGGGAAATGGTGTCATTATCCTCGTTGTGGCCGCTTCAAGCATTCACCCGAGGATGAAATAGTCGATAATCAACCGCAATATTAGCGGAGTCACCTTACATGGATCAACTGAAGCGTGTTGCATCTTCGTCTCGGATGAGAAAAGTCGTACTACAGACACAAGCGTTTTTCCTCTTTTTTTGTAAAGAGGAAACGGGGAAGTGCTATAGTACAGACTTTCTGGGATTTCCGTCCGGTCGCAGATACATACATACCTAGTACACAAGCTCAGAGATTAAAACAGAGGCGCTAGGTAGGTATGTATTTGCAACTTCGTCTCAAAGAGGAAAGTCGTACTACAAAGAACAAGCGTTTTTCCTCTTTTTTAGCTCGGTTTTTTAATTTTGTAAAAAACGAGCTCTCGCTTTTACCCGGGTAGTTTGGTTTTGGGATAAAGTGGCGCTCCAGACTGGGTCACTCAGTTAAGCCGATTTTATCCATCGAATGGTGCTTATGGCGGAACTACGGTGTGAAATCAGTCGACTTGGCTTTTCGACGGGTTTTGGAGTTCGATGCTTCAAAAAAAAAAAAATTGTTGGTGAACCTTTAATTTTGGAACGTGACCGCCATACGTGCGATAAAACCCTGCGGTCATGCCCGCGTGCTAGCGCCCGCAGGGAACTGCCACCCGGCCGGCCGCGGGCACTCCATCTAGCTAGTATGGAAAGGTAGCCGTCCGATGGTATTGTTTCAATCGGTTGGATTACATTTTCGCACGCTTGAATTGGGCTGTGGCTGCCTGCTTATGTCAGTACCGGGCGAAATTCTAACGACTTGAGTACTCTAGAAGGTGGACCCGGTAGCAGGATTTATAGGACCTGCGACGACGGTTGCTCTGTACGCTATATACTCAATACTAGAGGCCAGCTCCTTTGTCTACAGTATCGGTCAGTTTTCTCTTATAACTTAGATAAGACGGGTGCCCGGTAGGCACTCATACGCTGCATGACCGGCCCGTAATATGATAGGAGCAAACGGCAGCCGTCCGATTGTATCTTCCCACGCGTTTGAGACGCTTCGATCGCGTAATTTAAAACTGCAATAAATAGTTTTTCAGATATTGCGTCAATACGCTCTAAAATGGGAATCTCCCCCAAAAGAAAGCTCATCAATAGGCGAAAACCGAGCATTCACACCGCACAACGGTTTAGCATTTTTTGTAAAGAGGAGACTGGGAAGTGCTATAGTACAGACTTTCTGGGATTTCCGCCCGGTCGCAGATACATACGTACCCAAGCTACCTAGTACACAAGCTTAGAGATTTGAACAGAGGCGCTAGGTAGTTTTAAATATGTATTTGCAACTTCGTCTGGAATGAGGAAAGTCGGTAGTACAGCTAGACAACAAGCGTTTTTCCTCGTTTTTTGTAAAGAGGAAACGTGGAAGTGCGATATCGTACAGACTTTCTGGGATTTATGCCCGGTCGCAGACACATACGTACATAGGGATCAGGTTAGTCTGTGGTCTTAGTCGACGATTTTTTTCCACATATTCCTAGGAATGGCCGGGGATAGGCCGGGAGAGGTGAGCGAAACTCCTGTCTGTCCTGTCTACCTGTCTGTGGTCTTTGACGATTACAATCTAATAACATAAGACTATTACTCAGTATGGCCGGGGATAGGCCGGGACTCGGAGGCGAGCGAAAGTCCTGTCTCTCCTGCCTACCTGTCTGTAGGCTCCGCATACTACAATTTCTCTACATATTACCAGGTATAGTTTGTGATATGGCGGGAGAGGCGGTCCAAGCTCATGAGTCTGAACTGCCTACCTTGTAGGCCGAGAGAGGCAATCAAAGCTCAAGAGTCATGGCTCGTAAGTGTTGTCTGCCTCCCTGACTCGAATTGCCCGTCCTGCAAGCCACCACAGCCTGTGTTTGAGAAGTCAGGGATGCTGTATGCCGGCCACCACCAAGAAACACCCAATGCAAACAATGCCGGGCCTAGAAAACTGGCTGGCATGCCGCGGCAAATGACGTGCTGCAGCCTTGGTTAATGCGCCAGGTGCTAGCCGCAGAAAGGATTGCAGCGCTTTGAGTGTTGGCATTCCCAGCTCGCGCTGCGCAGCTGACAAGTGCAGAGGGTGGGGCGCGGTGCTGTCAACGTGCACTGGCTGCTTTCGGGAGCTGGTTGTGCAAGGTGCAATGCTGCGGGGTATGGCAAGAGTTGGCGCAGTGCTGCGATTTATGGCAGGAGCTGGCCGGAGAGATGGCAGGAGCTGGCAGGAGAGCTGGCAAGGGCTGGCAAGTGGTGGCATGGCTTGGCACAATGCGGGTCTTTGGTGGCAAGCTCTGGCAAGCGGCGGCAAGCAGCGGCACCTCCACCACTTTTGCATGCTTGCCAAGTGTCCAGCATCCACCTCAGCTTGGAAGGTTCCTGAGGCTTCTACACACAGGCTGCCAGCTGGAAGCTTGAAAGCCAACTGGCAGCCTGGCGCAAATCGGCACCCAATGGCGGGCTCTGGCACCACCAGGGGTGTACTCTGGCCTACTCAGCAAGCAAATTTGAGGCAGCATTAGAACATTCTTGCAGGTTCCATGCTGAGCTCAAGCTTCCATGCTGAGCTCAGGTGCTCAGGTGCTTGTCAATGGCAGTCAGGAGCATATTGAAGGTTGCACCTTACCTGCGCAGACTGAGAGAGCGCGGGTGCGAAGGCGAGAGGGAGGCTAGGCACGGGCTGGGCTAGAAGCGAGCTCTGAGGTAAGCACCTATTCGGCAGCTATTCTTGTTTCTTCAGCTGCAACCGGACTCTTCTGTCCTTGGACAAAAATCACAACTGTAGCAGCTATAGAAAGCACAGGCGGCTGATGTGAACTCTATGAGCATGCGGATGGGGCTGCAAGCCGATGATTGAAAGCACTTTCCAACAACCAACTCATCGACTTCGCAGCTAAGTGCTCAAGGGCGTCGCCACACCGCCTGCCAGAAATAAAGCTTCGTGTTGCGAAGGTGTTCTTTCTTGAATTTGCATGAAGCTGCTTCGTCTTTTCTTGGTACACAACACCTGTGCGTCACTTTGATTATTGTTGTTCCTCATCTTCCCTCATCTTCAAAAGAGGAAGGAAAGTTCGTAAATTCCAAAGATTGGCACTTGAAGGTGCACGTCTTGCCGGGCTCTCAGCTCTTGCCTGCATTCTCTGGGCGTTAGAAGGAAGCAAGAGATTAGAATAGCACCTGAAGGGCTGTTCAAGAACGAAACTTTGCATGAGGGCGCCGCTCAACACGTGCCGCACTGAGCAACAAAAAAGCTGTTTGCTGATTTGGTTAGGGCCCCTGAAAAACCTGGTAGAGACTCTGCCGGGCCCCTAGGCGTTTTAGGTTGTTGAGAAGCCCCGGTAGTAGATTGATGGAGACCCGATGAATGAACCCCCAACTCTTGGGATCATCTTCTTTTGCATTCGTTCGCTACTTACGTGCTGCTCAAAGGCAGTGCAGTCATTCAGATTTGGCAGTCTCCATTTTTTGCTAGATCACATCACCGGCAGTCTCCTGAGTGCCTTCTTTACTTTCAAAGACTGTTTGTGTCAACTGGGGGTTGAAGATGTGATTTGATGCTCGAAGGACTTACATAAACCGGGAGACTGGTTGAAGGACAGGAGCCCAGACCCGTCGCATCAAGTGGTTGATCTCAGTTTCTCAATTGGCTTGACTTCTTTTCATCGCTCTCTTCGTGCTGCAGTGGGCTTCCTCCTTGACAATGGCAAGGACTCGCCCCAAGGGAAGGACCAAGTCCGACCATCGGGTGTGTCAGGATGCACGCCATGCACGTGCATTCGAGTACAGGAGCCGCACGGAGATCAGCGCCAAGGTACAGGAGGCTCTCATCGCTGCCGTTAATGCGCGCCCCGAGCCTGAACGCGCCCCGCGCCGCCTGCAAGCGGGGCCGGAAAACCGAGTGGGCGCGGCCTGCTCGTGGACCCCCGCCAGTCCCTCCTCGCCGCTCGTGTGCTAGGGGGAAACAAGGCTGCGAAGCGGCGAGTCGCATGGTGCCTCGGTGAACCCACCGCGAAAGGTGAGTTTGGACCTGGTTTTAGAGCTCTGGTAGCTGGTGAAACGCCCCAGGTCAACGAAAACTCCACTTCTTGCTCGAGCTCAATCATAAACATTGCGACATCGCTGCCGTCGATATCCTCAGCCCGGGTACCCATCTGACGATGCCAAGATCCGTAGCATGTCGCGATGTCTCTTGTTCGAAACAGCGACTTTCGACTGCATCCTAACATTCGCACTCGTCCCTGCATCCTGCTAGATCCGTACAGCCTTCACTGCCGCGAGTGCGGGGCGACCGCAGAGTTTGGGTTTTGCGGAAGCAAGGAGGGCGGAGCTGTGAACTACCTCTGCAAGAAGCACTTGGCTTTCAACGGCTGCTTCCGCGTCGACAGAGAGCGCGCGGGTGAGAGGTGTATAGAACCCCCCTTTTCCAAGATGTCCAGGCTTTTTGCAAACCTTTTTTGGGAACACGGATAACGACGTCACCAGCCAGCCATTCCAGATAGAATGCAGCTGTAATCGATGGCACAGACCCCCCCTTGTCCAAGATGTCCAAGCTTTTTGCAAACCTTTTTGGGGACACGGATGATGACGTTACCAGCCAGCCATTCCACATAGAATGCAGTTGTAATCGATGGCACAGACCCCCCCCTTGTCCAAGATGTCCAAGCTTTTCGCAAACCTTTTTGGGGACACGGATGATGACGTCAGCAGCCAGCCATTCCACATAGAATACAGTTGTAACTGATGGCACAGACCACCTTCTTGTCCAACTTGTAAGAGCTCTTTTCGCCTTCTGCAGTTTGGGTTCAACATCGAATGCAGCGCCGTCTGGAAGCGGAGTTGGCGAGGCTCGAAGAGGAGCTGCTAAAGATGGACGAGGCCAGCTCATCTGCAGAAATGCCGGCGCCTCGCGCTTGCTCCTCGCCAGGTGGGACGATCTCGGTGCTGCGATCCTCGTTCCCTGTTTGAGCAAAATAGCTCCCACTTAAGCCGTATCTCCTGACGTCAAGTCCTGTTTGAAAAGCATCACGTGACTCTCGGCCAGCTTTCTGCATCGTTTTCAAAGCTATGAAAGCATAGTGGATCGTTTGTAGTTGGGCCCTGCGGCAGCCTCGCGCATGCTTGCCATCTTCTTTGGCGACGGGCTGGCTAATAAATTGCGTCGCTCATCGCCTTTCGCAGGTTCCGAGCCGGCCTTCAGAACGGCCCCGCCCTCCACGGAACCCATGAGCCATGCGCTTCTCGGTGAGTTACTGAAAGCACTCCCCCCCTCCCCCCCTCTCAGCAGTGCCTGCTCTCTCTCGGACTGCATTGAAAGCTTTTCCGTCCAATTTTGAAACCGCTGATGGATCGAGCATCGCACTGTCCTATAACGGTCCTCTTTTTCGATGCCCGCAAAGACTCTCTTGACCATCGGTTGCGTCGAAAGGAACCCCGGGCCCTCCTCGGACGGAGAGCCAAGCGGTGCGGGTCCGGCATGAGCATCAGGCCCTCCTCTGTTGCAGTCGCGCCGAATGCCTGCGGAGAGTGGTGGAAGAGATGCTGCCCGAATGGATGTGAGCCTTTTCATTTCGGTCGTCCATCAGTTTTGGCCCCACTGATTTTGGCTGATTCCGCTGGGTCCGTCCAAGAGTTCAACACCAAGAGCTTCGTGGACTTTCCTTCAGCAACAGCTTCTTGCTGACACAGCGCTTCAAGCGACTCAGTGGTGCGGACTCTGTCCAAGTGTCCGAATTCTTGTTTTGATCGGAGCTCCTGGATGACGTCAGCAGCCATTTCCGATTGATAGGATCCACTGTTGTCGATGGCGCCAACTCTGTTAAAGTGTCCGAGTTCTTGTCACACCTTTTTTGATTGGAGCTCCTGGATGACGTCAGCAGCCATCCCCGATCAATAGGATCCACTGTAGTTGAGGGTAAACATCTGCTTCTTTGTCAACCACAAGATTAATTTGTTGATAGATCATTGAATGAAGAACTTTCTGCGAGCAGGCGCACATGGAGGCCCAGCGCAGATAAGCACTCTGATAAGGAACCCCGAGAGCCCTCTCTCTGCCAAGAATCACAGCGAAGTTTCTTTGATTGCAAGTCCTTGAGATCCGCCAACCGCGGGGACCTGTTCTACATGGCCTCTTCGACCCCAGCTACTTCCACGACTTTCAACGCAAGCTAAGAGAGGAAATGGCAACTTCGCAGCAGCTCACAGCGGTCACCAACGTTTCGGAGGTTAGTCTGAAGATACTTGAAGTTTTCTTTGAACCCAACTTGCCTAGGTAGACGACCTCAAGATTCATGGCAGTGGTCTGGGCACAGCTAGTCAGGCACAGCGAATCCAGGCCCAAACCCAAAAGTCTTGTCATAAACTCGGACACTCGGACAGGGGTGTTTGATGACGTCACAAAGCAGGTCCGAGCCCGCAAGGTAGATCACAAACTCGGACACTCGGACAGGGGTGTTGGCATTGCGCCTCACCCATCTTGCCGTTTTCCCATGATGTTTGATGACGTCACGAAGCAGGTTCGAGCCCAGAAGGTAGGTCAGAAACTTGGACATCTGGACAAGGGTCTTTCGACGAGTGCATTGCATGTCGACATGGTGGCGAGATCCTCAACTGTCCACCGCACCAAGCTCCGCCAGGGAAGAGAGCGGCCTGCAATCCTGGATCGCTGCAAGGCAGATGTGCCTCGAAAGCTCCCCTTGAGATCCTCGGATTTGTCCTGGTCATTATCCAGAACTTCCTTGAAGAAATCTACCAGATGGTCGCCCGACCAGCGCAGGGAGCCTCCCACTTGCATGAACCACCGGAACAGCAACGGCCAGGATAGAGCCTTCGGATCGTCGCTGAGCCCCTGCAGCAGAAGTCTGCGATCGCAGAAGCTGCTGCATCTTGTTCAAAATCTTGCTGCCGCCCTCAAAGTCTCTCGATCGATCTGAGGGCCGAGCGCGAAGACGTCCTTGACTTGCTCGTCGGTCCTGACCGTGCACCGGTCGTAGTACCATTCCATCGGTCGAAGCTGCCTCGACCTGCGCGGTTTGCTCCTAAGCCCATCACCCTCTCACTGCCTCGCAGGACCCCGGGTCCTCCAGAGACCCGCACCCCGCTGGCGCTCCCCATTCAGCAGCGGAACAAAGATTTCACCAGAAGAGGGCGGCGTCGAGCAGGGGGAGTTCTCCTATGCCCGTGGGTACTAGGATGCGGGCCCAAAGCCCGTCCGGACCAATCGGTGAGTTGCAACCGGTGCATGTTGTGACGCTTAAGGAGAGCTTTTGGCTTCGTTTGTGTGCGACAATATGCCTAGATAGCCGCACCTCAAGAAAAAAGCTGGTGATCTGAGCACAGCTGGTACCCAGTCGTTATTAACTTGGCTTGCCTTGATGTTGCTGACGTCACAAAGCAGGTCCGGGCCCAAGGCACGTCAGAAACTCGGACATTTGGACAAGGGTGTTCGTAGAGTGTTCCCAGCCCATTTTGCCATCTCGCCATGATGTTTGCTGACGTCATGAAGCCGGCCCGAGCCCAAAACGCACGTCATAAACTCGGACACTTGGACGGGGGTGTCGGCAGTCTTCAGGACTCGGCTAGCCATGATAGTTGCTGACGTCACGAAGCAGGTTTGAGCTCAGAAGGCACGTCAGAGCTCGGACACAGGGGTCTTTCCAGGTTTGCAGCGCGGCTCACATTGCTTAGCTGATTCCTGTGATAATCAGCGGCACTTATACTCGTGCAGGCGAGCAGCGGCGATGATCAGCAGCCGCTGCGCGTCTTCAGCGAGGACGAGTCGCAGCAGACGGAGTCGGAAGGGGAGAGCGAGAACATCGAGGGGGCGGAGTTCGAGGGCGCCGACGAGTCCTCGGACGAGGAGGAGACCTCCCAGGATCGTGGGCTATAATCGACGACGCCCCTCAGGAAGAGTCGGAGAACGAGGTGGTGCGGTACGGCCGGATCAATGCCGCGATGGAGACAGAGGACGAGAGCTTCTCCGAGGTGCTCGCGAAGCTCAAGCGGCGCGCGCCTGATGGAGCGACCAACCCGCGCAAACGCAGCCGCCGCCGCCGCGTGCTGCTCTCACCTCCCGACTCCTCAAGCGAGGAGGAGGACATCCCGTCCCCGATCGCAGCCAAGCCTCGAGCGCCAAGTGGCACTCCTCCGTGCCAGAGGGTGGGGATGCGCCGGGGACGGATTGCTCAATGCCGGACGACCTCTATCTGGAGTCGAGGATGACGGCTGGTCGGACGACCTCCCGCCAGAGCCCGAGAACGATGGCTGGTCAGGTTTCTTCGACCTGAGTCTTGAGGACAACTTTGCCAGAGCATGCGTGATCGTCCCACGTCCGCCGCGCGCTGGGCCAGCAACCGGGTAAGCACCCTCCTCTGATTCTCATACAGATACGAAGTTCTTGGAGTTACCAGTTTCCGGGCACCCAACTCAGATGGCATCAAGGCCTGGTTGCGTGCCCAGAAAGTGAGCGCGCAAAGTGCAACAAAGTTTCGGAGGAGTAAGGAAGTTTTTGATGCATTTGTGTCCATTGTCATTCAATCAACAACCCTAACAGCTAATGTTCGTGTACATAGCCATTTACTTCGTGTACATAGCCATTCAATTGCCAAGTTGATAGCTGATGTACACGGGACCGCTACGGTGCAAATTGCTGGCGGGCGGTTTGCTAGGCTACGGCGCGGAAATTTGACCCGGACGCCGTGTCAAATTAAATTTACCGTGCGGGCTCTCTGCCCGAGTTTCGGGTGCGGCGAATATTCAATTTGGCAGCCAACAGCCCTAACATGCTGCGCTTTTTGCCCCAATTTGGCCTAGGTTCAAAATGCCCCGGAATGCGATCAACCGGCTAGTGCAGAAGGTAACGCGCCAGTCTATCTACTGTTTGACAGGTACAAAATGGTTGCTTTGTGTTGCACTCGGTTGAAGCGCGGTTACATTTCAGTACCTAATGATCCATGTTGTACTCCGCGAACTGCAACCGGGAGGACTTACTCACCCGGGTCACTCCGGTCGGTCTGTTCCTCTGAGCCCCGGGCTTCTGCAGAGGACCGGGATGAAGTCTCGGTCACCCGGGCTGCCTTTGTGCAGTTTACCCATGTACTGTGTACGGTACCTATAGTTCATCATGCAAAGCTACTGCGGTAGGTGTAGTTTTACCGGTACAACTTCGGTTGGTACCACATTTAAGCTGCGCCGGTTCAAACCAGGTAAGGACCTTTGCTCGTTGAAAATTGGTACCGCGTGTGACGGTGTGTCAGAAGTACGGACATACGATTGCGAGTCGCGACGAGGATTCAACATCAGTCGATGTGAAATTTCACCTCCCCTCCTACAAAGTATGGTGGTCACAAAAATGGCTCCTTTTGCCCTACCTTGACAGCAAATCAAACATAGAACCTAACCAAAAGCTTCATATGAAGCTACCAAACTACAATAGCCTCAGTGTAGACACTCTGCCCAACCAAACCCCCAAGTGTCCCCACTGTATCTTGACTTTTGAAGCTCCAGCAAGCTAATTTTCAAGCCCCAATTTTAGAGAAATTGCCACAGAATTGAACAATTTGGTGGCAAGTGGTCAAGATTTGGGGGCAATTTCTTACGGCCGCCGCCGGTCGTACCCAAAGACCGCCGCAATTTGACTACTCATAATTTGGTTGCACCCGTCGCGAATTTGGGGGCGCCGACTACCGCAATTTTTCGGTACCGCGGAAATTCTCACGGACCGAAATTGCACCGTAGCGGTCCCGTGTACACGAAAGCCGACGCACATCTCACAGTTTTAAAGATCGGACAGCTCCAAGCGATTTTTGCAGTACTGTTCATGGATGGCAGGGTCTGTTATCGCTTTCCGCCTGCGAACCCCGCATCTCGTGGACTCTCGCCCCTCAGCATGACATGATAGCCGTATATGGCCCTATGTGGACAACAAAAAACGAATGCGCCGCGGCTCCGATTCGGACGCTGTGCAACGGCGCCCTTCTTGGTTGCCTTCCCGCTACCCTTGATTAGGCCGGGCACGTTCTCGGAATCCCACTTGCCGACGGTCTTCCCCGAAGTGCACTTGAACTCTTCCGAGCTCTTGCTGCGGCCGTCAGGGTGCTCGAGATTGCTGAAATGGGGCAGACTCCGATACTGCTCCCAGCCGGGGAAGTCATACCAAGCCAGCGCGTCCTGTTCGGCCCGAAAGCTGTGCCCCTTAGGGAGCGGGTGCAGCGAAACGCCCTCCTCATCCCGACCCAGCCGCTACCACAGCAACGCCTTCTCCCTCTCGCTCATGACCGCCCACTGCCGGGGGCTCGGAGCCAGGCTCTCGACTCCTAGCAAAAGCTCGTTTGCCAAGGCACGTGCCTGCTCCAGCCGTCTGCGCAGGCTCATCAATCCCAAGCGGCCGCGCTCGCGCATTGGCAAGCAACCAGAGTGTCTGATCGAACGGCCGAATTGCGTCAGCCACCCAGCCTAGCCGTCCCTCTCCGGCAAACCCCGTCAACCCTCGTGCAAGCAAGGTTAGCAAGTAGAGCAGATGCAGGGTTTGCATAAAGAACCCTGGGAAGGTCAGCCCGCCGTACGCGTCCAGGATCCGTCTCAGGATTGGCGCGGACCTCGCTAGCTCGCGCCGATCCTCGAGGGACGCCTCACCCCCCGGTAGCAATTTGCGGACCACGTGGAGCGCGCCCGCTCCAATCAGATCTTCGTCCGAATCGTGTGCGCCAAGGCAGTAAAGCAATTCCGTCCATTCGCCCACCCAAGACTCCCAGAGGTTCCCGTTCATCCCCCGTCTCTCGAAATCGCCTTGGCTGCCTCTCAGGAGCTCGAGAACTGCCATGTTCCGGTCTCGCACCATCGTGCGCTGCTCAATTAGCATCCGCCTCCTGCCGTCCTCCGGCAGCAACCCTTCCTCTTCGCCAGGGCCAAACCCTTTGACGGTGCAGGGATCGCTCGCAAGCCCGTCCAAGAGGGCGCCAAACTCCGCTTCCGAGAGCCTCTGACCCAGCTTCTCGTCCTTTGTGCAATGCTGAGAAAGACGCGCAATCGCCTCTCGGAGCTCCGACTGGAGGATAAGCTTACGTTTCATCCCTCCTCCTTCCAGGCCCGCTGCCCAGTAGTCTTGGCTCGAGATAGACCGCTTCTGAAGAAGCTGGGCACCCGTTCTCGAAACTGCTGGGATGACAGATTGTGCACCGAGCGTCCAGGGTCGTGAAGCCAAGCCCCCCTGGACGCTTGGCCCCGTCCGAATTGGCCAGCCCCACAATCCCATCGCAGAGCAGCACCTGCAAAGAGTGTACATCCGTTCAGATGCTCGCAAAGCTTTGTGATTGTCCTTCTCTGTACACTCTTTCGATCAAACAGCGCCGCCGACGCCCCAACATGTAAATAGCGTGGGATGTACACGCCTTATTGCACCCAATTCGAGCATGCAAGTTATGTACGCTCATTGAACCCGCCTGACATTTACTCACCTTCGGATGCGGACCGCAAAGAGTGCAGCAATCCCGGATCCCGAGACCGAGCAACTTGAAGAAGTCCAGACTCGCGCGCCGCCACGTCTCTTCGCTCAAGACCTCCGCCTCTGGGCATCGCTGAAAGGCCGCCTAATTGGTGGCCAGCTCCGCCTTGAACGAGTGCCCGTGTTGCATGCCGCGCAGGAGCAATTGGAGGCTCTCCTGGACGAAGAGGGTCCTTCGGTTCCAAGTGTACAGGCCGAGGGCCTCCCCGTCAAAATGAATGGTGTGCGCTTCGTCGGGGCAATTACAATGGCAGATCCGCACCTCGATCTTTTGGCTCCACTGCGAGGCTGTTACGGAAGTCTCGACCCTCTTCTCGGCCCAGGACCCGCCGCAAGGAGGGCTTTCCAATGGACACGGCACGCTCAGCAAGCCCAAGTTCGACAGCTCCAGAAAGTGACGGTCTCGGAGCTTGCTGACGCGGACCGGGGGCCCTCCAAGGGCCGTCACCCAAGGGTCGTGGAAGTTTGGCGCATCACTGAGCCTCGCAAGCTTCGGCTTCGTCAGCTGGATCGCCTCGGTGCTCAAAAGCATCACTGGGGCCTTTAAGCGCCGCTCCTCTTCTTCCCTCCCATGCTTGCACGCCCCCACTGCCGCTAAAGAGCTCAACTTGCAACTGCAGCATGCATCGACCCAGCCATGGATCGCATCGAGCTCCCTCGAGCATCGGCTGGCGGCCCCAACCTTCCGATTGGCCCCGCCAGTGCCGGTCGTTGGAATCGATCGCTGCGCTTCTGCTTTCCAAAATGCCTTTGATCTCCGTGCTCGTTTGAGTGCAGGGGGCCCCTCAGCCATCTCGTTGCTGACTCCCGCGTCGTGCCCCCCCTCTTGCCCCTCCCTCCTCTCCTCCGTCGGCGGCCGAGCCTCTCCAAAAAGGAACTCGTGCTTCTTACAAAAGCACGAACTTCCAGCGCATGCCGCCTCTTTGTGTGGCCGCCTCTCTAGGAGTCCTAGAAGATACCGTTCCTCGTCCAAGAGCACCTCCCTCCTCTCCTCCCCTCGCTCCCCCTCTGCCCCTCTGCTTGATCCCAAATCTCGAGCCGACCCCAAGAGGAGCTTTGCCGTCGCTGCCCCGATCAGAGGCAGCCTGCCGTCGAATGACTCCAGCCAACTAGTGGCAGCCCATGCAAGCGGCCCTGATCCGAGAACGAGCGCCTCTGTCGTGGGAACCTCCCCCTTGATCAGAGCGGCCTTTG